GGACGGAGTGAACGAAGCTTCTGCGACCGCCTTAACTGGGGGGAAGTTTAACGAGACTCACGCAAACCGAGTCCTCAAAGGCCCAGAGTTGGCAGGAATCCTTAAGGGTGAAAATGCAAAGGACTTGGTCGACAACTTTGAGTTTGTGTATGTTGCGGGCCACAAAAACCGCGAGTTGACAATGTTCCATCCAGAATCCAAAACTTTATTTGAGGCTGATTTTCTCTTCAATATCAAGTCAAAAAGTGAGCTGTATGGTAAGGTAAACCCAACTAAGGGCTTGGGGTTCTTTGCTCGCTATTTGCAGCCGTACTCAGCCGTGGGAAAATGGCTCTCCGGGAGATTGCTTAGTTCCGCCGAACAGGGTAACCGTGATGCCATTAGTGCTATTGCTTCTTGGGATTTTGAACGCATTGTGATGTGCCACGGTGAGGTGATTGAAGGGAAAAACGAGAGCAGACTGGCATTTGACTCGGTCTACGGCCATTTCTACAAGTAAAGAACTTGGCTAAAATATCGAAGACTTTTGTATCTTTCCATTCGTATTGAAATGGAACTCTACCGGAAGTATCAGTTGCACCGTGTATATATTTACTGATACTTGAAAACCCTGTCTATACTGAGCGTCAATTACAAACATTGTATCAAAACATTGTATCAATTCAGAGACATGTATATGTATATCAGTCTATATTGAACCGACGTATTCAAACGCTAAAGCCAAAACATGGCCAAATAAAAATAATCCTTGATTTCCCCTCCTAGCTTCAAAAGCAAATGCTTTTTTTTGGGAGATAGTCTGCCGCATCGTCACTTTTTCGAATTCTAGCTGTTTTTACCAGAAAACTCACCAAAGACAGATGTCATACATGGGAAACAGTATCTCGTTACAGGTGTAAATACTTTTTATAATAACATACTCCAACATTCCTTTTCTTAGCGATGAATTTGTTTTATAATTTAGCCACTCATTAGTCCAGACTCTCTGGAGATATTTCTAGACACAGGTCCAGCCTCCGGCGTCTGACAAATTCCTCTTACAAGCTGCCGCAGTTTCCGCACCTAAATGCATACGCAGGAGAATCAAGATTGCTGCCAAATCCTTCCCCTGGCGGGATTTGCCTGTATGTAACATGCTCAACTCCTTAAGAACCTGCCTGGGCCCGTGACATCTTAGACCAAGTCAAAAGAGATTAACTATATCTGTGCTTCAGTATATCCTAGTATCTCATTAAGACTCTCCCATCGAATAACACACAATGCCATACCACTTCCCACTCGGGGGCACTAGCCGCCAGCTCACTCCCCTGGTCACTATCCATTCTTGTCCCTTCACTCGCGGTCCTGTTATCAAGTTCGGTGCGCGTATGGCCTTGATAAAGCTTCCCAACACCAATGTCGTCGTCTGGTCCGCTCTCCCGTACGGCCCAGAAGCGGAGCTGTGCTTCGCATCCATTGGCAAGCACGCCAAAGTCTCCAATGTGATCATTCCTGATTTCGAGCACACGATGGCAGCTCGCGACTACGTTAACCAATTCCCTGGTGTCTCAGTTGTGGGGATGGAGGGTGTGGATGAATCGCGCGTTACACCGTTAACCGGAGGAAAGTTCACGGCCGAACACGCCAACAAAGTTCTCAAAGGGTCCGAGTTGGCTCAGATCCTTAAGGGAGAGAACGCCCAGGATTTGGTGGACAACTTTGAGTTTGTCTACGTTCCTGGTCACCAAAACCATGAGTTGGTAATGTTCCACCCTGAGTCCAAGACCTTGTTCGAAGCCGATTTGCTCTTTAACATTCAGCCAAAGAGCGAGCAATACGGAAACATAAATCCAACCACAGGGTTGAGTTTCATCGCGAGATACTTACAGCCATATTCAAAGGTTGGAAACTGGCTCCTCAGCAAGATTATCCCTGTGAGCGAAGGGAATAAGCAGGGTTTGGCTGCTATCGCGTCCTGGGAGTTTGAGCGAATTGTGATGTGTCATGGTGAGGTAATCGAGGGCAAACAGGCTAGTAAGCTGGCGTTTGACGCGGCCTTCGCTGGTCACTACAAATAAGGAGAGGGCTTAACTAGTGTTTAGTATTTTTTTTTAATATTGAGTATTGTCAGAATTTACGTATGACCGGAAATGCGAGTTTGGTATATATTACCCAGTAAAGATTGAAATAAAATCTGATTAAAACAATCAATCATGTACAAACTGACGTCCTAATTGCTTATGATTAAATGTTTAAAGTCGTTCACAAATATAGCATTATACAAATAAAGAACCGAAATACACAAATGCACCAAGAAAACCAGAAATAAATAAAGACCGAGAAATGAATAGAAGGCAGAAGCCATAAAGGTTCGGCATGCAGGGTGGACGAATCTACGTGCACACATCAAACTGTTGGAACCGCTGCTGGGCATCAAAGAACTGCGGATGCGTTTGAAGGGGTTGCAGATGGAACTGCTGAGCATGGAAAGCAGGTTCGTGACGAATCTGTTCCTGGCTGAACCCCTGGAGCTGGTTACCAGGGCTCTCGGTCTTAATAGCCTTACCCAAACCGGCCTTGGCCAACTCCATTCTCTTTTCTTTTCTAGCTCTCTTCAACTTCAATTTCTCGCTTCTGATCATCTTCTTCACCAAACGCAGCTTCCCCACAAATCCACTTGGCAAGCCACCACACTCTCCCGTCTCGATGTGTAACTCGACCCAGAGCTCGTTGTCCTTGTACTCCTTTCCGCAAAGCCCGCACCAGCCAGAAACGTCACCCCTGCTGCCGCACTTTGTCCCGGGAGGGTATGTAAAGTGGCGCGACTTGAGATGTGTCTTGTAGGTGTCGCGGCGCGAGAACCCACCGTGCGCGTGGCACTTGACACGCGCATTGTCGCTGAAGAATGGGCATGTGTACGCCTTCTTGGTGGAGTGCTTCTTCATGTGGCGCGTCAAGTAGCCGCGCACGCGAAACTCTGCAGGACACATCTGGCAGGCATACACGTCGGAACCGGAAGCCGAGCCGTCTCCCGAAGCCAAGCCATCATCGTCGGAGCCAAAATCGTCCGCAGAGTCAAAATCTGATTTGGTGCAAACAGAGTCCGCCTTGGCGTTCATTCTGGTCTGCTTCGCTTTCTCAGGCTTCGCCTGGGGGGTGGATGTGGTGGACGACTCAGACGAAACTATGGTGTAGTCTTCGTGGGAAGAGGACGGAGAAGTTTCGGTGGAGTGGGGAGACACGTTGGCGTAGCGCGGTTCGAACATGGCAAATGCCGAGGCAGCTTCCTCGTACGTAGGGTAGATATCGTTGGTCGCCGGTTGGGGCTGGTTTTTCCAGTTCGTGTGGTAGAGGAATAACTCGTCGTCAAGGCAAAATGGCTGCTCTTCTGGATGTGGAAGCGGCTGGCTGGCGAGCTGCGGTGGTTGGGTTGCAAGCGGTGTTTGCGCCGCGGCATATCTGAAATCAACTTCCAAACCAGGAATCTCCCAGTCGAAGTCTAGGAAGTCGGGAACGGCCTGGCTCTGTGGGGGCATCTGAACAGGCGCCTGTTGCTGTTGGGGGTGGCCGAAAAGTGACGGGGTCCAGTGCTCGTACAGATTGGTGTTCATGGCACACGCTTGGACGGAAGACTCTTCCAAGGTCTTATCGTTGGCAAAGGTGGATGGGAAAATGTCTTGGCTATCAGGTCTCTTCTTGGGGGTCTTGAGGAAGTAGCGGTAGCCAGCGAAAAGCACCATCGCTAGCACACCTACGGTGAGCCCGCGGGGCGCCTCCTTGGCTATATACGCGGAAACATCCCTTACTATCTGGCCTGACATGGTATTGGTAATAGTCTGATAAAAGCGAGTAGCGATATAGCGTGTGGTTGATATTAGCGTAGGAATAGTTGAATAGCTGTTGTCTAATAGAAACACTAGTAGTGCTAGATGTTGAATGTGTTATATATGAAAAACGGTTTGTCGTTTGCGCTGTGTTATTTGCCATTCAAATTCCGCAGCCCTGTGCCTGGGATCCACGGTAGAAATCTATCAAAATCTTAGTCACCCGCGTGTTCCCCTCCTATCTCTGCACGGCGTTTTCGCATCTGGCCCGTTCTTCTGTTTCAGTGTAATGCTGTGAGCCGCAGCGCAAAATTTTCCCTTGTGGGCGATTGATAGCGCCAACTGCCCGATTGCGCTATACCTTGCAAGAAGTTTCCTGTTATGGTTGTGCGTGCATACGACTGCCTCTTGTTCTGCATTTTCATGCTTGGCGAGAGAACCACGTTCGCAAGAGCGGAGAAACCTAAATAGCGGAGCGCTGCATATCTGACCGGTACATAATAGCACGCCAGAAGCCAATAGTGGGTCGACTCTTAGGCCTGTCATCCAGTCGCATGCTCTTACGTAGTGCATTAATCCGGCCGGTTGGCTAGCACCGGGACGTTGGAGGTAAGGGGAACTTCATTCTTCTCGAAGTCAAGTTGTCTGCACCGTTTAATCCGGAAAAGGTGCGAGGTGGTGTACAAAATACTACGCTAGCCAGTGCGCTATAACGCCATCGAGCTCTCTGCAAGGGATTGGTGGTCACGTGGCGACGAATGAAGAAGTATCCATTTTTTATTGGCCTGCCAAAAGCAGCTCAGACAATCGAATGGTTCTAGTTCGAGATATGATCTCTAGTGACATGTGTGTTTAGGAACCAATAGGATTGTAGTCAGAAACCACACCCGAGGCCACGTCCGGAAGGTTACGAGTGATTCAAGCTCTAAGTTGTATGTCCTGACTTAGCCTCATATGCGGTCTATCTGCAGCTAGGACACATGGCATATTGGTGCTCCATCGCACAGCAGACCGGTATTGGAGGCAATGCTGGATCCAAGGGGCTCCTGCCTAAAAATAAGTCTCAGGATGGGTCGACCGCCTCGGTCTGAGCCGCCGCAAGCGGATTAGTCTGCTTTGTCGAGTTTCCTGATTGTCTCCGAATGCATAGAACGGGCCGAAAAGGATATGGGAGCGAGTTTGGAAGCTACAGGCGGTGCTATTATTGGTATGTTCTCTCTGTGTTACCCATTATGGCAGAATTTTCTATTTCAGAGGATGTTATGTAGTTTTCCAGCATAAAGGCCGGACTAAAAACTTTAAGGTACCTGAATCTAAAAATACTCCCATTCCAGCGATGAATAAATGCTACAGAACAAGGGAAGATTGGTGTCATGGACACCACTCCAAGCGGTACCTGGTAGTCCGTATTGCACCTCTCCCCACGTTCATATGATCTGGAGTTCCTTCCCAAAAGTATGCTCAGCTTCGGATTAAATCCATTCGATGCCTTATTGTAAATTGCCGCCCCTATCCAACCCTAGGTTCAGCAAGGCTTATAGGTAGTACAATATTGAAGCGTTAATGACCACCCAATACCTTGATATTCTCAAATTCACATCACTACGTTTTTTTTTTTTTTTACCAAGAATTTCTTCTCAATGCGAATACTACAACGCTTTAAATCCAATAGCTGTCCGGCAATTCTCAATTTACTTCCTCTCTCTCCAACAATATCACTCACTCTTTCTGACACTTCGGTTTTGCTTACACTCAAATGCAGACATTTTAATCGTATACGTTACAAGCCCTCTCTAGGCAAACTTGGCCTCTGGATGGTAGTAGACCGGGCAAACCCAATACGCCCTCTTGATACCCTCCCAAGCACTTTCCCCCTCAGCAGCCTTATCAGCCGCCATCTTCTGCTGGCTTTCGACCAAGGTCTCCTTTGGAGCGTCCATTTCAGTAAAAGTGACGGCCAACCCGTAGTTATTTAAATCCAACTCTACCACTTTCTTGTACACCTCGTAGCTGACAATTCTGTCGCCACCTAAACCGTTGAAGAAAGAGAAAACACCGTGTGGCTTCAACAAACCAACAACAAAATCGAACAAATCCAACATATCCTCGTAGTGCTCAGAGTAGGTGTCATAGTAGATCCCATTAAAGGTGATGCCTTCCTCTAACAATTTTGGCAAGGCTTCCTGCCATCTACCGCTCAACACCACTACGTTAGGCATTTCGAACCAGCCATCCGCACGCATTTTAGCAAGCACGTCAGGGTGGGCCTCACAGATGTAGTGCTTGGCTGGCTTTACCGCGTGCTTTTCAACCATCGTGTCGATAATCCCCATCCCAAACCCAATGTTGAGGCAGACGTATTCCAGGTCCACGCTGCCGTCTTCGTCGATGGTGCCAGACGCCATCGAATCGGCACCGGCTTGCATTAACTGGGACTCCCAGTCCATCATCACACCATCGCGGTTCTTCTCAGTGACAAGAGCGTTATCGGTGTATTCAAGCTTGGTCTTGAGGTAGGTTTCCTGGTTGTTGGCTGGATCATCAGCAAGCTCCTGTCTGAGGGCCTTGACCTTGGTATCGAATTCCTTCTCCTTTTGGAGCTCCACTGCTCTCTCTTCTTCCTCTTCTTTTTCATTCACCTCTTTTTTCTCGGCCTCGTCACTTTCGGTTTGCTCAACCATCTCAGGGTCAAAGTCCATCTCTATATCGTCGATGAATTCCATATCATGCTCGCCTACCTTTCTCAAGAGTAACTCGGCTCTAACACCGGCTTCAACCATTTGGGTAAAGTATACAGAGTCCTTAAGACCTCTTTCCACGAGAATACACGCCGGAGTACGTTCTTTGGTGTCGATGTGGCACCAGCCCGCACCCCACTGGAATAACTCGTCGATCATGGCCGATACGGTCTCAATTTCCTCTAGAGACGATTGCGCCGGTACAGGGACATTTTCCATGAGAATATGAAGAGGAGTGGTGGTGGAGGGCAAGTCCACAGGGTCTTCGATGCCCTGCTCGAAGAGCTCGGCCTCTTCCACGGTGTAGGTCGCAGGGATACCGCTCTTCAAGTACAGAGTGAGCATTGGGATGTAAGTACCCCTGGTAATAGGCCGCGTGGGGAAGCGACAAAGGTCGTGCAAGTCAGTCATGGTGGTGAAAGGGATAGGATGAAAAGGGAGGAGACTGGGGCCATAAAGATTTAATATTTTTCACCGAAATTTATGCATATGCAGGAAGTGTTGATCACGTGGTTGAGTGGCTTAACGCACATCGGGATATGGGACGGATATATAGTTTTGTTTACCGGTAAAGGTCTAGTTTTTTTGTAATATATAATCTCTGACAAGTCTGTATCATAAGGCTCTGGGAGCCTCTCTAAATTCTTTGCTGTCATTTCCGCCCTGGTGTAACCAGCTGTGAATTCGCCATCACACTGCTATTGTGCCATATCTATAAATCTTTCCAAAATGCTATGTATTCTCAATATACAATCCTCCGACCTAGTTCATACGGTCAATCTCATCACCACCTTCCTCATCCTCCAAACCAATCTTGCGCTTACCGGTCAATCTGGCGGCGGCCAACTGCTGCGTCGCAACCTGCTTCTTAACCTTGTTAGTCATCTTGGCGATCTCCACCTCGGCGTCTTCGGACTCCTGGGCGGCAAACTGCATCACCAAACGACGGCCCAACAAGTGGACACCGTGCAATGAGTCCATCGCATTTTCGGCTTCCTTAACCAAGACATACTCGACAAAGGCGAAACCCCTAGCAGACTTGTCAAACTTCTTTGGTACTCTAACGGATTTCAACTGACCAAAGGAGCCAAACAACTCCTGGATGTCCTTTCTGGTAGCCTCGAACGGCAAATTCTTAATAATGATCTTGCTCGACTTTTTGTCGGAAACAGTTGTAGGACGGGCGGAGGTGGAGGCCTGTCTGTGCGAAAGCTTCAATTGCAACTTGTGGCCGTCGATAACGTGGCCGTCCATGGCCGCAATGGCCGCGTTAGCCTGTTCCTTGGTTTTAAACTCGGTAAAGCCAAACCCCATAGACAACGACCCTCCTTCCTTCTTTGGATCTGGCTTGGTTTTGATCTGGGCCACCACAAACCCAGCAAGCGGCTTGAACGCCTCGGTAAGCTGGAGCGAAGTGGTGGTGAAGTTCAAGTTCTTCACAAAAATGGACACCGTTGGACCCTCAAAGACATCTGCATCGTCTTCCGCGCCGTTGTGCAAAACGTCCGAAACAGACATCTTTGCCTCCTTCGCGGCCTCCTCCACCTCTTCTCTCACGTCCACGGACTCGTTGTTCGTCGGCTCACGTGTGAACAAGCCCTTCGGGCCCTTTTCGAGGTAGATGATCGACTTCTTGAAGCGCCTGAACGCCAACTTGGTGAAGGCAGATCTGGCGGACGGGGCGTCGCGGAACTCCACTATGGCAATGGTGCCGGCTGGAGGCATCAAAATACGCTTCATCTCGCCGTACGGCGCAAAGAGCTCGCCAATCTCCTCGGAGGTGGTCCCGTATGGGAAGTTCTTGATCAAGATGATCTTGTCGTCTCTCTCGCTCTTGTCAAACTGAGTCAAGTCCACCCCCTTGCCCTCAAAGTACTTTCTGACGTCTCCGATGACGTGAGCCTCGGCTAAAGCCTGCTTCACGGCAGAGCCACTGTTCTCGGGGTCAATCAAGTCGGCCTTGGAGACCCCCATCTTCGCGGCCACGGACTCCATCACGGCATCGTTATTCATGTAAAGCGAGTTCCACGAGAAAACGGTCTTGGTGGCATCGGCCTTGCGCTTCAAGTCTTTCTGCTTCTTAAGCGGCAAGTTCTTGATGTCAAACTCGTCCAAACGGTGGTCCTTCTTCTTCTGGCCGGGCAAAATGTGCAACAACCGCCCCTGGAAAATCTGCTTGTCTAACGCGTAGTACGCCTGGATGGCCTCCTCCGGGTTCTTGAATTGGATGTAGCAGAACCCTTTCGACTTCCCGGTACGTGTGTCGATAGCAATGTGCACCTCTTCCAAAGCCCCAAACTTGCTGAACAACTGGCGGAAATCATCCTCCGCGGCCGTGTACAAGATGTTTCTCAAAAATAAACGCCCAGTCTGCGCGATCCCACGCACAGTCTTGGCTTCCTCGTCGCCAACAATCCCCTCTTCCTCCGGCTGTGGCTCTGGCTTGCGCGTCTGTCGGTGCAGAATTTGTTCCTCCAACGACTGGTGATTGATCTGTCTGTCCGGATGGATGTTCGGAACCCGTGGGGCCGACTCTTCTGATGTAGTATCGGCTCTGAAAGATTCTCTGGACTCGGTTTCTTCGGTCTTGTCAGACATACGCATTCGTCTCTGTTTGAGCCAGTCGAGATCAGAAATTGTGGTATCAGTAGCAGATTCGTCGTTCGCCGGCAATTCACTCAAGCTCATCATCTCCTCCTCCTCTTCTTCTTCTTCCGTCTTAGGCTTAAAAGTTTCGTACTCGTCATCACTGGCACCGTCGGCAATGGCATCCACGGAGCTCTGTGCGAGGATCTCCTTGCCCTCCTTCGCCGCAAGATGTTCCTCTAAGAACTTAGAGGATGGGGCACCAGAACCGTCAGCAGCATCGTCGTTCGCCCACGACTTGACCTGGTGCGACGGCTTCATCACCTCCATGAACTCTTTCAACTTTGGGTTGCTCTGAATTTCGTCGTCAATCCCAGATCTCTGCTTTCTCCTCTTCACCTCCCAGTCCTCTTGTTGGCTCGCAAATCGCTGCTCGCGTTCCCACGCGATGTCTTCAGCCATTCTTCTCTTCGCCTTGAACGACTTTGGCACGGTAGGGTCGGAAAAGGTTAGCGCCAACTCAACGTCAATTTTGGCTGTATCCACGAAGGTTTTGTCAAAATACTTGGCCGCCTTCTCAGCGTCTTCCTGCTTCAAATACCCGATGAAGGCAAACCGCCTGGATTCACCGTTGCGCTTCTTCATCAACTTCACATCCGTCACCACCCCTTGTTTGCTGAAGTGTTTTTTCAAGTCTTCCTCACTGAAGTACTGCGGGAGTCCCTTGACAATTAAACGCGACATGTCTGTTCGGAAGTATATCTAATGACAATAAAGACCTCTGATCGATGATATGCATAAATTTTTTTTGCTTTTATCTACGTGCAGGTTTAAAAACTTTTCACGCCGCAAGGGGATGGCCCGGGGCTCGCAACGTCAATGCCCCCACTGTGGATAGCAGGACGTAACACTAACAAAGATTGAACGGTAACAAGACGTATATATGTTTGTTTCAATAACCTACATACCGCCGCTTATTCATGGTTCTACCGGCAGATTTGAGTTTAACGGGTTTAAGGTTAGCGGGTTTGAGGTCTGCCGGTTTGAGGTCTGTCGGTTTGGCACGCCATCGTTACAACTGATTAGGATGCATAGCATTCGCCCGTCACCTCTCGCCCATCCACTAAAGTTCACAATCACGGATCGAGGTCACAATAAGGTGCCACAAAATACTTTCTGCCTTGGAAATCTGCTGTTATCGCGGTTATATTTAGAGCTTGCGGGGAGCTTGGGCGAGTATTTACTCGAAAATAACTCGCTGGAACGTGGCAAGCGAACGGTTCTCAAAGCGAACGGTTCTCAAAGCTAGCGACCCTCAGCAGAATGAATTTCTGAATTGGCATTACAGTTCTAAATCGTTATCTGCCCAGAACCTACACTTAGCGATATCTACAAAGACCCTCTTTCGTGTCTAGCTGATTTCATAGCAAATACATAATGGATAGGGACGTTATATTAATAAATATTCTCACAGAAATAATCAGTGAAGAAGAAGCGGCACAATTGCAATACGCCATTCCCCTACTCCAAGGCACTTCGAATGCTAAGTAGCGCGTCGGCCAACTTCTGGAAAATGATCACCTTCACTTTGAAATCATACATATACTTGAACATGTACGCCCCAATCTTCAACATGCGAAGGGCCGTTTTATGGGAATTTTTTCTGTGCACCGAACCGCCAAGTCCGGATTCCATTGCCATGAGGTTTATGCTGCTCCCACCCTGGCTTCCGGTGTCTATCTCGGCGTCAAAGTCAGACATCTTGTAGAAAATCATCATTAAACGCTCAAACTTGTGGAAAATCTTCTTGAGAATGATCATCTGATCAGCCAAGCCACGGTTAAGAAGCGACATGCTGCTTTGCCCGCTGTAGAATGTCGTCTGCGGCGTGTGTCTGAAGTCCAAGAAACCACCCAGCTCCTTTTTGACCCCAAAGAGATCCGCGCTAACGTTCGTCTCTACCTGGGAGTTGGACCGACCGCTTGCATGCGGGTCAAGGTAACCATTGGCCAGTTTGTCGTTCATGTACATCACAAACTTGGCCAGAATCAAGAACACATCAAATAAGATCTGGTAGTTAAGCGAGATTTTCGAGCCGAGCTCACTCTCGTTGATTTCCCAGTCATCTGCATCGCCATTCCTGGCTCCACGAACCTCGCCGTCGTCAGTTACGCTGAAAAACGCAAATTTTAAGATCTCGTTACATGAGCAAATCACCTTCAAATAGTCCGCTTCGGATAAATGTTGCATGTTTGTCAACATATCGCAGATGCCCTCGAAATCGTTGAAAAATACCTTCTCCTTGATTGCGTTAAGGTTGAAGATAGATTTAATCTGGAGGTAATTCAACAACAGTCGGGCATCCAAGTTCATCGAATTCACCGTGTCCTCACTCTCCGGGAGGTACTCCACGGGATATGGCTTTGCCATGTCAAAGTTCCCTGCAAGAGTCAGGAAGATATCCTGGTGAGAGGAGAACGAGCTAGGGCCCTTCACATTTGTTGCTCTTCCACCGGGCAAGATCCGTGTCATGTAACCGGTGTTCTTGGTCAATTTCACCAAATTCTGGATGGATTCCTCAAACGTGTCGTTGTTGCTCGTGCTAATCAACGCAAACTGGTCGTAGATCCCGTGAATGAGACAGATAATCGCAAAGTTACTCAACTGTTCAAACGCGTAGCGATTAGTGTCGTTGTTGATCAACAAGTACAACGTGTCCATGAAGTTGATCCGGAGCTTGGTGCCGTCGTTCCTCAACGCGTTACCAAATTCCGGGTTCGTCCCATCTGCTGGACCCTTCTTAATATAATTCTGTTCGTACAGCGCAAAGCTATTGAAGTTCCATACGGTTTCGTCATCGATAGAAGGAAGCTCGATCACGCGGAGGTCGTGCGCCGTTAGGCGTGGTGGCACGTTATATAGCTCCGCCAAGGACATGATACAGTTGTAGATCACTAGTACCGTACGGCACTTCAACTGCCGTTTGATGGCCATGAGGAAGTTTTCCTCAACCACCGAGTGCTTCGTGCGAGTGTGGGCCGTAAACAACGATCTCACATCATCTTCAGGAGCCTCGCTATCCAGTTCCAAGGCAGGGGGGTACTCCTCTATGGTCTGTGGAGAAGAGTTTAGTAACCCTCCAAGCGCGTTCACCTGGCGCAATACCGCGGGGAGATTCACGTCACAGTCGGCAAATAAACTGTGGATCACCGAGAGCGTCAAGGCCTGCACAAGCCATAGAGGGTTCTTGTCTTTGCTGCTCTGTTGGCCATGGGAGAACCGGCTGTTCTGCCCCGTTTCACCAAAACCGTTCGGAGCACCGCCATTGCCACTCTGGCTCTTGGTGTCCTTTCGCAGCTCAAGGAAAACGTGAATGCAACGTCTGGAGGCTTCGTACAAGTTTGCCCCATCCACCTTCTGATTGTCGGTAATCGCCCCGATGGACGCAATAAGCAACGGGAGACAAATAAAGGCCGCTTCAGATCCCTCGTTATGATTGCCTGGCTGCGAAAATTGCATCATCTCGTACTCATTCAACATCGAAGGATGTAAGATGGGATAGTGGTTAAGGAATCGAGCTATAAACTGTGCGAGGTATTGCTCGAGTTTCTCGTTCGACGGGATATGCGGGGTGGGGTATCCAACAAAGGGATACTTCGCCAACGATTTGTAAACGATGGTGCGAAGGTTGTACGTAAAGAGTCGCGTTTTCGAGTAGGCGTAGTTCGGGTTGAGGCCATGATTGAGTAAAAAGGAACCAGAGCTGCCGGGTTGCGGCTGTGACTGCGACTGTGACTCTAGCTGTCTGGGAGAGATGGTGGCATTTGTGGAGTTGCTCGAAAGTGTCTGGGCCGAGTCCATGTTGTAGAAAGAGTACCCTGTGGAATAGTAGTTCTTTGCGTCGTTCAAGTCGTTCAAGATCTCGTTGATGTCGAGAGGGTCGACAAGGTCTGGGTTCGGGGTCTGGGTGGGAGAGTTATCCTGGACCATGGGGGAGAGAATACGGTACGCTGGGAATGGCTTGGGGACGTCAGATGAGTACAAGTTCGCGTTGGGCGCTTCTGGCTGGTCGTAGAAACTGTAAGTGGTAGCTCTGGGCGTATGTTCGCCCAGGGGGACAACCGAGTGGTCAGAGAGATCGGTGGGCTGCAAATGGGAGGCGATATTGGTAACAGAGTGAAGCAGTGGTGGTGGTCGCATGAAGTTGGGGTCGGGCTTGTCCAAGCCGATCTGGAAGTCCAAGCTCGGGTTGGCATTTCTGTGGAGAAACTCCATTTTAGCGGCACTAGTGTCATTCATCTCATTGAGGAATCCTGTTTTTGCGGTTGTCGTTTTGGTCTGAGGGGTTTCCATCTCGGCAAGAAAGTCCAACTCTGGAATATCGCCGAGATTGCCTAACCAGCCTTCACCCGTGGCTTGACCATTTGGCATGAACTCGTCCACAGCCATCATTTGCGGAGTGGAAAACTCCACGTGTTCCGGGTAGTTGTTGTTGCTGTCCAGCTGCGGGATGGCGTAGTTCGACCCGGACGAGGCGGAAAACGAGGCTCTGCGGCGAACCAGCGACGAGAGCGGATGTTTTCTGGGATGCGGCGCCTCGAGCAAGTCACCGCTGCCATGGGGGGCCTGGTTCCGATTGAAGTAGCCGCCCATGAGGGTCTCCAGTGGCGTAGACGGCTGGGATTGCAAAACAGCAGATCCGTTGTGGTCCAACATAGGCGTGACAATGCGCAGTGGGCCCTCCTCCAGTTCCAAACCCAAAGCGTGGATGTTTGTGGTGCTTTCAGAGGCCGAAAGCTCCGCGTGGGGTGTCAGCGCTGCGGTTGTTGGGGTTCCTATCGACTTGGCAGAGCCCCGGCGCCGTCTGAGTCTTCGGATCGCGGTGTCCGAGCAGCCTGCGTGCAACTTCTGGGCGTGGCGAAGGAGTAAGTCACGGCGTGAGAACTTACGGGAGCAGATCCCGCAGTCAAACGGCTTTTCCCGCGTGTGTGATCGTTCGTGACGCTTCAAATGTTCCTGGCGAGCAAACGCTCGCGTACAGACCAGGCACACGAACAAGCGGGGTTTCCCCAGCGGAGTCGTCCCGTAGCCAGCGACGGTCACCGGGAGCGGTGACACGGAGGAGGAGTCGGGGAGAGCGGGCATGGGTGAATCTGTGTCTGGAAAGAGCAGGGTTTCGGTACTACCTGTCTGAGGGTTCTTCAAGTTTTGGGTGTGATTCAGGCTATGGACGCTGTTCTGAGGGAAGGTCGGGAAAGTCGAGCGCGCTTTATCCATGCTTCCACCGCCAAAATCTATTTTCTGGTTCAACGGGAGGGAGCGTGGGGACGAGGCAGAGACCATCTGTGTTTAGCCGCCGGTGTAGAAATTGAACTGGGGGGGTCCGGGCTGTCTAAGTTGCTTGGAATATACTATGGCGGATAAGGGGAGCGGTCTGAGATAACGAATAGCTTAGGGCACTGAGTCAACGTTTTCGGCTTGGTGTGGTGCATTAACCGCTGGTGCAAAATCGAACCTTCAAATGCCTCGTAGAGGTCGGGGAAGAAAACGAAACGACATACGAGGGCGCGAACTTTTGGGCTGAGTCTAGGCCTGTACACAAGCCACCGTCATTAACTCGGATGCGTGCGCATGAAACCCCGATGTCCTGCACGCCGCCAGGAGTTGACTAGTAATTAACGGGGTCTGTGCAGGTCCGGACTGAGAGCATTAACTCTGGGCTAAGTTTAGGCTACATGGATTCAACCATCCTAGCTCCAATTTACTAGTTGAATCGAAGCAAAAGGGACCCATTCGATGTTCACTTAAGGAAAATGTGTGAATCACTGCAGGGTGGACACTCCGAGTATCCTCCTCTAGCTGGATTTAATGCAGAGTGAATCCGAAAAGTAGGCAGTTAAGGTTTGTGACTCAGTGAAGCGCTCCGGTGTGTACTGGTTGAGCCAGACCGTTAACGCGACTGGCAATGAAGGCTCCGCGCTGGTTACTACCGAACCAAGTAAACAAAAGGCGTTCAGGGAACAATAGAGGAAGTCGCATTCAATCGTAAATCGGGCACATCCAACTTTACTTGGAATTGGTCTATATTTGTCTTCCAGAGGTGTAAGCTGGTTTATTCGGACGAAAGTGTGTTGTATTTTTATCGTTACGGTGTCCCGGAAGTCACCGAGGGTGTGCCATATGTCGAGTCGCTGCTCACCGGAAGATGCCGAAGATGTGGTATATGTTAATTCGCTACTCACTGGGTACATAATGTTAGAATAATAAGCACAAGGGGGAAAGTCTTATCATCTGCATTAACTACACCTTTCGGCCTGCTAGTTTGTATCTGTCAAGTTGATTGGAGCTGGTAAGCCCTTAGCGACCACCAGAAATAGCTCGATCCTTGAAGCTCAACAATGGCACGAAAACGGCGATCGCGGTACAGGTGCGGGGTAATCGGGCCGGTGCCCTGTCAGTTGCGGCGCGGAAATCCAACAAAAAAGATTTTCTTATGTAAGCGCGTGGGGCAGAGCTTGCGGGGTAACCACAACATTCGAAAACAGGGCTCCTACCGCTCTAGATGTGTAAGCCCGATCGAGAGAGGCCTTACCATGATTTTTTGCAGAGTTCTAGATTCAGCTATCTAAATATGGGAGCTATCAGGGATCACCCTTTCTTTACTAAGGCGATGAGTTAGCACTTATTTTGTCACTCTAAAAATACATGTTATCTCTACTGGTTCATCTGAGTGGTGTCCCTGAGGCACAGTACATAACGGCTCGTAGTTTTTCAAATACCCCATGTAGTATAAGCTACAATAAACACTTCAACTAGCAATACACTGCTCTGTTAGCAGTATCAGTCACATGTACTTCCCCTTCAGGTTTCTTAAAAATTACTGCAATTAATTGGCAATGGTGTATAGTTTGCAGCTTTACTCCGTACTGCTGTTACGCGAAGAAGTTAAACAATTTTCCATGAGGTTGATATCATAGCCGGTTGTATCAGGCATCACTATTGAATATTTGTCTCGACCTAGAGGAGGAATTTCTCCGTAAATTTTGTCAGCTTTTAAGGAACTCAGCCTACGAAGCACTTTTATCCTTCACCGTATAGATCAGAGAGAGCCACATGCGTATCTGAATACCGCGCCTAGGTGCTTTGTGTGCTTGGGGTATACGTTCTCGCCAGCTCCTCGAGAAATAATGGATGCGAACTTATGATACGGTAAAAGTTTTAAAACCCATGCGAACTATGAGGCGAAATCTGGCCATATTATTAACCCCTCAGTCCATTCAAGGTTTTAACCGTTAGCACGCTTAAACCCTTGATTGTTAAAGGCTCAAAGAGGTTAATACCTTTCAAGTCACACGCCAACCTACCTCTAAATTAACACTTCTAAGGGTAGCCAAAAAAGTAACCTCCGATACCGGGAGTCGAACCCGGGTTTGCTCGGTGAAAGCGAACCGTGCTAGCCGTTACACTATATCGGATGATCATAAGCTTCACTTCTTTGATGAAAAGTAGTACAGTCTGTTTGAAATCTATCTATGACTTTCGTAGCACTAGCTAGTCTAGGATTTTTGCATATTTATAACTCTAGGGCATAACTATATAGAAATCTGAGCACTGGAATCTGTACCTAGTGGAGGTCTGAAATATATTTTAAATATATTTGTTTTTATTACTCACGTGTTTCTTGATTAGATAATTCAAAATTTAGTATTAATTCAGTGCGCAATTATGCATAATATATAATTCAAATATATATTACGTATACATGGGGTTGTACATACCAATAACATATTAATATCGATACCGTAAAAGGTTGCCTTCTAAAATCTGCCTTTTATGCACCATAGCTATATATGTATACACGCAAATTACTGTCCTGCGACCGATCCACATTCTATACCGCAACACCGACCAGAAGCCAACCACACGAACATTAGGTTACGCGGCGGACAATCCTGCGTGTGCGCTCCGCATCCACTCCTGTACGGAGGTCTCATTTTTCTTTCCCTAAAAAGAAATCCAGTAACATATATCAAACGCCACAAATGCTCTCTCGAAGAATCAAATACCTCCTCATCCTCATCCTCATCATGCTTGTTGCTTCGTCCATCCGCAAGAGTAAGTATCCTCACAAACTCCAACAGACTGGCACTAACCTCTAGACGCCATCGGAAGATCGCTCAACTTCACCAGATCCTCCAAGACGTTGCTAAGTCTGAAGCTCCTCGCGTACCAGCCGACCCAGAATTATGCTATACTGCGCCTAAATACCGCTAAGCGGTACTTCTCGTCTAGCGCCAATCCTGCTGAGTCCGGTTCCTTGGTCCAGTACAAAGTCTCGGTTGCATTCCAGCCAAAGGACCGCGAGAACCTTGAGAACAAGTTTGTCAAGTCTAAGAAGCAGAAGTACGCGGAAGCACACAAGCTCTACCAAGGCGAGGAGGAGGGTCTTTCAGAGACCGGTGAAGACAACTACTTTGTGTCGATCAAGGATGACTCGCACCTTGCAATGGGTGTGGCGGACGGGGTTGGCGGTTGGAGCGAGTTGGGGTTCGACTCCTCCGCCATTTCACGCGAGTTGTGCCAGGCAATGTCGCGGTTGTACGCAGGCAACCAGATGTTGACCCCAAAGCAGTTGTTGAGCTTGGCGTACCAGGAGATCCAGCAGTCCAGCAAGGTCGAAATCGGCGGCACAACCGCTTGTTTGGGCACTGTGAATCCAGAGGGGTTGTTGAAGGTTGCCAACTTGGGCGACTCGTGGTGCGGTGTGTTCCGAAACTACAAATGCATCGAGCAGACCGAATTTCAGACCCATGGCTTTAACACGCCGTTCCAGTTGGCCAAGATTCCGGATGAGTTCTTGAAGAAGGCCCAGAGACAGGGCAAAAAGTATATCATGGACACCCCTAAGTCAGCAGACGAGTACGAGTTCCAGTTACAGAGCGGTGACTTTGTCATGTTTGCTACCGATGGTGTCACCGACAACATTGACGTCTCCGACATGGAAATCTTCTTGAAGGACCATGCGGAGAAGTTACTGCACAAGAACGAGCAGGAGATGCACCAGGTCACGTCAAAGTTTGTCACCGAGGTGGTAAAGTTGAGCAAAGATGTGAACTACCCAAGCGTATTTGCACAGGAGTTATCCCGGTTATCCGGCCAGAAGTACTTGGGGGGCAAGGAAGATGACATCACCGTTCTTCTTGTTAAGGTCCAGTAGTCTGGAGACGATGGACGAGGTAGGGAGCCCCAGCTGTTTTAATGTGACGTACATATACAGAAGTTGCAGTAGAGTTAGAAACAGTCTGGCCTTCGATGGGAAAGCACCGGGAGGGGCCATGGAACCGGATATTGTTAAGCACAAAAAGTCTAATTTGGAAAATTTGAGGCGATGTTTGAATATTGGGAGATCGCTTTGCTTTTTAAAACTAAGTAGCACATTATCGTGTTTGATTAAATTATACAGGAGGCAAGCTCATTGGTGTTCCTTTATCCCTACCCAATGCCTAGCTGGGGGAGCCCTAGGTAAAAAGCCTCAGACCTAGACCATGAACATATGCATCGATAACCCATATTTTGTATAACTGTTAATACAATACGCTAAGCTAACCAAAGTTTCCCTTGTCTGGTTATTTCAGCTTCGTACTCGCCGATGCTCCCAGTGTTCTCGGTTACTCCTCGTATTGCAACAAAATCAGACGAATCCGCGCATTTTCCTCCATCTTCCTATTCTCCTCCTCCATAAACCTCTCCGCGAGCTTATCCGTCTTGGACAACTCAATCGTCTTGGCCACCTGCTGCTTCTTGGCATTTTTCGTCATCAACGTGAATCTCATTCCCGACGAATTAGAACCAGAGACAGACTTGGCGGGGATCGGGGCGCGGAAGGCGCGCACACGGGAGTCCGACCCCTTACCAGCCTGGTCGTTCATGCTTTCTAACATCAACTTCTTCAAACCTTCATCTAACTCCTCCTGCAACTTGCGCTGCTCGCGTTCGAGCTCAAGCAACTCCCTCCGCTTCTTGCTCAAGACCTCCTCTTCTTCCGAGTCCATATCGTCATCATCGTCATCATCGTCATCCTCATCCTCGTCATCCTCATCGTCATCCTCATCGTCCTCATCCACGTCATCGTCCTCATCGTCCTCATCTTCTTCCTCCTCGTCGACCAACTCCTCTTCCTCCTCTTCCTCCTCCTCCTCCTCCTCGGCCAATTCCTCTTCTTCATCGTCGTCATCGTCCTCGGTCGTGTTCTTCATGAGCTCCATCAACTTTTCTCCCGCTTGGGTGCCAGATGCCAGCCGCAAGTCCGCCCAGTGGGGCATTTCGACAACCAACTTCGTATAGAACGCGCTCAACGCAAAGGTGAGATCCATTGGAAGCGGCTGGGCCTTGCACCAGACGAAATAGTCAAAGAAGATCAAGAACTTGCGAAGTTTTGCTTCAAAGCGCCTCCCGATCAATTCCTTTCCGGTCTTCTTCCCAGACTTGGCCTTATCCACCGGATTGAAGAACTTCAAACTCGTCAACACCGTCGTAACCATGCTCACTCTGAAGTAGTTATCCCTCGGATCTAATTTGTTCGCCACGGATCCTGGGTCTCCGCCGTTGTACCCGAAATTTGTCACGTGGAAACAAATGTCCAAGAGCATCTCCCAGGTGAGCACGTTGCAGTTGTACAACTCCGCCACATACTTCATTGTCACCAAGCGGCTTCGGTTCATACGGTACTCATTCACCATCAATCCAATATCAATCGTCTCAATGACCGTATCCACCACTTTGGGAACCAAGCATGGCACTACCTTCTTCATCTGTGAAAGAAGTTTCGCGAGATCAGGTACCGCGTCGTAGCTTACCTTCTGTGGCTTCGTAAGCACGGAGTGCAAGGTGTGCTGAATCTTTGGATCTTTCATATTCGCTTTGGTAATGATCAGGGCAATTTTACTACATGGACTGGCCCCCAACTGAGTTGTGATGACGTAGCGGATGAACTGCTGCTCGAGTGTCTCATCCTTGCGCTTTTTTTGGTTCGAGATCTTGGCGAGCGACGGCGGATTCACGATCAAGAGAAAGTTGTCGATTGCAAGCAAATCATTGGCAGTGAGCTTGTCGTCCAGGGACCGTTTTGTTTTCAAAAGTTCGATCATGTCGCGGGTTAATTCCTTATAGTCCGCGTCGTACTTAAGGACCCTTCCGCAGTAATCGTTGCTGAGTAACAAACCCAAGATCTCCAAGTTGTTCAACACCTGGATGTTCAAGATCAACGTGCGGATCTTGTGGAAGATGACATGCGACGGCAAGATCTTGAATTTAATTAACTCCAGGAACATGTAGATGGTGGCGACGAGGAATTTCCCGTTGTGTAACTGCGAGCGGAAATTCACATCTAAGGCATCAGAAATCTGCAGCGTCACATCTGGCAACAAGTCCTTGTTGGTTGCAATAAACCGCGCGTAGAGCTTCAAATCGTGGATCGTGGCGGAGTTGTTGCGGAGCTTTTCCTCCAAAAACTTCACCAACCGGTTGCGCGATGCCTTGTTATTGAGACCCATGTACCAATACTCGTAACACAACTCGTCAAGCAGCTTCACAGTTGAGGTTTTCTCCAATTTTGCAAGGAATAGCGTCATTTTAGCCCCAAGCTCGTCGTCTACACGTGTCGCAGCGGTCACTGCGACCGGAATCGAGTTTTTAAGATTGGGCACCTTGGTGTAGAAGTCCTTGTTCTCCTGGTTTTCCCAGACGAGCATCTCGTCTTCCTGGTTGCCACCAGAGGAGACTTCTGTGATGATGGCCTTTTCCTCTTCTTCTACCTGGGCTGAGAGATCCGGGAGGGGAATATGGAATAAGGGACAGAGGTAGTCAACACCGATGGTAAAGAGCAGTAAGAGGGTTTCAAGAGTAGTGATCTCCGTAGTGTATTCCTCGAGGATCTTGCCCGTGCGAATGGAGGCCTTGGTGAGGCGCATGCGCCATTTGTTGAGGGAGGCAGAAATAACTAGGGCCTGTTTGGTGATGGCGTTTGTGTATATGGTGAAGAGGGTGAGGAGCTGAGGGAAGACATCCGGAAGTGCTGAACCATTCGCGGAATGGGGCTCCGTTTCATTTCCATCCACGCTGCTTTCCTTCAGACCTTCTCCCGGGAAATCTTCAAGAATATACGACCCAAACCTCTTTAAAAACCCCACCGCAATCGTAATCGTCCCGCCTCCCTTCAAATCATAGCTAAAAATCTCTTTCAATACCGACAAAAGCACCGGCTCCACCTTCTCCACCTTTGCGTTCACCTTCCGCAACGCAAAGTCCGGGAGGTCCTCGTGCGCCGCCTCGTTGATATCTCGGAAAATTCCCACCATGCAGTACTCTGTGAGCAAACGGAGCAAAATCTTCTGGCGGGCGACTCGCCCTGCGTCCTCTTTCTCGTTGCGCACGTACGATTTCGGCGGACTCGCGAGCCCGTGGAGAAAGCTGGACAACAAGTATGGTGTGAACTTGGTACCGAAGCGCTGGTGCAACGCACTGACAATCTCCACCGAAGCATTAACATCCGCCGTCTTGGTGCACCGCGGTAAGCCTTCCAAAATCCCGGCTAGGATTTCTGTGAGGTATTTCTCGAGCGATACCGTCTGGATGTCTTTGAGAATCGTCTGCTGCTGGTCAGCACCAAGTGACAGGCGTACCTTTTTGATGAAGGCGGTGTTTTTCTTGAGCGATGCGTCAAGCTTTCCCACGGGAAACACGGCCTCGCCGTTCCACGCCCGCGTGTTGAGCTCCCACAACTGCTGTCTCCTGGAGTCGTCAAGCGTCTAAAGGTTAGTCACGGCTGAAAAAGAGCAAAAAGGAGCAGAGTGTACATACAGTAGTCATTATTTGATATGACTGGCTTGGATAAATATCAATTAATGAGTATCGATAGAGGGTGTGGAGGAGTTCAGATACGTGCTGGCTGAATAGGTGAAAAGTTCCAGCCGCAGGTAGAGATTTTTCGGCCGGCATATAAACATCTGAACGAGTACCAGCGAGATTGGCCTGGTACTTAAAATAATACAAAGTAATCTATTATTGTAAATTAGTTAAAACTCGCTCAGTTAAACCTCCTTTAACGAGGAGGATGTTCTGTTCATATTTTATGACCGGTGGTGTGTCTACGAATTTGGACAACTTTTATTCTATAAGCGTACCCGCCTGTACATGCAAGTGCTCCAGAGACCATTATACAAGCTAACGTCTTGGTCAAAACGGTTACTCACGCCATCTAGACACCTATAGAGTGTTTTTTTTATAACCTTCCATTTACCCACGTAGTTAAAACCTTTTTCTTCTTATTTATTATCAGAACCTAACTCAAGGCACATCAATTTTTACTTCCCGGGGGCTGATAGAACTCAAATTTGAGGTTGCTGTCGCCGGCACAGCTCAGGCGCCGCGGCACGACCGACCGGAACTCCTTGGCCTCTTCGATGGTTGACGGATGCGGGCGGAATTCGTGGTTTTGGAACCGCGACATCCCGTGGTATTTGGCCGGCGGCGTCACCTGCGACATCGACGTATTTGCGGTGCTATTGCTGGCGGAGGATATCCTTCTGGCAACCTGTGGACTCACAAACGGCGAGCCAAAGGAGTTTCCTGCCTGGCGTGGAAAGATCCCATGTGGGTGGCTCATCTGAGACTCAGATTCCACGTGAACGAGCATAGACATCGGCGGCTGGGATTCTGTGCGCATGAGCATCGGCGGCTGGGGTTCCGCATGCACAAAGTTCGGTACCGGTTGTTGGAACTGTGGATAGTACATGTCCGCGGGCATCATCTGCATTTGCATCTGCATCATCATCTGCTGGCGCTGTATCTCCAAGAACTGCTGTTGTTGGAGGAACTGTTGCTGCACCATGAGCTGCTGGTAGCCCGGGGCCTGGGGCACAGGCTTTGTTTCCACCAGGGAAGTATCGGGCAACGGGCTGGTAACAACCACCTCCGTATCTGACGAGTGGTGAACAATCTCTTTGGCCAGCATGCGCCATTTGCCAAACGGCATCTTCTGCACCAGCACGGCGCCAGAGCCACGACCAAACAGATATACCACCACTGCGTGTTTTATGTCTTCTTCGTACAACACCTGGACCACCGTCAAGCCGTCGAGCGGGCTAGCGCCCAAGCCATCAGCAGACGCGGTAGAGTTCATCACGAAGGTCAAATACCCGTACCAGAAGGACGCCATGAACGGGATTCGCATAAGGTACTCGTCGGAGTCGACTTCGAGGTTTTTGTACGCGTTGATGTACTCGTCGCTGTTCATGATCAACATGTCATGCTCGTCGTAGATCCGGGTGGCCATTTTCCACGTCAACATGGAAGACGGACAGCTGCGGACCGCACGTAGTACCACATGCGCGTCGAGTGCACCGTCAGTGAGGTTTATGGACGCTGTCGCGCGCGCGCGCGGTGACTGGACTGCAGATATGCATGGAAGCGCGACGTTGCATTGAATGAGTATAAGCGGAAGTTCATCCGCAGTCTCCGCGAGTAAATGCCGCGCGGCCTTGCCCCTGACCTTGAGTGACGACGGCTGCGGAAGTGTGTTCGGCTCCATCTGCGCAAATATGTGGGACTGCCCCGTCAACGAGTTCGTGAACTGGATCTCCATCTGGGACACATCAATTTCCGTCGGAGAAACTGCGTGCGGCGTGGATTGGTCTAACGCATCGCCCCTGGAGACGTCAAAAGTGGGGGACGACGATAGAAATGCCACGAACTGATCATCTGAGCTCTCCTTCGCCGGAAACTTGTAAGCGCTTTCGGGTGTCGTCACAGTGATCTGTGGCACTTCTTCTTCCAATACGAGGTACCTTTTCATTTCGTTGCGGGTGACAGCCGAGGTGCGTCCGTGCCACATCAGTTTCAACCGATTTTCCACCTGGCGCGGTGTCTTGCATCGCGCGGCGCGCGCTTTCTCGCGCTCCGCTGTGCCCTTGGCGCGGTACTCGGGCTCCGCCTCCAACTCCTCGAGCACACGTGCGGAGTACGCGTCTGCAAGCGCCGCGAGATTGAGCTTGCGCTCCTTCGACAGGTACGCGCCTGGAAGGAGCGCGCGCATCGTTGCGAGAAGAAGCGCATCCGCGGCCGGCGACCAGCTCGTGCGCGTGTGCAGCTTTTTTGCTGTGGGTGTTTCCGGCACCAAGAGCTTTCGTTTCCGGTCGTCGATCTGGTTGGAGATGTCTGCCAACGGGGCGCGTTCGGGAAGTTCCGAGAACATGCTTGAAAGGTCGCGTGCGCGGCACTGGGAGTCTGGCGGCGTGAACTTGGAGATGCCGCGCTCATCCTCGTCGTCGGTCGCGTCTGCATCGTACTTGGGCTTCGGCGATGGCTGTGTCGGGCTCCGCACATTGGACACGCCGATGCGCTGGAAGTCTGACTGGTTGCCGAACAAGCGCGATGGGGAAAACGAGAGCGACCCAGGCGATAGGTGCATCGGTGTGTTGAGGCTAAGCAAAAACGGCGTCAACAGTTCGTGACCGAGTGCGGAAAGTGTGCGTTTGTGCGTGGGCGTCTGTGGCGGAAGCATAGCGAATTAGAAGGAATGAAACGGTTCAGAATAAACCAATGAGTGACGAATGGCTGACCACTAGAATGTGAAATGATGGTGTATGGATCGAAGCCACTAGATTGCTGGACTATTGACGTTTATGAGTGCTGCGTGTTGTCTTCACTATATTAGACAGGTGACGTGAGCTCTTGCTATTCCTCTATTATTTGTCTTTTGTGGTAGAAGAGTGTAAACGTGTGATTATGGGTGTGAAAGAAAACGTCAATGCGTATTTACTAGTACCTTATTCTACTGCTGAAATAGATCCGCGCATCTGCGCGGTAACTATTTTGCTTTGATGACGTCTGGATCCATTCTACCTGCATACAAACGCGTTACCCCTGCGAGCACCTGATGGCGTGCGCATACCGCGATCGAGGCAGCTCGTATACGCGTCGGGAGGTGGGAAAAAGGAGAGGTAAGCTGTAGGCTGTTTGCTAGTGCTTTTAAGTAGCACGGTCATTTTTGCAGTACTAGTGTCATGGTTATGCGGAAGGGAAAGAAAAGGGCCAATCTGAACGGTTATAGTGGGGGGTGAACGCGCAGATTTGCGACGGGAGTATTTAATTTAATGAGGTTTCGTGGTTATCGTCTGATTATTTTCCAGTTGCATATGGTATAGTTATGTTTCTCTTCCAATACAATAGCTAGTGGGAGCATTAGCGTAAAGCTGATGCGTAGTCTCTAGCCCGCCGAACAAGGCGCCGCAAAAAGTGCTGTGTACCAAACATTGGGTTAGAAAAGTTGAAAAATAAAAACGCCGCAAATACCGGTGGTTGATTCTGCGGTGGCGTGAACTACATAAAGATTAAATTACCGCGTTCCGTGTTATGCAACACGCCTGGAGCAGTCACTGCCTCAGGTTAAGCTCCCCTCGCGAAGAACTTCGATCCGGCACATGGTGCGTTATACGAAGCGCTAACACAATATGGGTTATAATTTGGCCAAGCAGAAGTTTCGTGTCATGTTTACCCAGCGGCTCAATTGTGCCTATTAATCGACAAACTTCCAGACCATTTTTTCAACTGGACGCGACCGTGTTTATGATTTCAAGCCAGCCAGCCGGACACTCAAAACACTAGTCACTTGCGGCTGCTTCATCACGGGGTTCCACTGGGCCACGGGGTGGGGGGTATCATTTCCTAGGGCCTTGAAGCAGCGACCTTTGCAATGAAATTATATCACAAATTACTTAGAGTTTGAAAGCACTGCTCAGTCCCATAGTGGCTATAGAAACAGAGTTCTCCAGAGAATTGAAGTCACAGAAGATAAACCCATAGAATGACAGATAAGCTTCGGATTCGTAGCATGGATATAGCCTCGGGGGATGTCCAATTTTAAAGGATTTATTTTGTAAAATGATCTTTCAAAATTTTGATGGATATTTTTCAAGGTACTACGTCCCTTAATAGGAACGACTATTACACAATTTTGTTCTAATCGTGGAAAGGCATCATTCATTTACCGAGCCACCTTAGGTGGGATACCAGACTCTAATCCCTAACAACGAATTCATCTCGCTTTAATGAAACCTCGACAGCTGATCCACATCAGTCTCGAAGTTACGGTTATAAACAACACTCCCTATATCCTTATGCATTTTATACGTTACCTCTAAAAACTGTTTAGCTCAAAGTCTTCGTCTTCGATATGCTCAAACAGATCCTCGGCATCAGTCTGTTTTTCTGCGGTATTCTCGCTGAACCGATAGTAGTTGTACCAGCAGATATCGCCCAATGTGATCACCAAACCCACAACGTTGACAAAGTTCAACTCGTCGCCGAACACTGCGGTGGAGACCACAATCGTCAACAACTCCTTGAAGATTCCCGCGACGCTCAACGTGACCACGCGGGTGCGGTGCAACAACTGAAACTCGCACACCGTCATGGAAAATGCAAGCACCCCAGGGATTACCATCAACCCAAGGGTCATCGGGATGCCCTTTTCGGCCCAGATCGAGGCAGTCACAAACTTGGACCATCCCTCGAGCCCGAGACCGAAGCAGGCAAGCACAAACGCCATTCCCGGCAGAAGGTAGAAGATTGTCAGAATCGGATTTGACGTGTAGGCGTTACGCTTGAGCAAGATCTGGGTGAAGGACCAGCGGACACCCAGCATCACCGCGGCACTGAGTACGAGGGCCACCCCTAGCGGCGAGTTTTGGCCGGAGGCCGTACGTTTGGCCACGGTGGAGGGGGAGGTCTCATGGCTCGTGCCTGCCACCATCATCATCACGGAGCCTGTCATTACGAGCACGATAACTATCAAGCGCCAGTTGAATTTTTCCAACTTGAACAACAACCCGAAAAGCAATACAAATGCCAAGGACGAAGTCTTGAGCATGGTGTACAAGGTGAGGGTTACGTAGCGGAAGGAGGCGTTGCTGAACCCGATGTCGCCCGCAGAGGCAAGGCAGCAGGGAGCGATCTGGGTGACGTAATAGGCCGGTGACATGTATAGTTTGCGGAGAAACGACTGTGCACCAAGCTCAGTGTACTGGGTCTGCGACTTTGGCACCAAACCCGGGAACAACGCAAGACAAACGAAGCTTATGCCAAACAAGATGAGCTGGTGGAAGGCCGTGATGAGGACTGGGAAGTGGAAGTTGAGGTGCGGGCCAAACATCCACTTGTTGTAGATGGAGATTGCGAGCGAGAATACGTACCAGCCCAAGATGAGCATTGCCGGAATGTAAAAGTCCGGCTCGCGCACAAGCTGCGGGATGCTGACGACAAAGTGCACGAAGCCCAGCCACCAGGAGGTTGCGGGTTCCGCGGGATACGCGCTGGAGTCATCATAATCGAACAAGCCATCTAAAGAGGCGTTGCGTTGCACTGTGTTCTGGTGCGCAAAGAAGGATTCATCGGTCTCTTGGGGAGTCGTGTCTACTGGCGATCGTCTCACCAGCAATTCGTCTGGAAACGTTGAAGTGGTCGAATCGTCACGTTTGTGCTTGTACTTACTCATGCTGAGATGGAAGGATCGTGGGGGCCTGGGTGACAAGGGATCAAAAATGTGATTTAAAGGGGTTGCTTAATGTGGAGTGACCAGGAAACAGCGGATATGGCTTTGTACGGGGTAAGGAATGTCTTGGCGGCTATTTGGATCGCATCAAAGGTATCGTAGAGGACAGGTGGTTCAACGGAGAGACAAGTTCACAGAGGGGCGGAAGGTTTACAGTGAAAAAAAAAATTCGGTGGAAGCTCTGACTGACAGGTAAACCGACTCCTATGAGGTTTGCGGTATATTTAGCAAAAAGATAGGGCTGCTGGTTCGGTTGGATCGCATTAGCATACACGTAGCATAGGTGGTATTTCTCGCGGGTTCATGAGGGCGTGCACGACGGAAAGCACGTGTGCTCACGTCTCTCAAGACGCGTGGGGGTGAGTGGTGGATGCAGGATGGAAAGGAAGGCTGACACATGAACCCTTAACCGAAAGCCTGGCGATGAATCCTTAACCGAGAGCTCAACAATGATATCCAAAAATGACTTGTTTAATGTTTATCTTGAATTTTGTTAAAACAGCCAAGAAAACAGCAGGCAGCAATTCTGCATCTTTGAGAAGGTGGATACTGGTATTGCATATACCACGAACAGTACTGCATTGAAATATGGGCCTCCGGAAAGGAACACATCAAGGCGAGGATTCAGGGCTTAAGGAGATACAAAGATATGACCAAGGAGGCAAATTAAGTATACAATATAACTGAATATTTCAAGCTCAAAATGATATATTTACCAAAATAGTGTGTATATATAACTTGTGAGTATAATCTAGCATCTGCAACTAGCAAAGTAGCTGGATAGTACAACAAGACCCAGGCATGTGACAGAGATATCGATATTTTGGAAATAACTAGTGATTTTAAAAAGAAAACCTCTGGAGAAATGGGAACTAAGACAGGCATAAAGACTGCTGTCAGTCTGCGACCAAGGATGAACTCCAAGCTAGGGTTAGAGGGATACAGCCAAGAAATATATGCCCGAGGGTCCTGACCATACCGTAACTACAACAGTATAAATAGAAGAAAAAAAAAACAAGATTAAATGGAGGAAAATTTTCCCTAGGTGGATTTTGTCACCTACTTGAACCAGCAATGGGGCCTACAAAACCCCGTAATTACGGTTACAACTTTACCCAGGCCTTGCCCCCCCTATTCGAGCCTATTTCCGTCCGGTATATACGCGCTCCTTCCGTACGAAAACATGGGACAGTGGAGAGACTCAGCAACCAGTGATTAGTGCAATACAAGATTTTCAGATTATTTCATTTTCAGTTCTGATTCAGCAACAGTCAAACTATCGACCACGGTCTACCGCCACGCTTCCCCATGTACCCCCCGAGACAATATTACAAGAGACATCCCCTGCTCTGTCCGCACACGACCTTCTTTTCCGCCCAGCCTATTGGCTGGCGCGCTTCTCGAAAATCACCCACCTTTTTCCTTTCTGAATTTTCACCTGCAACATTCACTATACAAAACGGGTTGCTCAATGTATACCCCAGCTTAACCAGTGTCACCATAAGTCCGAATCTAGAATGTTCTCTTCCCGTAACTTTATCAACTCTGCTAGATACATGAACCGTGGGGTTCGTTTCAACTCGTCCGCCCCAAAGATCAACGTTGCTGGTATCCAGGGCAAGATCAACTCTGCCGTCGCTAAGGCCACCCACACCTTGAACAGCGCCATCTACTGGTCCAAGGTTGTTGGCCAATTGGCTAAGAAGGTTTACATCAAGGAAGGCTTAGCCCCACCAGCCATTGCCGACTTCCAGGCTGTTTACAAGAAGTTGTATGCGCAGGCTCTTGCCATTCCGGCCAACAGAGTCCAGATCTACAAGACCATTTTGGACGCTGGTGCCGGCTCCGTTGCCAAGAAGGGTGCCGTTGTCGGTGTCCAGATCTTCGGTCTCTTTGCCTTGGGTGAAGCCATCGGCAGAGGTCACCTCATGGGCTACTCAGACCACGCTCACCACGCTTAAACGTGCCCCAAAATAGCCATAGACACAACTTGAGTTGTTTTCCGCTTCTTCCCTCCTGGTCCAGACGGGCCCGCATGTAATTATAATACACAATTTGATATAAGAGTTTAGGATTTAAAATGGAAAGAGCAAAAGGTCTCGATAAGAGGCTAACGTTGACATAAATTTACTCCGGAAGCGCTTGAACTTGGACATATTAGGTGCCATGCTGTCAATGAAAACAGTAAAGCTGAGATGAAAGTCATTGTACCACGCGCTTGAATGGGCTACACTTACTGATTTCCCATCACACTATCCTTCCTCTCGGATTACGGTGGATACTGATACAAACACTCATTTTTTGAAATATTCAAAGACCAGCTAAAATTATTAAAGCCTCGAGCTTCTCCAACACGTTGTATAAGCATCATATCTAACTTAAAGCTTAGATCACATACTCTTTATTTTTCAAAAACTTTAGAACAAGCCTGCCTATTCTGCCCTTCTATTACCAATTACTTTATTAATACATGCTATACACGGCAATTCAGCCTTCGACCTTTGATCCATCGAACTTTGATCTCTCGACCTTTGACCCCTCGGCCTTTCTCTTCTTTGATGCCTCAATCATCTCGCCGCGCTGCTTGCGCTTATTCTTGATAACGCTCGGAACGGTGCTGATCTTTTTTCTTTCAACCGGCTTCTGTTTGTTGCTCTGCTTCTCGCGCTTGGAGAGCTTGGTCATATTTTCCATCCACAAACCATAGCCGTCCTCCTGACCCGACTGCTTCATCACATTGATGACAGACTTGACTGCAACGGAATCTTCCTTGGTGAAAAAGGTTACGGCTCTACCCTCCTTGCCCCCTCTACCGGTTCTCCCGATTCTGTGGACGTAGGCTTGGGCGGATTGTGGCACATCGTAGTTGATGACCATGTTCACACCCTTGAAATCGATACCTCTGGCGATGACGTCGGTACAGATCAACACCCAAATCTCCCCGCTCTTGAAGCGGTCGATCACCATCTGTCTCTGCGCCGGTGTTCTCTCTGCGTGAATCACATCCACGTTTAAGCGATCGTAGAGTAACTCGTGGAAAAGCGCCTTGGCTCTGGTGATGGACTGCAAGAAAATGATGATTGGCGGCTTAAACTCGCCTTCTTGGATCATCTGTCTGACAGCAATCAATTTCCCTTCCTCGTTACCCGTGTAGACCAACTTCTGCTGGATGGTGCTGTTGGCTGCCTCCTTGTGACCGATGATGATTCTGACGGGAGAATGCATAATAGAGTTGGCCGTGTCCTCCACACCCGACGGAATGGTGGCGGAAAACATGGACTTTCTCAATTTTGGGTTGGAACACTCGGCCAAAATGTCGTCCGTCTGTTCCAAGAAGCCCTGGTCAAACAACTTGTCAGCCTCGTCAAAGATCAAGTGCTCCACCTTGGACAAATCCATCGCCTCTTCCTTGACAGTGTCGATAAGCCGTAAAGGCGTGGAGATGAGAATGTCAAACTTCGAAGATTGAACAATCTTGTTTTTCAACTTACCCGCAAGTGACTTGGATAAAATCCCTATTTGCAATTTCTTGCCCTTGGTAAGACGCTCCAACTCGTCGTAGATCTGCTGTGCCAACTCCTTCGTTGGAGAAATGATCAACCCGCGGATCCCGTGGTTCTTCTTGTTCGTCTGCAACTGCTGGATTAATGGTATCAAAAAAGCAAGCGTCTTACCGGATCCGGTCGGCGCGCATGCCAACAAGTCTCTATTAAGTAAGGTGATCGGGATGGACTCGGATTGAATCGCGGTGGGCTCCGTGAACCCGGACTCGATCAAGTTAGACAATAGCTTCTTGTCGAGCTGGAATCGGTCTATTAAATCCTCGAACGAGCCGATCGGAAGCGGAATGTCATCACCCGTAGCCTTACCCCTGTACGACTTTCTCAATGCAACCGCGTCCGCCTCGGTGGTGATCATTGGCGGTGGCACCACTTCTTCTTCGTCGACAGCTTCATCCGCCTTTTGTTCCTTCTTTACCGGTGCGTGCTTCTTTGTGTGGAAAAAATCGAGTTCCTTGTCGACCTGGTGGTCCATATTCTCGTTCTTCTTCACGGTTTCAACCGGCTTGGTCTGTCATGTTAGTCCCATGCGGGGCAAGAGCTGGGGATATACGTACTTTGGCAGTGGAAAAACCAGTGGTGGCTTGTTTGGAGCCTTTAAGGGAAACTCCACGAGATAAGATCTTGAAGATATCCATGGTGATGTGAAGAGTGAGAGATAATGGGAGTGGAAGGAAGCCAGAGGGTTGTTTTATGTCTGAAAAATTGTGAAATATTTTGCTTTTTTTTTTTTTCGTGCGCATGCGCCACAGATGAGTTGCCTTGTTGGGAAGGGCTGGTACCGGCTGAAGTGCTAAAGATACCATTAGCACCGTAGCTAAAGTGTTGATGTTAGGCTTTTGAGTGATTGTATGAAGTTGCCCTTAGTATTTGGAATGTAGTCGAGCGTGTATATGCCTCAATTGACCGTAGGGACTATGTATAAAATTATATAAAATATTAGGTGATGTCTGTTGTGTAACCCTTTTTATTATACCGTCGAGACTTAATCACACGAACCGCGTATGGGCCTCTCAATGCCCTGCTGTAGCTACGGGCGCAAACAAAAAAAAATAACGAAAGGAGATTTCCTGAGAATCTTTAAATTTACAATAGGTCCAGTTAGCTCAAAAACGAACTATACCAAATATCAAACGTATATTAGCAGAGCCATCAATTCCTCAGAGTGAACCGTTTCCCAGTTCATCCCTGGCAGTCTGCGCTTACATAAGCACTTTTCGTCGCTGAAAAATTTCCGAATCGGAGCATATCAAAACGATACCACTTATCCAGCACCATCCTTCTCCACAACCACACAATAATGAACACAAGAGCGATGTTTGCCCTCCAGAACGTGCGCGTAGCGCCTACGCTCACCAGAACCTTGGTTCACTTGCACAGCGGCAAGAGAGTCGCGGGTCTCAAGAGAAACCCGTCCGAGTACCTTAAGGTCGGTGGCTACGAATACGGCGTCCAAGCGGAAAACCTCCAGTTTGTGAAGGCCTTCTTGGCCCCGTATGCGCTTCCAGACGAGGTTGTGCTCCAGGTGTTGACCCATAAATCGTTTGCTCACGGTAACAAACCGTATAACGACAAGCTCGCCTACATCGGCTCGCGCTTCCTCAACAACTTTCTCAGCATCCGCGAGGCGTCTACCTCCTCCACCAACGCACACGCCGTAAACGGTCTCAACTTTGACGTGTTGGGCTCCCCAATTGACAAGTCGCTCGCCAGTCCTGCCACCCGCTACTTGTTTGCCAAGGCGCACAACTTGAACAAGGTGTTGTTCTGGGCTGCCAGAGACGCCACCATCGACAACCCACACCGCAGCGGCGAGGTCAAAATCACTAACGATGTTGTGTGTGCACTTGTGGGGGCTGTGCTTTTACAGAAGGGCGAGGCGGTTGCACAGACGTTTATTCAGGAAAAGTATTTAACCGGCGAGCACTCCCTCCTTGCGTACGGGTCTAAGTGTGTTGCGGCACTCCTGAAACACCAGGAGTTGCAGAGCTAAGAGGGTCGAACTGTATATAGATTGTTTGTAAATATATGGGCGAGAGCGGATGCGTAGCTCGAGCTAAGAATATACTGGAGTGTAGACGGATGAGGTCATATGAGGGAAAGTACTGGGAACTTGGCACTATTTTGGATAGTAAACCATAACCTGCTTTATTGTTACGACAGAGTACTGCTCATTAGCTCTATCCGAACCGTGTGGTTACGAGACCTAGACATTTTGTTAAAGTACGGTTAGAGAAGGTTGATGAACCATGCATACAATGCTTTCTATTAATCTAATATCCTAAATGATATAAAAGTTTTCCATCTGTCTACTTTCACTCATATATATAACCATAAAAAGTAAACACAAACCCATCTTGCACTGACCAGCTTGTTTCGATTCCATGTTTCATGCACATGCTGCGCTTTTCAACACCGCTTGATCCACGTCACTAGTGACACGGCATTTAGACGAGAATAATCAAGATCTTGCAAAGGGATATACGGACGATGCTTTACTAACTATATAATCTGCGTATTTTTTTTTTATTTCTCGATATAGCCTGTTAGCCCATTAGTTAAGACCACAACCAGGAAGTTTCCAGCTTAACTAAGAGTCATGTGTGACGAGATGCAATTCAAGATTAGGTTAAGGTATCAGCAGTGACGTCATGGCAGCCCCACCATTAAGTAGAAAGGAAACCAACTGTATCTCAACTATGCACAAAATAATTACGTATATATTGGTAAATACCACTTAAGGTGATACACTGATCTTAATATAGATATACTATCCGTGATTGTACACTTTTGCATTTGTACCACGGGACTTGTCATCTTCCACCTGCGCCTTTGTGCGCGACTTTGTGCGCGCCCGAAAAAAACTTACGAAAAACTCGACCCAAAACAAGCGCTTATTTTTATTCGATCCGATCAACTCTTCCGTTCTCCCACTGAATTCATCACAATGTCCAAGAGCAAAGAGGAGTTTTTACTTCACCACCGCGCGTTGAGACAGTTCTTGAACGTCTCAGGCGAGGGAGATGTCAAGGCGCGATCCAACTCGGACCGCGCCACTAAGGCCAGGCAGAAGTTGTTGAAGTTGTCGAGCGCGCAGTTCGGCGAGTTAAGCACGGATGTGTACGACGAGTTGCAGCGGCGAATCGACGAGTCGCCGGATGAATCCGAGCACTTGTTGCCGAAGCCCAACTTCCATCTCAAGCGTAATCAGGCTCGACAGAAGTTGGCATCGCTACCGCCAACCAGGTTTAAAGACTTGGTAAATGACATTTTATTTGAGATTGAGAGACGGGGGTTGCACCCAAGAGGGAAAGAGGTGTTTGTGGGCGCAGCGCAGAATCGGGGGGTGAAACCAGCACAGGCGCAAACTACTTCTCGAATTACCTCCAACCCCTCGCTCCAAGCCCCGACCCCACAGGAACCTCCCCAGAGCGATGCGCTCAAAAACACCATCCAGGCCACTACTGTCGTTCCCACCAAGGCCAACCTTGCGTGGCTGAGCGACGAGGAGGAAGACTCTGCGAGTCGCTTGCCAAGTATCGCGAGCAGGAAAAGTGCGATTCCTAATGCGACCGCAAATCCCGGTGCAACTGCGAATACAAGCCCCAGTGCCAATACTGCCGCGACTCGCGTGCACCACGGGTCGGTGTCAAGCCTTGGGAGCTTCCGGGCGCGCGGGGTGACGCAGGACCGCGAAATCAAGCTTCTTCTCGATGAGGGCACCAAGATGGACCGAAAGATCACCGACTTGGAGAAGAAGCTTAGCGCGGCACTCGCGGACAAGCTGAAGTTCCAGGAGCGTGCGCAGCACTTGGAGAAAGCTCATGCGGATTTGCTCGTCCAGAAGGACCAGTTGACCAAGGACTTCAGTGAGCTCACGGGGACCCACAAGGCGGTTGTGCGCGAGCACGAGTCGAGACTGAACGAATGGGAGCGCTACAAGCACTCGTTCGAGAAGCGAATCGGTGAGCTAGACTCGTTTGTTTCGCCCGACGAACACTCGCGTGTCGCGCAGGAACTCGAGTCGTTGAAGAAGCGGCACTCGCTGATGGTGCGCGACCACGATTTGTTACGCGAGGCTCATTCTAACGCCCCGGATCCATCGTACGAGTCGTACCGTGAGGAGCTAGCGACCTTGCAAGCCCGTTTAGTCGACCCTACGGAAGATGACGAGACAACCGAGAGCTTGAGGGCCCAGGTAGCGTTGTGGCAGAAGACGTGCACGGATTTACGGGCTGACGTCTATGTTGGACGAATCTCCCGGCCAGATCTCAGCGACACCACCATGCTGTCCTACATCAGCCCGAGAGGGTTGGTCCCAGTGAAGCTTCTCGGAGAGCTTCTGGCGGCGGCAGAAACCTACATCTTATCGTTAGAGGTCTTCAATGCGGACGTGCTCTTTGCAGGAATCTCGCGCGTAGCTGTGACAGCCGGGAAGATTGCACTGGCTGCCGAGGAAGACGGTCAGACCGAGTATTCATCGATGGTCCGTGCCGCCATTTCACATGCCGTGACATCATCCCGGTATTTTGCGCTCTATCACATGGTGCTACCGAGACTTGTGGTTGAAAGTGCCGTGTCTGAGGTGCTTTTTGCGGTGTGCAACTTGATTACGGTGGCGAAGCTTACATTGCTGGAGGGGAAACAAAACACCCGAGATCTCCCCCAGCTCGTTACTGACCTTCCAGCTCCGAGAGAATCCTTGGATAAAAATTCGCCTGTCAGACCGTTCAAAACGGCGCAGAAATTTGTCCGTAAGACGGAGACAGACGATGGCAAGCCATCCACTTTGAGGAGCTTCCACACCGGGAGTGCGGATCACTCGAAAAGTGCTCTGAAGGAAATCGAACCCGTTTCGCAGAGCACCCCGGAGGCGGAAAAGGTGGTGGAAAGTAAGGACGGCCCAGCCCCGGGAAAACCCGACTTTTCCGAGATCACGCCAAGGACTACGCCACGGAACCTGGTCTCATCGTTAATGGCGAGGTATTCACCGGAACAGGCTGTGACGCCGGAAAAGACTGTGTCTCCAGTGGTGCGGTCGTCAGGAAAGACGCTGAGCATTTTGGAAAAGGTGAAGCAGTTTGAGAGTCCACAGGGGCTGAGGGTGAGCCCCGGGAGAAGGCCTAGCATTGGTGACGAGCTGAAGGCCCTCAATCCAAAGTCTGTTCAGCTGAAAGCTCTTAATGACTCTCTTGAGTCGATTCTTTTCGATCCAAGCTCTGAGCAGTCGAAGGGTCGTGAACTTGGTTCTATTGAACCAAATACTTCTAATGGTACCATTGAATCAAAATCTCTCAGTTTAGTTGGCTTGACGGATCTGAAGGCTCCTATCTTACCAGGTTCCACTGGGCCAAAGGCTCTCTCCACAGGTTCCATTAAGCCAAATGCAAACCTGACTGGTTTTGACTCAGAGGCTTCCACCAACGGGGTTACCAGCATTGCCATTGCTGATTCATTGCCTTCTTCCGTTTTCGACTTGAAGGGCGCTATCAAATCCGATTCAGATGCTGCCTCCAGATCGACTTTAGACACCGTCTCGGCAGAACCAAGGTCTGAGCCATCGCCAATGTTTTTCCCATCCAAGAACAAGTCTATTGACAAACTTGCCACTTCGCGAGTTGCCACTCCGGTCATCTTCAAGGAAGACATTGCGCCGCCTGCCTCCAGTGGTGGCTTCTTTTCCGGGTTAAAGAAGACCTTTTCCATGAAGAAAACAGAACCGGTAGCAGCTACTCTGCAGACTGATGTCGATGCTAGTACTCCTCCCGGTAAGACTGGCGAGATGACTCGCGTGGTATCCAACGCCAGTGTAGGGTCAACCAGCAGCTTTGCTTCCAATATCAGTGCCTTGTCCACTGGTAGTTTTGGCAGGAACGTGGCTAGCGATCATGGTGCTGAAAGCGGCGGTGAATCAGACGACTCAGCCACTGTGACCAACACCAAGGTGAATTCGATTCGTACCGGGTCCATGTCTAGCCAGAGGTCTCATGCTGCTTCCAAGGGTGATATCAACGGAGATCCAATCCTCAACCCTACTGGTGCCAGCCTTAACACCAGTGACATCATTGTTGATTCCTCCGACCAAAAGTCGCCACTTGACCACCCTGCGAGAGAGACTGACATCAAATCGTTAGATGAAGCTGCTCTGGAGACGGACTCAGACTACGAGGCCATCCCCGAAGGTGCTTACAGTCCATCGCGTAAGCCATCCAAAAAGGTGCGAATCGGCAGCGTTCAAATGCAGTCGGCCGCCCACAGTTACAACAGCGAATCGGAAGAGCTTGACTTGAATGACGATCCATCTGAAGATGAACCTTCGACCCACCACCAGCGAACCCAGGATCTCAATACTGATAGCGAAACTGACGAAGAGGTAGCCCATAAGGCCACTCTTTCTCACAAGACTGTTGGCTTGAATGATTCTGAGGACGAGCGTGACTTTTCTGTGAGATCTCAGCCTAGAAACACCGTTATCCCGCTCAGGTCCGCTCAGGCTCCTAGAGCTGTTCAGATGAACGAGTACAGCGAGAGCGAAAGCGAAGATGACATCCCAAGTCGCCAGACTCAGGCCCGTATTCCTAACGGTAGCGTCCGGCCGAATAGTATCCAACGGACGGTGTCTGAATCCAAGGACCAAATTGAAACCGAAAGTGGTTCAGAGAGTGGGTCGGAAAGTGGATCTGAAAGTGGATCTGAAAGCGACGAATACGCCAGACGGGAGCAGATCCGTCGCTCCATCAATGCCACCAGTTTCAACATCAGCATGTTTGACATCCAGAACCCCGACAACACGTTAACCCAGTTGTTGCTATACTTGGAGCACCAGACGGTGGAGGTCATTAGCACGATCCAGAATTTGTTATCTGCGATCAAGTTACCTGATAGCACGCGCGGCAACCTCCGTATTGGCGCTGGGGCCATCAGCAGCGTTATTTTGCAGATGACGGAAGCTACGAACAACTCTATGAACCAGACCCGTAACGCGCAGTTGAAGGAGCATGGCACGTGGGTGGTAAAGAACTTGGAGGACTGTGGTCACCGGATGAATGTGTTGTGTGCGCCAAATGCCTCGGCCCAATCCGATGCCGACTACGCAGACAAGAACTACAAACAGAGGTTAGCGGGAATTGCATTTGACGTGGCCAAATGCACCAAGGAGCTCGTCAAGACCGTCGAAGAGGCCAGTATCAAAGAGGAGATCGAACAGATTGATGCCAAGTTGAAAAACGGGCATTCCATGCTGAGAACCTAGGGGTAATTAGTTATAATACGTTTAAAAATAATCGTGGATGTAGTGGGGGATGAGATTTGAAACCGTGGGGGCATGCACACTGTCAACGGTTTCGTGATACTTTGAGGAACTAGAACCTAGATGAGGTTAAGGATTTTCCAGTGTGGGTGAGGTTTGAACGAAGTTGGAGGCTAGGGCCATTCTCCAGAAATTTGGAAAACCTTTAACATTCTCACTCAAATCCGAAGCAAATAAAAATTACTGTAAAGGTATAATTTACTTCTCGTATATGTTTGTCTCAGATCCATATACATGTAGCTTCATTTAGGGGCATGCGGGCAAAATATCTACAGGATATTTAAAACGGGCTTTCTGTATCATAGGGATTATATTAAAGGATCCCGTTTTCTTCCCCTTTATTTTTATATTTTGACAGAGAGTGTCTTACTTAGCCTAGGAGATAGTGTATAAAAGTGGAGGTATAGAGAATATGCAAAGCTATACCAGGTACTAGAATCAGATCAGGAGTGACGCGCTACATAGGCTATAATAGACGGCTGTCTTTCTGAAAAAGATTCCAATTATAAATTCAAGAATGTAAGAAATGACAGCTGTCAAGATTTTAGTCTCTATCAGCTCATTCAGAAGTATGGAAGTTCTCAGGCAGCTAGCCACGATTAATAGCTACATTGGTATATGCTTCAGCACAATTCCATTTAAGACCATGGTACCAGGTTTATACGAAAGATAATACAAAACTTCCAACACCAGCAATATACCATATCGCTGAATCAAACTATCTATAATTGAATTAGAAATTTCTGGAAGCTGCTCGGAAACATTCTCGTACAAGCCTAACCGATTCTAATACCTACACCTTATTTCTTTTAAATTTAATGATCCTATTATACAAACCGCTTCCTACACTGACAATTTCTCGGCCTCCAAAGCCAACTCGTCGATATCTTCGTCACCGCCCAAGCCTCTCTCAAAGATCTCCTTCCCAGTCATTCTACCCTTGTGCAACGCCTGGAGGCGCTGCTGCTCGACCTCCTCCAATTTCATCTCCGCGTTGAACTTGGCTTTCCACGTGTTAAAGGACTCGACGGTGACCTTGGTCCCGAGGAACTTTTTCTGCTCCTCGCGCTCACGCTCCATGAGCTCATCGTCGTAGCGCTGGTTCGCGGCGTCCAACTTTTCCTGGAATAACCGCTCAGCCTCATCTTTCAAGGTGGAGGTCAACGCAAACACAGCAGGCATCCCCACGTTATAAGAGGCTTCTTCGATCAACTTGTCGTTGAGAAACACCAAATCGGCATCGTCAAAGAATATAGTTTCGGCAATAATGACATGCTTTGTTTCATCCATATCGTCGTCGGAAGAGACCTCTTCCTCAGATTCCTCCTCGTACTCGTAGTCTTCGTCATCCGCTTCGGGAAGGCTCACCTCCAACACTGGCTCCACATCCGGGTACGTTTCTGGGTATTTTACCGTCAAGAGCAAGCTGTGTCTATTTTCCGACTCCGTCTCCAAAACCAACTTGATCTTGAAGTGGTCCGCCGCCCCGTTGATGAATTTAAATTCATCGGGGTATATGGACTGCAAAATTTCAATCTCCTGTTGCTTTTCCTCAGCGTAATCCATGTTGTGTGTCTGGTTGGAGGGATGGTGGAAGTGTCATGATCGAAGCCATGGAAAAAATAGCCGCTAACATACAGACTGGAGATAAATGCAGGAGAGCACAATGTCTTTTCGTCATATAATCGAGAGGATTTCACTAATTATAGCGCACTATTCGTACCATTTTTTTAATCAAACACTCAGTTAATTATGGCTAAACATACATACAAGAAGGTTGATGATAAAGTCGATACTTCCCGACTTGTTAAGGCTATTACCTTGACGGTTCTCACGTTGATTGCCGTGGTGGTTGCTGGCAAGCATTTGGCTTGGGCCATTTCTAGTGCCATTTACGGGGATTACAACGTGCTCCAGATCACATTGTATCTCTTTGGCGGGTTAGCGGTGGATATCTATGCTTGGTACTTTGCCATCCGTGTGCTCAACCGCAAGTGGCTTGACGAGAAGATCGACGTTGACCATAAGAAGTACATCTAACCAGGAGGTTGGAAGAGGACCTAATTTGCCTCTTGTTAGAGTGAGAACTTTTACAATTCAAGTCACTGGATCTGGCTTGGTACCAGTAGTTTGCCAGTCGGTGTTAATGGCGGCAGAAAGCGAGTCTAGGTCGGCTATACATGGCAGTTTAAGTTAGTTTATGCCATCAAGTTAGCTTCCATAAATGAGAAAATAAGAGACAATTGAGAATTGAGAAATCGGCTTGTGTAGAGATCAGGTGGATGAATTCTGTTAATTCATCCTTTTTGACTTTATTCATGCTTAGCCTCTCTTACAGAGTAAATACATAATTATATTCATTGCTGATCCTAACCGCTATTTTTTTTTTACTTATTCATTACCTATACGACCGCTAGTTCATGACCGCATTCAGCACTAGATCGTACATACCACAACCAGACATAACCATAATTTCACTTGATAACACTACAGGCTGTGCTCTGTAATGACCTATTCATTTCTTCTTCTTCTTCATCTCCTTATCTTTCTTCATCCGCTCCTTGCAATCACTGCAGTACCAAACGGCACCCTCCTTGGGCTGCTCCTTCAAGCCCACACAGTCCCAGTGGAACCACTCAAAGCGACAGTCGTCGTTATCACACCCAATCATGTTGCCGTACGAGACCTGGCGACAGAAACAATAGATTGTCTCATCCTCGCCGGCCTCGCCCATGTGCAACGGCATCTCAAGGTGCAAGTGTGCCAAGCTTGACGTCGGTAACACCTTTTTCTCCTCTAATTCTTCCGTTTTTTGCCGTTTTCGGGCGGCCCCAGCGCTGCCTGTGGGCGTTGCCAGTCGCATCGACTTGGTTCGAGCGTGCTTCGATACCTGCGGAACGCTTGTCATCGTCCGTCTGTGGCCCACGACCGCAAGACTCGACACAGGCGGTGTCGCGCTAGCCATACCATCTTCCACAGGCGCTAGCAACCCCTCACGCTCAAGCTTGTCCATATCATTATCCAAGCTGAGCAAGTACTTCGACACAAGAAACAACGCCGTGTTTGCAAGTACATTCTTCTGCTCCTGGATCCGCTCACACGCCCGAAAATCCTCCTCGATTTTCCCATAGAGCTGCTGCTCCTTTGGATTCTTCGTTAACGAGCCGTTTTGTCGGATGAACTTGTGGATTTGGTTGTCCCGCTGGAGGAGCTTCTTGCGGCTTTCGTAGAGTTTGAGGTCCTTCTCTCGGAGTTCTTGGAGGAGGTGCGCAAGCTCTGACGGAAGGTTCGCCAAGTCCTGTGTGTATTGTTCCAAGATAGCACTGGTATCCATGTTAGTTGAGGGATGGGATTAGATGGTGAATGGCAAATGAACGTTTGTTTGGTATAGGGCAAATAATATGCGCGATGGTTATGAGCGTCGTGCACGACCTTAACCATAGGAGGCAGAGCTGGGATATGCTGGAAACGAAGATTGGGCTGAAGGTAGGAGATTTATTGATGACAAATCTATCTTTTCGGGACTTGGGATAGAGATTAGTTGTAATTATATTTTTCATACGTTTATTATGGTATTACCCACTCCACCTACGAGTCTACCAGCACCTACTGGAAAATATCACCGGGTGTCTTATTGATATATGATATTGACATGACGTACGACTAATGTTCATCAACATAAACCTGTTGATACGTTGAAATTTGTACTAAAATGTGTATTTAAATCTGTATAGAATAGTTTATTGACTTATAATTACATTGAACGTTACCGGTTGAGACCTTAGATTAGACCTGACTAGAGATTCTGTTCCCAGTGAATGCAGGAGAACAATTACCACGTTACGAAAAGGCCGTTATTTTTTTATGAAACTAGAGGTTTTTATCCGATTTTCTTATATTACTTTATTGTTCGTAGTTAGGAATAAAGTCAGAAAAGCAAACAGAACTGTCTCTTTAAATTTCTGGAGAACTCAATGCTGTATGCGATAGTCCGCATTAATCCCCCAAACCCTCATTAGGTGCATGCCAATGTCATTTGGCCGAGCAATATATCTATCCGCGGTCAATACCCGTAGTTTTCATGCAACCACAAACAGTTATACGCTTTAGTATCAGTTCAATTGTTAGAAATCCAGAAGCGCACCCAGTATTCCCGCACGAATTCCTTAGTTCTGTATTCGATTATGTTCTCTCGTCTAGGAGGTGGCTATACAATTTACACCACCTAAAGCGATAGTATGCTACGAATATGTATTTAGTCTACAGCTAATGCACCCCAAACCTCTGCCCGAGGAAGCCCACGTCCTGGTCACCCTTGGTTTCAGAGTCCAACTTGGTTTTGATCGCGCGGTGGAGATGCCCAAGGTACTCACCGTACGCCATGAGCTTGTCGTGTGTGGCGTCCTCGACCAACATCGCACGGAAATCGTGCTCCGCGGCATCGATACCGACGCGTGCAACCTGTACTGCTTGGAACGAGCGGCCCGCGCGCACAGCAAAGTGTGCGACAAGTGCGCGCACCTGTGCGGAAATTTCCGTGCCCGCGTCCGGCACCTCGTCCATGAGCGGGTCAATGTCGCCGATCGCTTGCACCGTGGGTCCGAATAAGTCCTGGAGAAGCAACGGGTTGACCTGGTCGTGGATCCATAAGAGTGCACGGTCGCCGTCGAACGCAAGGTAGCACCCACCGTACGCGATGTGCGCACTGCTCGCACGCACGGGCTGCGGCACCATGAACGGCTCGCCGCGCGCGCACTCGCCCGCCGCAAGATCGTGCACCGCGTAGATCTGCGGGTATAAGCGCAGGGTCACCGTCGCTAACGGCATGAAGTTGAATTCGAGCATCTGCGCTATGCGCGCATCGCCGTTAGTCCCGTCACGGAGCGCGCGTGACTTCTGGAACGCTAACACGTACGCTGCGAGCGTCTTAAGCGACTCAGGGAAGATGAATTGACTGGAAGAGGATACCGACTGGGTGAGTAGCGCACGATACTGTGCGTAGATGTTCACAAGCTTCGTGTTCGTAAGCTCTCGGAGCTGTGCGACGGTGTTTGGCGGAATGGTTGTCAAGTTATCGCGCACCAATAATGCGAGAACGGTGTCCTGGTCAGCAAATGCAAACACATCGTTCACGCGTTCGGACACCGATGCGACCATGTTGATCACGCGTACGCGGCGTTCGCCTCGCGCACTTGTGTAGAGCATCGCGGCCTGGAAGTGCGCATCTGTCTTCGCATCGAGTTTGCCATCGTACGTGAACAACACCGAAATCGTCTGGTCCAGGTGCACAATCGGAATCATAGGGTCGGTCCCGGCGTCCTTGTCGCCGTTGAAAACATAGTATCTCTTCACCTGCAATCCGTTGGAGCAGCGCACCTTCAACTGCGCTTGGTAGCCGCGGGTGCCGAGCACTCCGCGCTGAAAGTCCGCAACGAACGCACGCGCGTCGCGCGTCGAGTGGAGATTCTGGTAGAGGCGCGTCTGCCCCCCCGTGCGTGCAACGAGTGTACCCGGATTAATGAGATCCACAGAAGCGGTCGCCGCAACAATGAGGTCAACCCCGACGTTGCTCTTGAGCATGGTTGCAGTGAGGTCCTTGAAGTATGACGATTCAGGCGTGAAGGTATCGGTGCCCTGGTCGGTCTTGAGGCGGAGCTTGCCCGGGCCCCAGGTGGCGCGCGCTGCCAAGAGTGCGGTAATCTTACCACCACCCACCTGTGCGAGCGCGTGCGTCGCACACGTGAGTGCCGCGCCAAAGGCAGGCTCTGGCACTGTGTAGCGCGAGCGTGCGTTCTCGATCGCGACAAGCGTCGCGTCAATGATGGCACTGGACGCACGCGCATCCGCAAAGAGGCCGCCGAAGAATGGAAGGAAGGGGTCCTCGAGATCCGCCATCACCGCCACCGCGGGCGTCGTCAAACTCTCGGAGAGGTTGTAGAAGTGGATTTTCTGGTCAAACGTGATGATTGCAACGCGCGTGCCTTCTGGTAACTGACATGCGCCCGAGTCCATGTCGTACAATGTCGCACGGATGGCCTCTGCCGCGAGCTCCGGCATCCCGCGCGCGACAGACTCCTGTGACACGTCGATGAGAAACACATGGTGGAGCGGCTGCGGCGGCGTCTCCGGATCGGCATTGTACGCGTCCGGCACTAAAAAGTCCACCACACCACGGCTGAGTTCCGGGCGCTGGTAGTAGTCAACACGAATCCCGCTCGCGTCGAGCGCAGCGGAGTAGCCCTGGGGCTGGGGAGACGCGAACTGACAGACATTACAGACAAACTTGTAGTCGGCGGTGTGTTGCATCATTGGGTTGATGTAGGTGCGGCAACGATTGCAGCGCGGCGGGCCACCGATGTCACGGAGATCCACGACTGGGACTGGCGCGTCGCCGTGCGCTGTACGTGCAAAGGGGCGGAGCACGACACCGAGCGGGAGCCGCGCGGCCTCACGCACCTTTTCCGTCGCGGGCACGCAGTAGAGAGAGAGGCGCGCGTGGCGCGGCGCAGCAGAATTCTCATCAACCGCCGTGAACTGTGTTCCCGCAACCGGCGGCACAATGTTCCGGAACGAGTTGAAGGTGGTGGAAGCGTATTCCTGCTGGGCCGCGCGGCGTTGGTCGGGAATGGAGAGCGTCAGTTCTGGCTCGTAGGGCTGGGACTGCTGATGCCCAAGTTCTGGGATGGTGGAGAAGACAGACCCAGCAGAACCGGCAGCGAAGCCGGGGGCGGGGTCAATGCTCTGGGAGTTCCCCTGGAGCATCAGGTTGAAGGAGTTGCCCTGGGGTTGGAGCATAGCATTTGCGTTCGTGCTTGGGTTCGCCTGGAACATCGAGCTCGTGCCCAGGCTACTGAGCATTGCGTTTTGCGGGTTCGCCTGGAACGCGTTGTGCGAGAGGCTCGGCGAAAAAACACGCGCGTCCACCACGGGCACGGGTGGGTTCATGTCCGTGTGGAACGCTCTCGCCGCACGCTTCTTCTTGGGCTTAGCGTCCAAGCTTACGTTTTGGAGGTTCGTCGCGAGGGCGTCTGGGCTGGGAAAGTACGACATCGGGTGAGGAGGGGGAGAAAAAAAAGGGTAGGGCCCTACGAGTATTGAGTTACGTCGGTTTGAAAAATCGCGTGCATGTTGTCCTTTTTGCTGGGTGGAGCACTACCCGGTCAGGCGCGGCGTAGCTTAGTGGTTACGCTGGAGCAGGGAAATGGTTAATGAGATATTATCGTACGATTTCGGTCTAGATTTGTATTAAAATAATTGAAATATTTTTCCTACAGGGGTTATAAACAAAGTGCACAAGTTTGTTAAGCTACGGAATATCATAGAGTGTAATGTCCTCCACTCTGCGTGGCATATGGTTGTGGATGGCCAAATGTACTTAGTATAGGAGGCTGTAGTGTGATTTTTACGGATTTTTTGAAAAGAATTTGCAGTTTCGGACTTTTTTTTTCTTGCATTTATTCGTATTATCACGTCTAACCTTTATTACCAGTATATAAACCGGGTGCTTTTACCTTGCATCGTGGAAAAAAAACACTATACAATAGATGGGTCCCAGAGATTATTGTACAATGAGTGGGTCTCAGAGGCTATTGAACGATAAAAGGAAGGGCAAGAAGTTGAAAGCATACTATTAAAGCCTCTGTGAAACCCATTTTCTATAACAGATTCTTCTCTTGACAGTTTACCGCTTCGTAACTGTTTATCATCGCCACTTTGAATGCTTTTACATCCAACGTGCCGTTCTAGGAGTCGTTCATGTCAATCTCATTCTCCCAACCTTCTTCCACTTCAAACTTCTCATCTCTCATTTCACTCATCTTCACCTTCCCACCTGTTTCCTCCAACAATGCCACGATCTGCTGACCCAACTCGGCCACATCCGGGTCTTCCATGTCGACCGCATCGGACTGGCACAACTTCCAACCGGCAACAAGCGCAGTTCTGGACTGTTTGAGCAACAGAGCCAACTCGTCGCTTTGGGAATCAGCCGCCAAGTCAATGGACAAGCTTTGGAAGTCATTCTCATACTTTGCCTGCTCTTCGGACGCCATTGCCACAAACTTCTGCTGTTTCACCTGTAAGTAACAGGCAAATGCCTCCAAGTAGTATGATTCCAAGTTAGAGTCGTCAATGTCCTGAACGGCGGAGGAGGCAGAGCTGGCCAACGCAAGCTCAAAAATGTTGAGCAAGTGGTGCGACAACGCCAAGAGTGGCTGGATCAAGTCCGTGTAGTCAACATCACTGTCTCCGGCACTACTGGAGTTGGCAGAGCCCTCCAATTGCGTCTTCTTCTCATCGAACAAGTGCCAGGCCTTGGTCAACGCCTCTCTGGCGTCATCATTGCGCTGCTGGGAGATGCGGATACTCCCCAAAGTGGACCAGTTTTCCGGGTTTTCCGGCTGAAATGCCAAGGCGTACTGGATCAAGGTCTCGCATTCCGTCTCCGCCTCGTCCTCCATGCACAAGTCCGTCATCCAGATCTCGATACACGACAACAAGGCGTGGTTGATCTTGGAAACCATGTAGGCAGTGACGGCTTCAATGCTGTGATGACTTACAAGCAAGTCCAGAATGAAGGAATCAGTTGAAGCAGCTGCCGGATTGCTCTTTGCAATCTCTAGCTTCGCGTGTAACTGCTCAATGCCCACCTTCAAGAGACGCAAACCCTCCTGGCTTCCAATGATCTGACCCAAGTAGAAGAACTTTTCGGTCCCGGTTTCAGCACGTGGATCGAGTTCCACCGCTCTGGTCAAAACTTCGTAAGCTGACTCCAAGTCGGAACATTCCATCAAGGCCTCCGCGAGGATCGTGAGATACTGCGTATTGTCCTTAAATTCTTCCAGGTGCGGCTTCAAGAGCTCGAGCGCCTGCTGTGGGTTGTGTTGTTGGAGCAAGGCACGGGCCTCAAAAATAAGTGACAGGGACATTCTGGTTGAGTTGTTGGAGCTTGAAGAGAATAGTACTTGTTGGTTAAGGGTGAGATATTCATCTGAATCTTTTTCAGAAATTTTTCATATCCGGTACAAAAGCCGCAGGGTATCCTGCGATGATTTAGCGGGAGGAGTCCGAAAAATGGATTTATACTAAAAGCACTAGAATTTCTTCGGAGAGAGATAGATTTGATGTGATTCACATGTTATTTGATTTTTTTTTTTCTTGGAATATGAACCGGCGAGTCTGGAATCGCAGAATACTGGTATTTGGAATTTGTGGTGACCTAAACAGATTGGTACTGACTGAAATGTAGAAACCGGAAAATTAGTCAATCGAATAGAACGAGATTTTTGTAGATTTTAGAATCACTTTTTATAATGACGTACGTGTACCGATATGGACTTCGGGTAGTTGTGGCAGTTTTTAACCTGAATAATAAATAGTATAGTCTATTCATATTGGCTCAGTGGGATTGTGAGAAGGCAAGGGAATTCAATCATTATTCTGGCTTTCGGCTATTTTCGGTACGTGTGGAAACAGAGACAAATAAATCAGGGGAATGCATCAACAGGTTAAACCAGGGTGAAAAAAGGAGGGAGATAGAGGAGAGTATCTGAATAAAAGTGAAACAATCAAAATTTCGCTATGATATCCTCCTCCCCTTGTGCTATTCTCAAAATGAATCTAATTCAATATTGACGTCATACTAATTCTATAGAGTGAGCCGGAGTGGGGGTGCACGGTTATTATTTTCTCCAATTTCACACTCATAGAAAGAATATTATGGACCTCATCAACTCCTTTGTGAATTCATCTTAAATCTGTTTTTGGCAAGGAATTCTTGGTCGATACATTTCAAAAATGCTTTTTTTTTATAAAAGCCAACCACCGCTATCCAGCGAACGCCTTCTCACATAACATACATATAGGCCTCACGCTTCAGCCCTCCAACCGATATCCAATTTTCATCCCATGCATCATATCATTATAACAATATAAAGACAACTAAGAAATAACAAAATAACCGTATAATACCACACCCTTATTTACCCTCCCCTCTACCTATCCTGCACGCCACTTACTTCCCAAAACGGCAGTCGAGCGTGAAAAAAAAAGTGCTGTCGGCGTCTAGAAAAAAACGCCAGCCTTCTCACCATCTTGCCTCTCTACTTCCTTCCACTAACACTACAACCATGTCTCAGGGTAACTTCTTGCATCTTGTCCGCCCAACTCAACCGGGTCCCCAAGTCTCTCCAGCGCCACTTTCGGTACAGATCACATCCGTCGCATACCACGAGCTTTTGGACACCTGTTTGCGCAGCAATGAGAACGAAAACAACCGCGTGATAGGCACTTTGTGCGGGTCGCGTCCAACCGACGGGGTTGTTGAGATCGGTCATGCGTTCTACGTACCACACTACGAACCAGAGGATAAGGACGAAATCTCCATCGAAAGCGACCACCAGAAGCTTGAGTTCCAGTTATACAAGAAGGCCCACCAGAAGAATGTAGTTTTGGGCTGGTTCAGTACCACCACCGATGCCCAAAACGACATTTCCAGCACAACCGGGTTGATCCACGACTTCTACAACAAGGTGTCACTCGAAAACGGCTCTGGCGCCTTGGCCCCAGGCATCCACATCACCTTGAATTTGGCTGCCGGTGTTCCACAGTTGACTGCCTACACTGCCAGCACAATTGGTAAGGCTAGACCGGGAAACTCAAACTACTACTTCACACCAGTGCCGTGCGAGATTGTTTACAGTGCCAGCGACGCCCAGGCGTTGAGCTGGATTGCCCTGGCCGCCGACCAGGACGTGGCTTTGCCATCGGGTGACGTTGAAGTGGCCCATGTCAATGCCAACGCCAAGCAATTGGAGGCATTGGTGGATTCCTACTTGGCTTATGTTAGTAAGGTTGTCAGCGGCGAGATCCAGGGCGATGATAAGTTGGGCAGAGCCTTGTTGAAGGAGTTGTCCGGGTCGTCTGGGTTGGACTCCGCGGTTTTGGCGCAGAAGTTTGATGCGCATGTTGATGATTTGTTGATGGTGGAGCATTTGTGTGGAGTTGTCAAGCAACAATTGGATTTGAGTGTGAAGTTGAGTGCCAACTTTAAGGCTTAAGCGAGCGAGCTAAGGTGAGCCGTGGTGATGATTACCACGGCTTTGGCTGCCAAAAGGCGTATATATAGCCTTTTGGTGAGTACTTTTGTAAATTAAGGAAGGTTAGTCATTCCTACGAATGAAAATTTGTTCATGTTTCTGGTTTTTGTCTGTAGTAAAGTATAATCGCGTTTATAGTTACCGCTGATAAAATGCATGCAGATATTTATGCGTATACTTCCACCATTGATTATATCAGATATGCTATATCGGTTTTAGAAATTATACAAATATACCTCTGATATATATATATATATATATAACTACAAAAATCATAGTAATTTCTGAGTCCTCTGACTGACAATTCGAGACGTCCCCTTTTCAGTCACATCCAAACCAATAGGCACACGATAGTTTAATTCAAAAGTTTCCCATTAGCTATACCAGTATAATACAATTATTCCCGCTGGATGCCCTTCAACTATGACAGGTTACCAACACTGCTAAAGACACCACTAGAATACCACTTGGACAAAGAAAACTGCACCAATCCCCGGAGCCAGAGCCCAGTAGGGTGTTGAATTCAGAGAAAAGCTGGACTAAGACCCGCTCTAAGAAAGCACCGTCTTGGTCGCAGGCGCCTCTTTGCAGTACCCAGATGACCACGGCTAAAACTCCTTAAACAACTCCCCAACGTCCCCCGCCTCCAAGTCTGCCAACAATTCCTCCACGCCCTGGAGCGTGTCCTCACTAAACAACCCTGACTTGGTTGAGCGCAAGCCTTCAGCGGCTGCCTCTGCCACGCTCTGCCGCCTACGGTTCAACTTGGCCATCTTCTTCACGCTCTTCTCCTCGCTCCAGGACCCCACAGCCTTTGGCGACGGCGGCGGCGCGAAACTGAGCTTTTTGCCACGTGGCGTAGCAATGCTACTCAACGTGGATGAGCGGCGGCGGTTGGTGGCAGAAAGCGAGTAGCGGCGCATATTCGGCGCGGCGCCGTGCGCAGGCGGCGCCTCAAACATACCCTTGTTGCGGAACGCCGAGAGTGGTACCTTACGTGCGCGGTCAAACGCGTCCCACGCACCCATGGCGTCGTCTGGATCGCGTACCACCTCCACAGAATCCTCCAAGTCCGACATGTTGAACAACTCGTCGAGTTGTAACGCAGGCTCCACCGGAAGCGGTGCTGCAACCTCCGCCGCCTTTTCGGCCGCAGGCGTGAGCGAGCGCGTGGTGAGTCCGTCGATGATCTCGTACGGGCGGTCGTGCTTGGTGACCCATGTGCCGAGCACCGGCGGCCGCGTGCCAACACTTGACAGAGACAACACCTCCTGTGCATTCTTAGAGCCGAGCTGAGGCTTGGCCGACGGCGGTGGGATTGAAGAATCCTCGTCGGTAGATTCCCCACTGAACACATCATTGTCGTAGATATCGTTGTGCAAGCCGTCAAGGTCGTTATAGATCACGTCTAGGTCCTCGTCGAAGTTTGCACGCACAGACGTCGTGGCCGGTGCCTCGAAGAAGCGCGAACCCATGAGCGTGGACTTATCCCTGTCCGAGTCTGACTCGGCTGAGCTAAAGAAGTAGTTCCAGAGGTATGAGTCATCATCATCGCTGTCGTGTTTCTTGTGTTTATGGCTCGCAGGCGGCGCCGGTGCGGGTTTTTCGCTGCGGAAGAAGGCGTCGTCCGCGTCGAACAACTCCTGTGAGTCGTTTCCGTCCGAGTCGAAATCGTAGTCCTCAAAGTTCAGGTCGTCATCGCTGTACACAAACTGCTTGGCTGAGCCAGCGGAGTTGTGGTTGATCTCGTTAATCGACGCCGCAATTGCCTGCTTGTTGAACTCGTCGTCGAAGTGCACAGGCTGTGAGAGGAACCCAAAGTCGTCTCCGAACCGTCCGTCTTGGAAGTCCGCGAGAATATTGTCATGCTCCTCCCGGAGAAGCGCATCGTCATCTACGTCTGCATCATCCATAACATACATCAACCGCCGTGTCTCCTCGTCGTCAAGCTCGTCTTCATCAAGCTCCGAGTCAGATTCCTCGGAGCTTGACTCGAGGAGCTCTTTATCGTTGTCGTCTGCTTCGAGAGTCGCAAGGAGCGCTTTGTCGTCGAGATCGTAATCGTCCTCGTCATCCTCGAGCTCGCTGAGCACGTCGCGCGGGACGATGATTCGACCGTTGGGGTCGCGCCGGATTTTCCCGAGAAAGTCCCCTTGGGCTTCCTTGGGGAGATGGGATGTCTTTTTTGGGGTGTTTGGGACCTTTGGGGTACTTGAGTGAGAAACCTCCTCGCCCAAATCCTCCTCCTCCTTGGCTGGTTTCTCCTCAGCAAACACCAAATGGTCATCTTGATCGAACTCAAACTCAAAGTCGAGGTCCGGGAGCTCGGCCTTGGCCTTTAGGGGCCCTTTTTTGGCAATACCCTTGAGTACCTTCTTCGGGGGCCGCTTCACGCCGTGCGTCTGGAACATTTGAGCAGTCTTCATTGCGCGCGCCTTGCGTTCCGCGGTGAGCTTGACAAAATCCACGTCAGAGTCGTCGGATGAGGACGTTATCCCGTCGTAGTCGCTCTCATTTTCCGAGCTTGAACTGCTGCCCATGATTGCGTTCACCTCGGCCGTGGCACTGCGCCAGTACTCAGCGTCCTCCTCCGAGTCACTGAACACCGGGTTGTGTTCATACGCCTGGGGCTCCTCGATGTCTGAAACATTCGACAACGGCGAATCTGAGTCTGAGTCCACGAGGCTGAACCGCCGCGTGGGCACCGTGGCCTGCTTGCCTCCAGTCTGGGGCTTCTTGGAGTACGTAGACTTTCGCGCCTTGGGATACTTGGCCGGCCGCTTGGCGGGCCGCTTCAGAGGCTCTGGGTTGAGCGCTTTTCTAGGACTCTTTCCCATGATAGCAAATAGTTAAAGGAGCGTAGAGTGAGGTCCTTAGAACCCGCACATTTAGAAAGCGTAATGGGGGAAGTGTGGATGATAAGCGGGGAGTAAAGGTAAGTGGGCTGTTATTTATGGACGGCAGAGCAGGCGTTTTGTTTTGCAGTCGGTATTGCAGTTGGTATTGCGGTCGGCTTTGCGGTATGAATTGCGAGAGTGATAGTACAACTTGCAGAATGTGATGGGTTCTACAAAACTTACTTTTAAAGCGAAACTTGTCTGCGCAAACAGGGCGCGAAATTTCGCATTTGGTAAAATTTTTAATTTGTCTATCGGTGCGGCTCACTGCATTATCTCAATACGGAATTGACGCCATACTGCACCGTACACAGTGAGACCGCATAAGTATATTGCCATCTCGACTACTTAATAAGATTGGGGTTTAGGGGTAGATCAAGCCTGGATGGGGAAATGTCGAGGTTTTCAGCGGAGGGAGAAGAAGAAGGATTTTTGTAGGCACAAACGTATGGGGGGTGCCTCGATAATTGGACGAGGAAAGGGCTCTGTAGGCTCCAAGGTCTATTTCCACCACAGTATTGTCTCGGAGGTTGAATAAAGCTTTCATTTGACGGTTTAAATAGGGGTGAACTTATAATACTTTCATTTTTATGTTAGTATCCTCTAGAATTGTATCGAGGATTTAATAATGCCTCACTTTTGCGCACGTTTATGTCCTAGGTCAGGTATTTAGAATATATAGAACAGGTAAATGGCAGAGGCCCGCATAAGCCCTCACATTGTTAGATAAAGACTGAGAAGAAAACAGAGACAAGATCGCGGGACTTTGTCAAAGTGGGTGTCTATTTGAGCTCTGCTATAAAATTTGAAGCTGACCATCAGTATGGCACACTGTCCTACTAAGATAGATAGTATATATAATCCTTTTGGGTACAAGAATGCTATCTGGATAGTTATCGCGCCTCGAGGTTTACGTTATTCCGGGGTAGGATGGCTCACTTCAAAAAGAGACCCATTAGCTCGACGGTTAAGGATAGATCCGGATTAGACGTTTAAAAAATAGTGCACCCTGACCTTTATTTATCATGTCACCTCAAGGAAGAGTAAAAACTAAATGCGCCAGCCCGGAATCGAACCGGGGGCCCAACGATGGCAACGTTGGATTTTACCACTAAACCACTGGCGCAGCACTTTTACTTGCAAAAACATTCAATAATACCTAACCGGTGGAGTAATCACCGTCAAGTGTGATTGATTTTCTTTGAGATGAGATTTTGGTGCCTCGAACCAGTAAGATTGCTCTTCCGTGGGACACTACTCTCGAATCGTTTGAAACTAACGCTGACAGAGTTTCCCTGATGCTGTCATCGAATTCACTTACATATCGGCCACCATCTAAATATATTATATACAAGTGCATAGATGAATACTATCTAAAATGAAATGCATACGAGATCATGGAAACACTTCCATACATTTGCAGATACTTGCAACCTCGCATTTTTGCACTTTCACTGCTGGCGAATGCGCTATCCCTCAAACAACACCGGGCCGTCATCGACAATGTCCAAACCCACATATTCCTTCGCCACAAAACGGAGCATCCCTTCCAAGATATCCTCCGACCCCTTCAGCTCTCCGCCTTCGTGCCCGGTAATAAACAACACCACACGGTTCCAGACCCGGGTAAACTCCTGGCGCACGCGGAGCGCCTTGAAGAAGATGATATCAGACACATAGACGTTAAGCAAAGCATGCTGCATCTTGACCCACGAACCCACCAAGTCACAGCAGTAGTTGATAACGGTGTAGTCATGAAATTCCAACCGTTTACGATTGCTTTCACGCTCCATCTCGTGAAGTGAGGCGGCTGCCACAAGCGAGAGAGTCTTCAAACGGTTGACCACGCTACCAAAGTGCTGGTTGATGTTCTGCAAACTGCGCTGGGTCTTGGTGATGAACATGAGTTCGAGCGGAAACACATCCTGGTCCGTGACAAACGTGTGAAAGGTGTCTTTGATGGTGTCTGTGCGATCTCTTGAGGCGTCAAACGTGGATGAGACACCGGAAGATTTGTAAGTCTGAAGCAGAATTAACGCTGGTAACACGTCTATGGCACCAATGCCCCATTCCTGGGAGATCTCGCGGAGCGTGCGGTTGTCGAAGCGGGTCAAGGCGTTCCACAATTCGCAGTATCGCCTCTGGAACGGTTTGGGGAGCGTCATGTACAAGCCGTGGTCGATAATCACCAACTGTTCGCGTCCTGACTCACACTGGCGAATAAGAAAGTTTCCTGGATGCGGGTCACAGTGTACCACACCCCACTTGAACAATTGAAGTGCGTAGATATGCACCAAGTCGTGCACCACGGTCCTGGTGTTAAACTGGGTGGTGTACCGGGTGAGAGAGGCGAGCGAGGAGCCCTCGATATGCTCGCTGGTGATGACCCGCTCAGTGCTGAGTGCGCGGTACGTCTTGGGCACGTAGTAACGAGTGTCGAGTGCACCAAACTCGTGCGCGATCAACGCACGCATAGTGTCTGCATTCTGCACTTCGTTCGTGAACTGCAACTCGGTTTGGATCTGGTGCAGAATAAAGTCCATCCCGAACCCAAGCGGGAGGCCAAACACCCAGCCAAGCCATTTCATCGTAAGTGTGAAGCACGCCATGTCGGTGCCGATCTGGTTGCGGAGCGCGTGGTGCTGGACCTTGAGCACCACCTCCTCGCCTGTCACTAGCGTCGCGCGGTGCACCTGTGCAACGGAGCCCGAGCTAATAGGCGATTCACATATGTGCGCAAAGTGACGTGAATAGTCTGGTCCGAGTTCCGCACGCAATGTCGCGTTGATCTCACCCCACGCATCTGGCTCGTTGTGCTCATACAATTGCTTGAACTTGGTCACAAATTCTGCTGGAAACATGTTGGCCTGCAATGCAATCATCTGGCCGAACTTGATATAGACCCCTTTGTTTGTCTGGAGCAAGTAGAGGAGCATCGAGGACGTGCCCTCATGGACCGTCGTCACAGGAAGGTACGGGGAAATGAGGCCGTGGAGAAGCTGGCTGTTGTAGAGCTTGTAGACGGCTACGATACCGCCGATCACGCAGACCGTTCGGAGGGAACGGACGATCGTCGAATCGTTGGTGTAGCGGTCGAAGATGTAGACAGTGGGGATGGTAAGGAAGGCAAACACGGTCGGGCGAGAGAAACGCGGCCCGTGAGGAGGTGTATCCCTGGACGACCCCGACAGTGAGTTGCGCTGATTCGCATGGAACCTACTAGAGTGATGCGCTAGGGGTGGCAACTTGAAGCGGAGCCCATGTCTCAGGTTGACCAACGGTCGAATAAATATCATGAGAAGCTTGTTGCGGAGTAAGAGACTTTGGATTGTCTGAGGGAAGAACTTCTTCTGTTGCTTGGGTTAAATTGTTTGTGTGCGTGACATATGGCTACAGGTTAAGCGCCTTCGCGATCGGAACGGCGAGCAAGGTATCGGCGATCAATAGGAATACAATACTAGGAAATTGTAACTGTACTATAATACCGCACGGATATTGTAAAATAGTAGGTATAAGCCTTGCGCCACCTTATAGCTAGTTAGGGCCCCTATTATGTATCTACATAAACATATATGTTTCCCCAGGCTAACGTGCATGCATTAGAATCGGTATAGCGCGAAGCTTACCTGACTTAGGGTTTTTACGCCTTTACCAACAATTTCTAAGGCAATGCCATACCGGTATTTTCACATTATTGGTTTAATTTTTACACACTGGACTCACTAGCCCTTAATTATATACTGAGCTTATATCTAGAATCAATCCTGAAGCTTTGTTTGATCTGCCTTGGACGATACGCACCCTCTACGCTTGCTTTAACCTATGGTGTCACACACTATATTTTTTTGGCTCCAACCCTACACTTGATCATTTTATATGTACATTTAGTAACAAATGCCCAACAGCAACCGGAAAAACATGGACTATATACCCATCTCTAGTCGCAACAGAACGTTGCGGTTTATACGTCACAGAGAACGAATTTATTCCAACTTTTCAACAGCCTTCAAGATGAATGCAGCAAAGTCAGCGTTGTTGTCCTCCAAATCAATGGACAAGTCGCCCTTTGGCTCGGACTTCTTGTGCAAGGTGGCGTACTCTCTCTTGGCCTGTTCGATCAACTTGGCCTTGGTCTTGTAGGCCTTCAATTCAGCCTTGTCAGCGGCCTCGTTCTTCAAGGAACGGTTGTGGACGAAACCGTAAACAACACCGGAAAGCAAAGCGGAGTATCTCAAGACCTGGGGATGTTAGTATACTGGGCGGAGTGATCCGTTCACCTTGAGATGCGAGTTCACTCCCTCTGCGAGGTGCAAAATCGGGTCCAAGGCTGCAGAATAAACGCTGAGAGCGGTACATTCAAACACGTACGTTAACAGTAGACATTTTGTACAGTTGGGTTGATAACGGAAGAATGGAAGCCTTAGCCCCTCCATCTTCGCTCGGCCCTTTAATTTTCGATAGTATCGCGCTGCATAGCGAGTGAGATCGAAGACTTTCATTGGGCCAGACTGCGGCCGGGCTTCATAACGCACAAGATCTGGACAGTGCACGACCGTGTGATGCCACAGAGTGCTACTAACTGACGTCTTGATCTTTAATAGAGTAGAAAGGGGTGGAATATTATTGGTTTAATTAATTTTCCTTATCTTTTATAAAGTTCATTGGAGGACTAAAATTCTGGTTTAGTTGCCAAAGAGCGCGCGCACGAACTTATGGGGCTGCCACACAATTCACTATACCGTAGACATCTGCGGAAAATTGTCCTGAGACACCATATGACCCTTTATTCTACCTTATCTTGTTTAGCTTCATCCACCTCCCCTTTATCCCGCTAACCCTTTTTAGTACTCTCTAATCTCTATATATCCCGGGAAAAAAAAGGTCCCTTGTAGTGGTCAGAGTAGACACATATACATCTTTGTATCCTTTAGTCTGGGGTGAATATTTTCCTACGGAAATTTAGCAATTATAGAATATATCCATTTCTTTTCTAGTCATACCCATATATTTAATCTGCACTAATTAAAATCTCTTTACACGGTTCTGCGGATGATGGTGATAACCCTAGAATGGCCCTCACCGTTGACCCTGACCCTCTCCTCCCTCAACAAAATATCCACAGCGCTGGAAAGATCAGTGTTCTCTACACTCCCATTTGACTGCTCGTTAATCCGCTTCAACAACTCAGAATACGAGATCGACTCGGCCAGATGGATGAGATTAAGCAACTCCTTGACCAAATCCTCCTGGAGCTTTCTCTGAGCGGAAGAGTGACCGGTCTGGATCAAGTCCATGTCGATTCTGCCGGTCAGTGGATCTGTCGCGTACTCTTTGATCGCAGTCTTGATCAATCTGACAGCCTCATTGACATCTGCCAACTCTACCGTTTCGGACAACCTCATTTTAGCATGGGCTTCGGACAACCGAATCATCGACTCCAACTGGCGGGTGGTGGCAGTGATGCGCTTGTCTGCGGTTCTGACGTCCTCTCCCATCTTGCGCATCTCCACATAGCATTTGACCAATTCGTTTTTGCTCTCCTCGGTCAAAACCGGGTGGATGTTTTCTTTTGCGTACTGGATGTACATGGTAAGGAACTCAACTGGCAAGATTTCCGTGCGCGAGACATTCTCCGGGGTGTCCTCGAGATACATGCTGGTCAAGTGCTGAGCCAACTTGCGGTCGAGATTTTCGTCCACTTTATCCAAAATGAGGTAGACCAAGTCAAATCTGGATAACAATGGCGGTGGGAGGTCGATATTGGACGTCACCGGCAAGTTAGGGTCGTAGCGCGAGTTGATAGGGTTTGCGGACGCGAGGATGGAAGTGCGCGCGTTCAACGTCGTGATAATCCCAGCCTTGGCAATGGAAATCGTCTGCTGTTCCATCACTTCGTGCAACACAGACCGCGTGGAGTCGCTCATTTTGTCGAATTCGTCAATACAGCAGACACCGCCATCGGACAATACCAACGCCCCACTTTCCAACACCAACTGCCGGGTGTCCGGGTCTCTGGTCACGTAGGCCGTTAAACCCACGGCAGAGGACCCTTTACCGGAGGTGTAGACTCCTCTGGGCGCAATCTTGTGGACGTATTGCAACAACTGCGACTTCGATGTCGACGGATCACCGCACAACAAGATATTAATATCCCCACGGTACTTCCCACCCTTTTTGAACAGCTTGTTGGCACCGCCAAACAACTGCAAGAGCACCCCCTTCTTCACATCTTCCATCTCGTAGATCGACGGCGCCATGGAGCGTGCGAGAAGGTCGTACAAGTCGCCACGCGCGGCGGTCGCTCGCACACGCGCCGCATCCTCCTCGGAGATCGGCCGCACCTCCTCCACATCCGGCTGCACCAAGTCTGCCTGGAGCGTCGAGGTATCCACTCCCAATCTCTTTTTGTCCACCTTCTTGATATGAACCACGTCGAGATAGGTCTTGAACAAGTTCTTGAGCGACCGTTGCCCTGAGTTGACCCGCACAGGCAACGATCTGAAAATTCCACACACCTCCACCCTGTCACCGGCCCTGCAGCTATCCACCAACTCGTCGTAGACACAGAGGTTAACCGAATGTGGGGTCTGACCGTCAGGAACGACATCTGGGGTTTCCTGCAACTTAAGTACTTGTTTATCGGCGAAAGAGCATCGGTTGTGGACTATCACCATAGAGTTGTTCTGTTTGCACACGTTTCTGGGGCATCTACTCGGCTCCTGGATGACCCCACGGTCGATTTCGACCACCATGGTGTGGTCGCACGCGGAGCACTTGAAAAAAGCGCCCTTCATGTCTGGAATCACCGGGGTCGACCGCAAAACCAAGCCCTTGACACTGACCAACTTGTCAATATCGTTCGGATTTAACTCGCGCATCCCTGATTTGCTTTCAATGTTGAACGGTCTGATCTTATAGAGATTGGTCTCGATATCTTCAACGTTGTGGGCGCCAGGATGGTCCATCACAAGCGACACCATGACATCCTTCACGGTCTGATCCATGATCGGTACCACCTCCTGGGGGTAGTTGATCAATTGGAAGTACAACTTTTTGGCCTGGGGATACGCCAAGAGGTTCACCGCGTCGAGGTTTAAGTTCGTGAGCCCGAGGTCGCGCATCTGTGTAAACTGTGCGACGTAGTAGAGCTCATTGTCAGAGGCCTCGACTGGCTGGCCGTCATGCAAGCGGCGGTACTTTTGCTTGAACGACATGAGGAAGTTGCGGAACAGGTTACTGCACTCCTGGATCGACACATTAGTCCCCCAGATAACCCTGACCGGCTCCTCCGGGTTCTGCTCGCTCCCGAGGTCGGTGTTGAGCACAGAGGAGGAAGAAAGGGGGTGGAGTCCTGAGGAAGAAGGAGCGCCTTCGGTAAAAAAGCGGCGGCGCATCGGCGATGACGTGATATCCGACGAGTGGATGTCCCCACGCTGGCGCGCGCGGCGGTCCTGGCGCGTGAGGTCTGTGGGCACGGCACGCCCAAAGTCCGAGTTCGGCGCGGAGGAGGAATAGTGTAAAGGCGACGAGAAACCGCTCTGTGGTCTGCCCTGTGGCGTTCTGGCATCGGTTTCCGATGGCGGGTTCGACGAAGACGGAAAGAAGAGTGGCGACGACGGCACGGCGTCCTGGCTGGCAAGAGAGCCTGCCTGTGTGTTAAACTCGGCCGAATCTGGCTGTGTAGGTGGGTTAGACATAGCAATTGTGAGGGTGTATGAAAGAATATAAAAAGATGGGTGTAAAACAAAACGTCTTGAAATACAACCCGGGACGTGTTTTGCAGTTTAGATTTTCCATCGACGCGTTTCGAAGAATTACCCGATTGGGTTTAATGGGCGCGTCGTTACCCGGAGCGCGTACATGATCGAAGAAGATAAGCATCGTAGATGGAAAGATTAATAATGTGACGGAGATTAAGAGATGGCATGTTTAATAGGTTTACTCCGAATGAATAGAAAAATAGCAAAGGGAAATTTGGAGCTGAGGTCGGCTTAGTGCTGGTGATTATGACAATTGACTGTTAGGGTTCACTTAGTTATTCCGTGCTAGAGATAAAGGCCAGAAAGGTAATAGGCCAATGATTTTTGATGGAAATCGAAGAATCCAGAGATATATCACGTTTGTACAGTGGAAGCTACCGTTTAGTAAGAGAATAGTATGGGTTATAGCGAGCTTGAGAAAGAGCCAAGCAATGTCCTGCCATCATCTGTTAGCTAGCACTTACCTGTGGAAGATGGAGCAACTGTACCATTGGGGGGGGAACCCCTACCTCTTTCAATTCTCTTAGTTCTTCATCATCGTTTATTGGCAGACTGAGAATATCAAGCGTAAATAAATTGATACTAGGACTATACCATATTATTGACACGACCCTTCCACCGCCACATGAGTAAGAATCAGCTTCATCACAAACACTCTCAAGATTTTTCAACTTATAAGCCGGCGATGAAATTCCACTACAGCTCAACATATTGGTTCTCGATGCATAATCACGTTACTGCCCCATAGCTCAGATAATCACTACGGCTACATCCTTAGCTTTTCATTAATATATCCATGAATTCCAGCCATAGCTCCATAATATCATAAACCAAGCCTACGTACTCTCCGGCACCACGTGGAGCTTCTTGAGATACGCTTCGTCAATCTCCCACTTGCGCTCCGAGTTCTTCACCTTCGTCGCTATACTATCAATGGTATTCTTGATAACCACCTTTGAATAGTTCCCGAACTGCTTCTTGGCAAGCTCACAGAGCGTGCCGATGGTGAAATCGTTATTTGCCTCGATAAACCCGCACAATGCCACCAAGTCCTTTGTCTCGGTGATCATCGGCTTCGGCTTCTTCAGTGGAGTCAATAATGTCGGAGTTCTAGGCGTCACTTCTCGGTTGGGCGAGACGTCTGGGACCTCAGGCTTCTTCCAGTAGTCTCTGAATGGATTTATGGGGAAGTCCACGGCGAGGCTCAAACCCTCATACTGTAGCTCTTCGAGGGTGCCTTGATTCCACTCAACCACCGGAACCAACGGTCCAATGATCTTGCGTTTCACTAGCCTGCCTTCAGCGTCGTTTTCATCCACAAAATCATCCATATCCGAGTCGGTTCCCGGATCGTTATCACTGATATCGTCCTCATCCTCCCCTAGGTCTTCTCCTTCACCGTCCTCGTTTTCAAGTTCCCACTCCATGTCTGAGTCGTAATCGTAGTCAAAATCTGTCCCTTCGGTAAAAAATGGCGTCCGCTTGTACGCCACGGGGATCGGCTTTGAAAACGTTCCCAAGTATGGTGGGCCCACGTTTTCATAGAAACACAAAACCTTCACAGGCAACAGGGCTAGCATAGACGAGACGTTTTGAGATGTGTTCATGAGCTGAATGATCTCCCGAGGTGTGGCTCGTTCGGGGATACGAGAATGGCACTGCTTGGAGCCTCGAAAGAAGTCTGCCAACAGCGACAGGGCGCCTGTATCAAGTTCTCGTTTGGAGTCCGCCAATCTCAGCGCCGGAAGCTGCCCAGAGGCGGGTAAGTAACAGTTCTCCTTGAGATAAAATGGAAGAAATGTTTTTTGGTAGTCGGATTCCGCTTCCGCCTGTTGTTTTGGTTTCGTGACAGTGAAGAAACTGGCAATCCGCAGCTGTTTCCTGGAGGCTGTTTCTTCGGCCTTACGTTTGTCCTCCTCAGCTCTGAGCTTGGCCTCTTCCTTCCGCTTTCGCTCCTCCTCGACCTTGCGCCGTTTGTTCTCCTTTTCCTCTTCTATTAATCGTTTTTTTGTCTCCTTCTCTTCTTCTAGAGCCCGCTTTCTTTCCAACCGCTCGCGTTCCTTCTGCTCACGATCGGCAATCCTTTTCAACCGCTCCTCCTCCTTTTTTTGCTCCCGGAGCTTTTTGTCCTCCTCAAACTTGAGGCGCCGTGCTTCCTTTTCCTCCTCCAACTTGCGTCTTTTGGCCTCCCGCTCGCTGTCGCGTATCGAGAGCTTCCGCTTCCGTTCGGTTTCCTTTTGCTTCAACTTGAGATCCTTCTCTGTCTGTTCAGCGTTCTTTTTCTGCTGCTTCTCTTCCGGAGTTAGGGGGAGACTCAGATCTGGCATCGTGTGAGAATCTGAGGGCGTGACGTCAACCGGCGAGGGGGGACCGATCTCTACCGGAGACGAGGCAGTGATGTCGATTACCACCGAATCGGATGCTGGTGGGCCGCCTGCATTTTTCATCATGGATACAATGGATTGAGCCATAATGTGCTGCCTGGAAAGTCTTTGGGGAGGAGGTGATGTTTGAGTCAATGGCACTTTTCAGCAACGCGTCGAAATTTACCGCGTCTTTAAGCCGTCACGTGAACAAAAGAAACAACGCGTAGGGCCAAGTGCAGGATAGCTCCAACATGCAGGAATGTCATTTTGCTAGCAATGGCAAAGAGGATACCCCTTCAGTACTATTCGTATATTGATATATTTGTCCAATTTTTGGCTGTCTGTTAACTTGGTTTAAGAGTTAGAATCCAAGAATTGTTATTAAAATGGAGAATAATGACATCCAGGCGTCCATGTTGTCCACACAAATGCTCGGGCGACTAGACGAGTGGGATCGCAAAGACAAACAGATGGATACGGCCCAGGGCTTCAAGAAATTTGCATTCACAGGGCTGGGAACTGTTAGAGAATGTGGAGATAGCGTGGCAACCCACACCCCCATCACTAAACCAAAGCGGGCCGCCTCTAAGCCCAAGGTGGCAAAACCAAAAATGGCCAAAACAAAACCTACAAAGGCGGCGATAAAGCCAAAGAAGACCAAAAAAAACCCTACAAAGGCAGCAATAAACCCAAAAGTGACGGGAAAAGCAACTGGATTCGCAAAAACACCAGCCAAACGGGCCAAGCAGACTATCCTTGAGTTGCTCTCCGGGAAGCGGAAAAAGGTGAATGACATCGTCAGACGACTACAGAGCTTTGAAAACGATGCCGCCGAGGAAGCCAACCAGACTGCTATAGAATCCTCGTCTGAAAGTGAAGACGAAGTGGTGGAAAACTTTCTCTACACCAACGAGGAGTGGGTCACACTTGTGAAATGTTTGAAAGCAAAGCTACCGAACCTATCCCCCACCACCAAGTGGTTTTTAGCCAAGATAAACAACCAGTTCAGAGATCATTCCTCGCATGAGGAGCAGAAGCTTTCCCTATGGGAATCAGCGGCGATGCCGCCTGCTGAGTTTAGCAAGGAAGACCTTTCCTGGTTGTACAACGTGCACGAGAGGGAAATTGCTGATATCACGATGACGTCTTTTATCGAGAGTATCGGCTCACAGCAGGATTTGGTATGTACTTTATCGCAGTTCATCGAGGATACTCAGATGACTGAGGAGCCCATCCTTGTGGAGGATACCCCAAAGATTACTGATGTGGCTGAAGGTGCCATAAAGATTTCTAGTACCACCGAACCTTCCTCTAAGGGTTCCAGCATTGCTGAACTCCACTCAGTACCCAGCATTGTCGAAGTTTCCGACCACGAGGTCATTTCACTCAAGTCGTTTCACAGCGATGTTGACACAGACCCTGACGTGGAAATTCTCTGCAGTTCGCCGCTGATGTCACCCATCAGGGAGGTTCGCCCTCGACAGCTCAAGCTGTTTACCGGTATCGATCTCTTGGGCTCGAACATCTTTTCCAGCGAGTCGGTTTCGGAGTTTACCGCATCACCAAGCATGCTTCCTGACACGTTACACCACCGTAAATCTGTGACTCTTGGAAGTGAGGCTATTAATTCCGAGTTGGAGCTCGGCACAGTCAAGAGATCTTCATGCAAGGGTTCCTTAGAGGCTCCTTCCGAGGTGTGCGAAATAAGTCAGGACAACTTTGAGGCGAGCACCCAGGTGAGGCAGCTGTCCACCTATCCGTCACGTGTAACACCCATGCCCAAAGCCATTCCGGATGAACCAATCGTGTTAAGTGGGTCGGAGCTGCCTGCAGTGCCAAGTCCTTTGCCCGTTACTCTTTTCCCTGTCAGTATAAGCCCTCCATCCCAATCACCTTCTAACAGTCTCGTTAAGAATGGAGCGCTAGAGGTAATCACCTCTTCTCCGTTTGCTTCGCCCACCCATCTGTTCAAACCGACCGAAGAAAACTTTGAGATAGACTTGACACTATCGCCAGCACACCCAGACCTTGCTGATGCGGAAGATTTCCGGCTGGAGGTTGCCAGTTCGCCACTTTTCAACCCCTTCAGAAGCCCCATTCAATCGTCCATTCCCTCTGTGTATGCAACCGCCAAGTCAAAGTTCTTTCCCACACTGGACCTCCCCGACTACTCCCTTCTCGGTAGCAGCAATTTCGGACCGGTGCTTGCTACAGCCCAATCGCAGAAGTATCCAGCCAAGAATTACGAAAAGTCTGTTCTTGAATTCAGAGGCAACATCGATGTAATGCATTCCTCCTCTCCCGGCGGACTCATGTCATCTGTCACGAAGGTGGGTACGAAGAAGGCGATTTACGTGGAGGAAGTTGCCGATAGCGAAGATGACTGCGAGGATGTAAGCATAATTGAGATTGTCAGGACCGTGGTGGTGGACGGAAAACAGAGTGGAATTGTACTTACCCCTATGAAACCTGCTAAAATGCAGGTGCCATCCAGCCCCGGGATATTCCTGTCGCCTACCAAGAGGTCTTACGACGGAATGCTTCTGTCGCCCCGGAAAAGGCGCCATGGCGATGTAGAGATGAGTGGTACTTCAAAGCCCATCACCATAGATACCGCTCCGCCTGATGACTTTTCCTCGATGACCACGAAAGCGCTAAAGGAGAAGCTAAAAGAATGGGGGTTGAAGCCCATGCAATCTCGCGATAAGATCATCGATGTGTTGAATCACACGCGGAAATTGCTAAACCATGAGCATCTTTCACAGATATCTCAGAGTGATAGGCCATCCCAAAAGGGACCCACAGAGATTGAAGAGGCTCCCACAACCACTCAAGAAGCGGTGAGAACCCAGATATATAACAAAATATCGGGGATGTTGCTTGCCGACACAAAATTCTTTGAACGCGTGATCTCGTTCGAGCCTATTAAGATAGACGAACTACGCGGGTACTTGCAGACCCAGGGAGTCACTGTAGCGGAGGATATCGTGAGGGGTTTTTGCGACCGTAACGGGATATGCTACACCGGCTTTGACGACAGCGCGGAGGAGAAGGAATGAGGAGGTAAAGCGTATGTCATACTTGTGCTGGAATTGGCTTGTGTCAGCAGAAATAGGCGGGGCAATCGCCATCCGTGAATGGAGCTAATCTGATATTCGTAGTGAACTTCATAGTTATATCCGTGAGATAACATTAGATATATTTTAGCCGCAAAGAATAAAATGGCCACGAGACGGTCTCTTTTAATCACTAATGCGTCTGATATAAAGCATTTTTTGCTTGAATATTGTGTATAGAGAACAATGGGCTTTCCGTGAATACACTCGCATATGTGATAAACACCTACCATTTCTCCGATACACCACCTAATGGGATGCAATATAAAAAGAAATGGGAATATTAAAAGATGCCCGGATGATATGGGAAAGAGCATATGCTAATCAGGGAAAACTAAAGGGGGGGGGGGGGGGGGGGGGGGGGGGGGTAGACGGTGTACGGACGGTACGTAGAGAGTAAGCTACAATGAAACTTGGGTAACCGCTAATCTTTGACACCAGGGGTGAACATCCATACACGTTCCAGTCAATTCCTCACAAGGTTAACTACTTTACCTTTTTTCAACGTTTCTAATTGTCGAGTTGTCATTTCAACTCATTTTGAGGTAATGGCTGTCATATGAATGCCAAATCTGGCGGATCTACCTCCTGGTGATTCCAGTACATGCTCTTTCACACGCATCCAACAGCGAAACTTGACCTGTTGGTGAAATACGGTCGAGAGAAGTTTCCCCTGGCTCCGGGAATTATCTCAACCGTAGCCCCAAGACCTCCTTTCGAGCCCAGTGGCCGATCAAGTCGTCTCGATAACCCCTCTGCGCCGGTAACGTGCGCCTACCGCGTTGCCGAGTGCCTAAAACTGTGCACAGCAGATGCTGCGTGTTTTGTTTGATCCACATTTATTAGTGCTCTACGTAATCCAGGTGTTGAGATCGGCCGACAGGAGTACTAAAAATACACCATAAAACTGACCTAAACCCTTTTCAGCCTCTAGCCCTCAGTCTTTCTTAACACACCCACATCCATTGCTAAGCGCTATCACCCACACCTTTAATCTTGGAAACTGATTGCACACCATGGCATTCACAGAACCACAAGACGATGCGCCTGCTGTAGAGTACCAGGAATACTTGTCCTCATACACGTCAATACGCGACTTTGCCTACGCCGAGACAGACCCCTTGCATTACGGCGCCATCCCCGAAGAGGACTACACTGACGCCTACGACGACATAGACCGCGAGCCGCAACAACAGTTGTTGCTATTTCAGGACGGGCCTCCGTGGGTGGAGGATATCCACTCGCCGATTAAACAGTCCTTTGCGGCGCCCCTCGCGACATTGCATAAGAAGACGAGCTACGCCCTCCTTGCGGACGTTAAGAACGAGATCAACCTCAGCGCGGTCGCGTTGTACGACTTTGAGCCGGAAAACGCCAACGAGATTGCCCTAACGGCGGGCCAAATTATCTATGTAAGCTACAGGCACGGCCAGGGCTGGCTTGTGGCCGAAGATCCCGCTACCGGCGAGAACGGCTTGATTCCAGAGGAGTATGTTCAGTTCATCGAGGAGATAGAGGAGCCGGAAAGCCTAGAGGAAAAAAAAGAGGCTGATAACTATGAGGGAGGAGAGAAAGATGAAGAGAAACCAGACACAGTTGAGTCTCTGGAAGAACCCTACATAGAATCCGTTCCCGAAGCGCCCGCAGAGGAGTTGGGCGCCCTACATGTTTGATTTAACGACAATGTATTGCCATGACAGGGCCACTTGGACTTTGAGCTACACTGAGAGCGCAGAAAATAGCGCCAACTACGAACGGCCTGTGGAAGAGATGGGTGTAATTTGGGTGTCTGTCGCTATTACTGAACCTCTGATTATAATAAAAGCATAGGCTTCTGAGATTGCAAGACATTAAAAGACCCAGAAGCTTAATTAGTAATGCTAAGTTAGTCTAATTGTCCAGAGCCTCTGTTTAAACTCAAATTAAATGCTAATAGCGTTTTGTTTCCTTTTCCGAGATTTCTCGACCAGTCTAATTGAACCGTTTCATATCCACAAACTGCGGCGAATGACCTCAAGCAAAACCTCCAAATAAGTTAGGAGTCAACCTCTCATGTGGTGCCCTGTTCCACTGCTTTTTCTTTCGCGTATCGTATCTTCCTATGTTTATCTTATGTGTTATTGTAGATAGTTTAACAAACCGGGGGAATAGTCATTTATTAATGGGCTACGGAGGGTTACAGATCAAGATCCTATCAGTAAAAACACACCTATTGAGCGCCTCTTGTTTTTTGAAATAGCATCTAAAAAGGAAAAGTATCTCAGCGCGAGTAAAAGTGTCGCAACCAAAGCTGATGTATATTTCTACCTATATATACCGTTTGTTAATATATAAATCACAAGCAATACCCACGCTTGACCTTTTTAGAAGAGCCAATCTTGAAAATTCACTCTGTCGATTCAGCTTGCCTCGCTTTTTGATTTTCTTTGCAAAAAAAAAATAGTCCATAAATACTTCTAATTCCATACCAATCTACTTTGTGTACCGGTCCATGAATTTACGGTGAAAGTCGGACCGCAACATGTCGTTCACGTACTTGTCGTGTCCATCGGTCTTTGCGCTCTGCTTAGCGTTAAACACCGTGTTCAGGCGCCAGGACGACTTAGGCTTGGCCTCCTCCGCCACAAGCAACGGGTTGGAGGTAAGTGCCTTCACACGCTGCTCTTCTTGCTCTGCCAGCATTTTCGCCTGGAGCTTCTCTGCTTTGATCTTTTCAAGCTCCCTCAAAAGCGCAAGTGTGTCGTCTTCATCCTCATCCCCGCTCTCCTCATCCCCGCTCTCCTCATCCTCATCTTCATCCTCACTTTCCGTGCTACTCTCATATTCAAACACTTTGGGGGAATCCTGATAACCATCTGCCGCCTTAAACTCTTCCTCGACCTTTCTCCGCTTGGCCTCGTAGTTTTCCTCGCTCCCCGTGAGAGCCAACTGCGTCTTCTGCGCAAACCGGTCCTCCTGCCAGACCCGCCCCTCTTTCAAGTAGTGGCTCTTTTCCTGATTCACAAGCTCCCATTTGAGCTGCTCAACCTTGGTGCGAGCCGCCTCCGCATCCACCCGTGTGCCCTTGTTTCGGAGGTACGACTGCCGGAGCTTCAACTGTTTGTGTGCGGGCTGGCTGCGGCCGTGTTGAATCGTGTTTGCGATTGTGATATCCTTGCCCCTCTTGGACTCAAGAGTTGGGCGGTGTGCTGTTGTCATTGTGGTATTTAATAGAGTATATGAGGGCTAGTATGTGTAAAGTTGAACCTTTTGGAGCAAAGTAAAAAAAAAATAACGATGCCGGAAGAATAGGAGTGCGGCGCAGGCAGGAAGAGAATGTTCACAGAGTGCCATTATTATATCATGTTTGTTTTAACTCTTTCCAAAAAATCACGATTTAGAGTTTATATTTATAAATCGCCCGCAACCACGGGTAAACCTCCCATTCATTCCAAGGGGCAGCTGCAAAGACATAGCACTTACGTAGTGAGCTCCCATACCTGTCAGTTAGCCCTGCATTGTACGTTACTAGGCATTCATTCTAGACGTTTGGACCGGTACAGTGCTAGAGATCAGTAATAGCCTAGTGTTTCGTCTGAAAGAAGATAAAAGTATAGTCCACACTTTTAATCATCTTCCCTCTCAACCACTAGTATTGTATAAATACCAGTTATTACGTTGTCGGCGTGTCTCCGCCCCGCACCACTGACTTTTACTAGGTAGGTGCCCATCTAACGGACCATAACGTGCTAGATCTTGCGCCACCTCAAATTGCTATATTCGGAAATAGTGGCGTTATATTCGCGGCGCAGTTCGTGGCTGTGCTTCGTGTCGAGCACTTGCCTCAAAACGGTTGTAATATTTTTATTCTTGGGTATTCGCTCATTTCCTTACTACAAATCTTCGATACGCTTACAATGGCCAAAAAGAAGAGCAAGGGTGCTAATACCCAGAGGACTCCGGAACCAGCCCCAAAAGTCCAAACACCACCCACTGTGGGACAAGACGTTACCGCTGAAACGCCTCTTGAATCGGAAGCAGGCGATCCTGAACAATTCGCTGCGGAGCAAACTGAGATGGCTCCAATCACTGAGAATATTGAGATAGCTTCGGCCACTGTGAAGCTAACTGAAGGGGCGACTGCGGAACCATTGATCAACCTTACTGAGGCACCTCATGATTCTCCATTGGTTGGAACTGCCGAACCATCTCCTGAATCCCCACTAGCCGAGATTGCTGAATCTGACCCCCTGAAAACTAGCGTTTCGTCTCCAATCGAAACCAAACCTTCGATTGAACCAACTAAAGAAGCCGCCGAACCATACAACCGGTCAGTCCTCTCAGACTCCGCTTCGCTCGATAGCTCTGCATCCATCATGCCTATCATGCAATCCCCTCAAAGCCCGGAGGAATCCAACCCCACCTTGAAATCATTCATGGCGGCGTGCCAGACCGGCAACTTACCCACCGTCAAAGACCTCGCGGCAGTCTGCGCCACTGAAACCTTCCCCGACAACATCACCGGTCTCCACTGGGCGGCGATCAACAACCGCCTCTCCGTGGTCCAGTACTTGGCGGAATCCTATCCAGAAATTCTCGATGTTCGCGGTGGTGACTTGGATGCAACCCCGTTGCACTGGGCGTGCCGCTACGGACTTGTCTATATCGCGGATTACTTGATCAAGCAAGGCGCCGACCCCGCGCGCTGCGACTCTCAGGGCTTCAACTGTCTCCACCTTGCTATCAACTCGTCTAACATTATGCTTGTGATCTACATTCTCAATACTACGGACATCCACGTCGACACCCCTGACCCCAACCGGCGCACAGCACTTGGATGGGCTGCTTACCAGGGCGACACCCTCAGTGTCGAGGTGTGCCTTCAGCACGGCGCGGACGTTGCACAGGCAGATGACCAAGGCTTCACTCCATTACACTGGTCGTACATGCGCGGTACCTTCCCGATCATTAAGCAGTTACTCGAGCACGGCGCCGATGTCAACAACACGACGTACGACGGAAAGAGTAGCTTCGACATTGCGCGCGACATGAATTGCTTGCCGACGTTGAAGAACGCGTTGTACGAGACAGGCCGGGACCGTGAGACCGGGCTCATGAAGCCAAAACTCATGGGTGAGTCTACTGCCAAGGTGGCCACCTTCTTCGCTCCGTATGTCATGCTTGGGGTCGCTTTGGCCGGGGTTAGACTCATGGAAACCAGCGACTTTCTCCGCCTCTTTGCGGTGTTTCCGGTATTAGCTCTCCTCCACTTCCTTACCATGCATCTCCTCGTGCCGAACTATCTTCGCACCCACCAAAACGCGCTTTTGAAGACCCCCTACCTTGCGGGGGTCTTTTCCGCATCCTTCTTTTACTGTGTCGTGGTGTGGGTCACCCATTTCGCGGCAGACTTTCTCGAAACCCCCCTCGCTCACATTTTCTTTGTCCTTTCCGCCGCCGCGGTATACGGCTTGTTCTCCAAGGCTATGTTTATCAACCCCGGCTATATTCACCGTCCTGCCAGCAAGACCGACACCCAGGGACACATTATGGCGCTCATGGCGATCGGCAAGTACGACGCGCAGCACTTCTGCATCCACACGATGGTGCGTAAGCCGTTGCGTGCGAAATACTCCGAACACTCGCGTAAGTTGATCGCAGGCTTCGACCACTACTGCCCGTGGTTGTACAACGAGGTGGGCGTGCGCAACCACAAGCTCTTTGTCGGCTTCATCCTTGCGTTGGAGGTTGCCGCCTTATGTTTCCTTCATCTTGCGCTCGAGTCGTTTGACGAACTTCCGTCTGTGGATGAATGTGCCGTGTTGGGCGAATCGCTCTGCCGAGCCGCGACACACACGCCGTTCGCCCTCAATCTCTTCTTCTGGACGTGTTTCCAGCTCATATGGTTATCTTTCTTGATCTTCACACAACTCTTCCAGATCTCTCGCGGCTTAACCACCTACGAGGCGTCTAAGTTGTACAAGAAAGACCATCGCCAGAACCCGTACTATGCCAGCGTGCCCGAAGACCTCGCTGGACTGACCGAGACCCCCGTTGAAGATCCCCTTCCGAAAAACATCACGTTATGCGGCTCCTTTTCCCGGCTGTTGGGGTTGGATCAGTTTGTGTCCGCTGCGCGCGATGCCACGTCGTCGCGCCACCAAGAGATCGCTACAGACTACGGGGTGAAGATGAACTGCTTGGACTTCTGGTTCATCGGTGACACTCACAACTGGCGCAACATCTTCTACTTGCCAATTGACGGCGAGCACAACATTAATGGCCGCACTGTGGACTATTACCACTTGTACAAGTTACCGTCGAAGGACGTCGAAAACTTGGTTTAGATAATGTTGTACGAACTCTTGGTTTGAACGTTTTAGTTGAATACAAGGTGTTAGTGCTGTTATAGTAGGCATACTGTAGCTGAGTTGCAATTGTCAAAGATCCTACAACGTAAGTCTGTGTGGCCCTATTGGAGGCGAATCTCATTGGTAACTGACTTTTGTTACGTATTACTATGTGGATTTTGGCTAGGATACGCAAAACCTCATAAACAGCTGAACCTGATCTAGCCCTGATCTAATATTTGTGAATGATAGAGAGCTTGTAACGTATTATCTTAACAGGTGATTTGTCTACCATTGGGCTCGATGCCATCCTTTTCTCTAGATAGATCGCGGTGAATGTATTCACATGCCCATTGACTTTTCTAATCAAACCGATGCTGCCATACTGTCACCTCTTATTAGATTTCCGTCTTGGCCCTCTTTCTATCCCCCTCAGGCCTGTCCTCCTTGGGTTTCCTGGCCAGGAGGTCGGGGATATCGCTGACTTCCGAACGCAAGAGTCGGCTCCCATCATCCGCATCTTCGTCGATATAATGAACAAATTTCTGTTTTGTAAACGGAATAAAGACCCGCTCAAGCATTTTCGTGTCAGCTGCGCCCACCTGCACCAAATCCGCGAGTGCGCGGTACAATGCAAAATAGCACACGTACATCTTGATCAGATCGGCCCTGATTCCATGATCCGCAAGAAAATTCTTTGCAAGCTTGTGCTTATGACACACCGCAGCGTAGATGATTGCGGTCTGCATCACTGTCTCACCCTCGTAGGTATTGAAGATCCCGCACTTGGAGGCCTCCACGAGGAAGGAGCGCGCGGCGCGGAAGAGCAGGTCTGTCAGCGGGGCTTCCGGGTGCTCTTTTTTCGCACGCGTCTCTTCCTGAGGCGACATTCTGGGAAATGCCTCCAATAGCTCGTCAAACACGGCCGGAACGTCGAGGTCGAACCCGAGCACCTTGATCACCGTTTCCTCGTATAGCGCGAGCTTGTCGCGCCACTCCCAGTATGCGGGACTCATTCCGTCCTCTTTCTTGCCGGAAATAATTCCTAAAGCCACGATCACCACCTCCTTGATGTTGCGAATGCAGTCGTCGAGCTTACACGCCACAAAGAGACACGCAGTCGCGATCTGGTTGTTGTGGAGTTTGTCGCGCACGGGCTCCACGAGGCAGTAACGATGGAAAAGAAGCGTTGCGCGAAAGATGGCTGCTGGCTGAAGCTTGAGCTGCGAGCCGAGGAATACGAGGAACCCGCACGCGCTGTATTTGAGCTTGGCTTCCGCTTTGTAGTGCATCTGGCATGCCGCTGGCGAGAACTGTTTGACGAAGCGCTCCAGTACGGTCCATTTGTTGGGCTTAAAGTTGAGCTGGTCCGGCCACAAATTTGGTGGGATTGAAGTCATAGTAAGGAGAGGGCTGTATATTGGGATTGGTAGATGGAGTGCTTAGCGTAAGGTATTGCCGTCATGTAGCTGCGTGCATAAAAAAAATTCGCGGTTGAGATTGCACGCACAGGCTTCTGGTACGAAATGATGTACTGATTTCTGTGGATAAAGAGAAGAGTTAGTTTGTATGATGTGAATAGTACTATGCTTCCGTACTCTCTGCGGTGAAAAATGATTGATATGGCCGTCTTTTAATGGAAGATTTGTATACGAAGGTTGTCTCGTCTGTCTGCCGTTCCAAGTCATGTCGATATTGCCCAGAGGGGCGATTATAGGGAAACTATATCCCAGAACTCTCCTCACAGCTACCATTTTCTTCCCCGACCGATTAAGATTTTTGCTATCGTCCTCTTTTTCTCTACTTTAAAATTCATCCCATAAAAGATCCACGCTCTCTCTTGTATAGAGCCGACCTCAAGACAACAACGCTATTTCTATTGCATTAAATACATAGTTTTTTGTTCGCCATAGTATACCGCTACCAACTTGTGTCTTCTGTTAGGTAGTCCTTGAGGTATGGCCAAAGCTGAACAGCTCCGTGTCTTTAATCTTAGCCTTTAGTGTTCCCCAATATTACAAGCATATGGAGTCGACCGTGGCTGTCAAACATCTTGTGAAGTTGATACATTAACTATTTACAAAGTGTACAATGAACCGTTAAACGGTAGAGCCCTATGGTGAAACACAGGTTTACAAGCGGTGTGGGTGGAATATTCTACCCTTTGGCAAGTTGTAGAACTCTCTCACGGCGGAGACGCTTCTGTCCCACTTGCTTCTCCACATGTGAGCGCCGACGGCAGTCAAGCCGTGTGTCTGGGCAAACTCTCTGATGTCAAAGTCAGGGTTGTTCAGACGGGCTGACTTGACGGCAACCGCAGCTTCCTGTCTGAATACCCATACGGCGAATCTCTGGTACGGCAAGTTCTTTTCCGGGACAGGTGGTAAGTACGGACAGATCTCGTGCTTATTATTGCCAAACGCGTCGCACATCTTCGAAAAGTCAACCTTAATGTCGGTGTTGGACACCAGGACATTGGTCAACCCCCAGTGCAAGGTGGTGTTGAAGCCGTTGGTTTCCACGTTTGGGGTATCTGGGTTGACAATCAAGATGGTGTACAACTGGTTGTCGGTCTCCTTGAACTCCTGGATGGTGAAGGTAGGTGGCTTCATGGTGGTGGAAGAGTGCAAGAACGCACCTGGTACGACGGCGGAGGCACCACTGCAAGGAAACTCCATGGTGACGTCAACTTCCGGATTTAAGGTCGGCATGGTGTCTGGAATGACGCTCATGGTTTCCAATCTCTCCATGAGTAGCATCTTGCCGTAGTTGTTCCACTTCTGCTCTGCGTAATGTCTGAAGGCAGCCTGCGACATATCCAAGTTCTCAGGCAAGTACTCAGCGGTGTACTTGACCTCTGGGTTGTGCTGCTCAGCAGAAACAGCCATCTTATTCTTCTGGGCAAGGAGGTTGGCCTTTACCTGGGCATCAGTAGTCTCACTGATCTGTCTCTCGATTCGCTCAATGGCAGCGTACGTTCTCTGCGCTCTCTGCTGCAAGTATGTGTGAGCGGTTTCGAACAACGGTTGCATCCCTGGGGTGCTGGCGTATCTCATCTTGGCGGCCTTATCAGTGATTGACACCGGCCCATCTGTGGCTGCAACACCCTTGAGAAGCGCTTCCTTGAGCTGGGCGTCCTTCAAGCCCAAAGAGGCTGATCTCTTGGAGAAGTCTGCCCACAAATCGGCCTTTGTCACAACAGTAGAGTATCTTCTGATAATGGCGCTCATTGGTAGGGGGAGTGGATATGATTGATTAATAACTTTGGAATAGCCGCTGGAATTTTTCAATATTTTTCGGTTCACTTGGCTTGTTAGTGCTGAATTTTACGCAATATAGAAGCTGCAGCGCACGACCTGCGAGGGTCTCTAAGTAGGGTTTGAAGTTGAAAGTTGTATTTTTTTTTCTGGTCTTTGGGTTCTAAAGCAAGCCACCAACGGCTTGAATCATTAGGTTTGAATCTCAATTGGCGCCTGTAAGGTATTGGCAGTAAGATGGAATATTAGGCGAAGCTATAGTTGTTCTATTTGGCAGCCTGCCTTTAGATACCCACTAACATTGAATTCCACCAAGGTATTCTCCATGAGCACGTCTCGAATCTTTAACAATCTCACGGAAAAGAGGAATTTCGTATAATTGGTTAGTTTTTACTGCTTTTGTAAGTCCCAACCTTCTGGAGATATCAAACTTGACATTTCACCAGGTAAAGATCGTGTAAGTGATAAAATCGCTAGGGACTTATGGACAGCCATGACACAAGATTGCAAGATAGACATCGATTCTACGTCGAAACTGAAAACCTGCTTTACTTTTCCTTAATAAACTTTCTGTCGATCACACAGTCAATGCTTTCGTCATCCACCTCGCCTTTGTCCTCAATCTGGAGCACTTCGGCATACTCTTCGGGGGATACTGGCGTGACACTCAAACGTCCTCGCTTCACCAACACCATATCGGCTAAATTGGAGTTTTCTCGCACAGACACCAAGCTGACCTTGTGTCTAAACCGCCTTTTGAACTTGACATCCACACACCACCATCGTGGAGCAGCCCTGTCTGACTTGGCATCGTAATACGATGACTTGGCGTTGAACTGAAGCTCATCCGGATGGGCTGCATTGGCAACTTCTGCGAGTCCCACAATTCCCGGGACTGTACAGTTGGAATGGTAGAAGAGACAGATATCACCAACCGACATGTTTAACATGTGGTTCTTGGCCTCGTAGTTGCGCACACCGTCCCACGGCTCGTACTCCACCAACTGCAAGTCAGATAGCGCAAATTTAGCATCTTTGCCCGTTTTCGGGTCAATTCTGGAGTTTGGTTCTGACTTGATGAGCCAGTATCTGGAGCCCGTGACAGGGTCAGCGGGATACCTCTTGTAGTTTTTAGTTTCCGGCTTCAAGCTAATATCGGCAGGAAGCAGAGGCTTTGTCTTCAGTTTGGGAACAGGCTTGGCTATTCTGTTAAGGGAGCGTGTAGCAGTCATTGAGATGTACTGGAGGTTAGATCGGTGAAAGCTGTTTAGATGGAACATGTGTTTGAGTCTGAAATTTCAGCAGATGCGAGGGAAATGACGCGTCTCACGCCAAAGAATTTGGCAGCCATACAGGTCGGCTCGCAGTCATCTTGAATGAAACGTAAGGGGTATATGCTTCCGGGTATATTCTCCTGATTCTGGAGAGTCCAGGCAATTTCAGTAGCCACATGATTATAGAGTAAACCTTATCGAATATATGATGAGGGTTTCACACGGCAAAGCTGGTTGCGAGATGGAGGTACTAACGAGAAATTCCATCTGTTTGACCGATTTAGTATCGCCCTACTGTACAGCATACACCTACTACAACTTCTACAGCGCTACCTCAAAATTTACACGTGTACTACATATTGCTTTATCGGCCTTCTGTGAGTGATATGGATCGTATTCATAAGGGGGTTTTCACCCTGCCTCAACTGCTTGTCCGGAACTTTGGAGTTTTGATGGCGAAATGTATTGCTGATATCTATAAAAGGTTTTGTAAACATCTAAATGCTACTCTCTTGACAAATAAAATACGAATCTTTACAGTGTGATGAACATAGAACTGAATCACTACTCAATAGGCGAAACACCACCGGCCGGTACATATACCCTAGCTAATGCTAGGTTGATTAGAGTTCATCATGGGCAATCTTCCCCACGTCGATCTTCTCCCCAATCATCGCCAACTGCTCCTCAAAGCACCCGAGCGGCGACTTGACATTGAAATGGTACTCGCACTTTTCCGGTTCGGTCACACTCACAATCTCAAACTCGTTCGAACACGTCACGGAAACGACCCCCCGACGTCTGGGCCCGTTCCAGCACTGAGCTCCGTCCTCGTAAAAGATCTTCATCTCCTTTTCACTCGTCTCGTTGTTGGTTTCGTACACCACACGATCAAACGTACCTATGGCAACGTTGGAGCCGTGCCCCTTTTGGTGAATGGACCCCGTGAAACACAAATCGTAGTCGTATTCGCCCACCTTGTTGGTGATGCACTTTTCGGACAACGCGTGGAGAATACCGTCTTCGCCAAAAGACTCGCCCTCGTACTCTTTCAAGTGGCTGCTGATCTTCAGCTCGGCGCTGGCAATGTCCTTCTTGACAGCTTCAATCTCCTGGGTATCGGGCATAACAACCATGGTCTCTTGACCCCCATTAGGCGTACCCAAAAAGGATGTTACAAAGTCCCTGTATACGTTGTGGATATATCCCACGAGAGACAGGCTCTTTGCTGGTTGCTCAATGTCTATCTCCTTCAAAGACTCCTCCAAAACGTCCATAAGGTGCAAGTCGACTGGTTCCGCCTGGAAACTCGTGTCTTTGTTAACAGTGTAGTCCTGGAAGTTCTGCACAGCCTCTTTGACCGACAAATCGTTAAAGTTGGGGTTGTAGTTTTCAATCAACTTGGCCAAAATCTCCTCCAAGTATGCCGCCTGCTGCGATACCACCGACATCCGCTCCTGCTGCGCTGCGTATTCGCCCTTCACCAAGGACATTCTTTCGGAAACGGCATTGTTGTATACCGCCTTGATGTTGCTTTGAGCCTGTCTGTATTGCTCCTCCAATTCGTCCAAACGAGACGCTTTCTGGGCCATCTCTGTGCGCAACTTTGCCACCTCCTTGGTCCCTCTGGCCTTCTTATCGGCCGCGGTCTGCACTAATTTACTCTTTTCCACCAACCCGAGCGAAAGTGCCGCCTCCCGCCACTCCTTTGTGGCTACGTATTTCTCGTGGATCTCCGCGCACTTGTTCGGACACTGTACGCCGCCCACGCCCTGCCACTCGTCCGAACCATCGCAGCAGAGCTCGTAATCACATACTCCGTCGTTCACCTTGTGGTTTTCAATGTAGCGAGGGATGTGGCCTACATTAGCGCAGTAGAACCGGGTTGGCGAGCGGAGGATAGAGGCGCACGCCGCGGTGCCGGGCTCGTCCGACCCGTCAGGACAATCACAAAAGTCGTCATTGATTTGGTCGTATGTGAGGATAATTTCGGGGTTTCCGAGACATCTCCACTGGTTGTTAGCGTCAGGCTGGTACTTGTGTTGATCTGGGCGGTTAGTATTGCAGGCTGAAAGGAGACATGTAACGTACCTTCTGGAGACACCCCTAGAATCGTTGCAGAGGCAAAAGAAGTAGCACTTGCCACTGTCACAATCGAAGCGAGTTTCATTTTGTGATGAATGGGCTGGCAATGGATTTTGCGGTGGTGGTCAAGGTGTTGATAACGTGTCATGTTGGTGCCCGCAAGATTGCGAGCGCTAACGCGAGCGACGCCGCACGGATTGGGGGCATGCTAGCAGTGAGCGGTGATTTGGCGTGGAGCTTGGATTGGGATTAGGACTATAATTACGGATAAATCGATAGAAATTTTGATATATTCAAATATTTAGTATTAAGGTCAGCTCTGAGCTCCATTAGGACTCTGATAGGTGTATAATCACCTGCTGGTCAGGCAAGAGGTATACTCCAAAATAGGCATAATGATAGATGAGACCCTGAATAACGGGTTAGCGTCACGGGACCGATTTTTATTATGGGCCCCCTGGTTACAAAAGGCAGTTTCTTGGTCTCTTGCAACCCGTCGCCCAGAATCTGGCCCCTCCGAAGATTCTCAACACCGTCAATAATGCAACATTTCTTATACATATTTTAAATGCGCTTATCGGACAATATTTTTTTTTCTGGCTTCCCTCTCGTTAAGCCTACGTCTACTCCGAGAAATAAACCCCGTCTGTACCGCTATAGTACCACGATCAAGCCACCATCTTGTACATTCGTTTAAAGTTCCTCCTTAGATTCTAGGTCAGCTAAAACCTTCCATTCTAATTCTCTGCGAAGAATGGACCACCCCGCCCTTTCCATCTTTCGCGTAAAACACAAGAGGCAACGTTTTAACTTTTTCGCGTAAGCTCCGCCGCATCCGAATCAAATATGATCCAACGCTCAAAGCTGGCCTCTTTATATTCTAACCCCGTTCTCCGTATTTCATCAACTTCGTTCTCCGTGTTTCATCTACTTCGTTATCCGTGGAATTCGTGATTCATCACTTCCTACCCAACAACACTCAGTCTCATAACCCACAATGCCTGATCCGAAACAACTTTCGGAGTGTCTAGCTGCTGTCACTCTCTCACCCAACCCTCTTGATGATCTATTCGACCCCACCAAAACTCCCCAAGACTTTTTAGCCTTTAAAGACCCCGATTCCCGAGCATATATCAGATCCAGGCTTGTCACGCCTGAAACTGTGGCTCGCCTTTTGGCTGTACTCTACCGCAGCGGCGACACGGGGCGTGCCCTCGCCATGTTGCTTGACAGCAACGATACCGTTTTGACAGACCGGTTTTTGAGCGTCATCAAGGCACAGCTCAAAGTGCTAGCCAAAGAAACCACCTGCGACACAGAATGGTGCAACCAGCTTGTGTTCTACCTTGCGGTGCTTCTTGTGCTTGCCAGCCTCCGCGCTTTCCGCGTGCAGTTTCTCACCTTGATCCTCCCGTTCGCCACGTGCGGCAAAGCTGCGGACCGTAAACGTATCCACTCACATCTCGCAATTCTCGTAGCAACCTTCAGCGATCTCACCGCTGAATTGCCTAATGAAACCCATCTTGAGGTGCAACAGCACTTGGAACTCCTCATCGAGAACTCTGCGGAATCGTTCGCGGACTTTTCGCAGCTTATCACGCTTCTCGGCATACTCTTCCCAGTGCTTCCCGAGCCCTGCCGTGGAATCTTCCTTTCTGGCCTGTTCCAAGCTGTGATCCAGCACTACTACACGGGTAAAGCCAGCATTGCTGAATCCTCCCACAAGCGCATGTCGCTTGATGTTTTGAGCTGCTTCTGTGAGGCGTGTGCGGACGAGAGCTGTCGCGAAGTCATCTGCAGCTACAGCCCGGTGCTCTGGGACATGACGGACAACGCTTTTCGCGAGATCCGCATCTTGGCGACGTTGATCTTGGTCAAGATCCAGAACGAGAGTCAGAAGCTAGAACAGGAGCGGGCGTTGAAGGGACAAAAGGTTGCGGGGAGGATGGGCCAGTTATACGATATGGCCATCACAAATGTCCAGGCCGAAACCGGAGACTACTTGGGCCCTGCCAACGAGACCCTTGCCTATTTGACGTTGATTCCACGGTATAGAAAGCAGATGCGTGGAAACGAGACATTGTTGGAGTTTTGGATGGGCTTGCTTGTTAATGCGGTCAAGGAGACCTCTGTTCCTGATTCGAGCCTTCTCTACGGGATAGTCACGATCCTTGAAAAGCTCTCAGACATCCAGGAACCAGTATCTGCGGACGGAAAGACCAAGCGGTTTATGGAAGAGTATGCCAAAAGAGCCCAGACTGGGGTTGAAGAGGAGCGCGAGGAGAGCACCGAACAGATCTCAGCCTTTAACTCTGGCTTGCTTACCCGCCACCAGCTTGTATCCATCTTCACCGCCAACACGCTCATGAGCAGGGAATCCATCTCTGCTGCTGCAAAGAACTCTGTTGCCAAGATTGTCTACAACATCGCATGGCCCGTCGGTGATAAGGCCACGAAGCACCAGATCGTGATCCAGGGCGGCTTGAACTTGCTTATTGAGTACTTGCTGCTCTACAGTGACATAAACGCAGAGGGTTTTACCAGGTCGGGAAGTAATGCACGCGGGGACGCTCGGTTATATGCCTTGCGCGCCCTAGCGAAGGTTTTGATCGCCAATAACCCCCTCTTGGTCTTCAAGAAGTACGCTGTCTTGACCGTGGTTCCCTTCCTCGTGGAATTGTTGGGCAGCTCTGACAGCGAAGAGCTCACTGCGTTGGATGGCTACGAAGCCCTATTAGCCTTGACAAATCTCGCGTCCCTAGATGATATGAGCTTAAAAAATACTATTGTCAAAAGAGCGTTTGGTCGGATATATGAGTTACTCACAACCAGCCCAAAGGAAGAAATGCAGACCGCGTGTTTAGAGTTGTTGAACAACGTGATCACCTCGCCTGTGTGCTTGGAGCATTTCTTCGATCTCGATACGCCAAAGACGGCGGACTCCCTGCGCGCCCGTTTGGACTACTTACTCCTCCAGGTGGACTCGGAGAACTCCAGGATCCAAAGCATTGTGTTGGGGTTGTTGATCAACGCCTCCGAGTACGAGTTCATTAGCATGCTTCTCGCGGGAGAAGAAAAGCTTGCGCGCAATCTCTTCAGCATCCTCACCATCCAGACGGAGGACCAGGACTTGGTCATGAGAGTCAGCTACTTACTTGTGAACTTGGCACAATCAGTCCAGTCGGACCAGGCAAAGTTGGCCAAGTTCAAGCGGATCCTTGAACCGTGGAAACTGGATATTTCTGGTTGTATCAAAGCCTACAGTAAGGACGAAGAGATTGTTCGCAATTTCCTTCTGGTCTGCCGTTCTTTGCAGCTCTAGACAACTATTGTCGGGAAACGAGAGAAACCTTTGACGCATTCATTTGCATGGAATTATATTGAAGCATCCACACCTAGCATTGTTATAGAGTAACATCGTATTTTATGTACCCGTTTAATAGATTGTCATACATTATTGGGTAGATGCTTTTACTTGACACAATATTTTGAATGGTTGAAATAGGAAAATCAAAAGTCTACCTGCTATGACCCTTGTACATCTCCATCTACTCAAACCAGTCGAGACAGACACTGTCACCAAAAGAAAGTATTCACCAAGTACAGAAGTTGCTGAGTTATGGGTATATTTCACCCATCAATTTGCCTCATCTAATCGCCTGGATCCTAATTTTCTGACCCTTGCTTAGTTTTTTCAGTGCATAAAAGTCGAGCCTCTAAATTTCTCATGCCATGGCCAAGAACCCTCCTGGTTGGTCTAACAGTCACTGACAGTTCTGCACAAAATGTCTCCATAACTCGGCTTTGGGGTCCGAGTGAGAAGCTTCCTTGCATATCCACGATATCTCAGCTGGATACGCAAATATGTCTGTATTAAGCGTTGAGGTGAACCATCGTCTGCTTCCGCAAGTACCTACATCTGATAGCTAAAATATATGTTCATCCCAGAGCCGGTCTTATAATTTTGCGCCACTCTCCAAGGCCTTGTATACCTCCGTCTCCATCTGGAAAAAGCATTCAAGACATGGCGCGTCGCCGAAAGGCAAGATCTGAGTGGCCCAGAACCCACCAACTCCCCGCTCCATGTCTATCCAGTAAAACAAATTCGCCAATCCGGCCCACATCAACGTACCCGGGCCTCTTCCAGTAGCGGCGTGCGCGTCGGTCCTCATGGCAAACAAGGAGTGGGACTTTGGAAGCTCCGGGAAGAAGTCTATCTGATTGGCTATATGCGGAAGCAATGTTTCCAACGTGGTGATCTCAAAATTTTTTGGCAACTGGTTGGCCGCGCCGTACCGGATGGTGTCGGCGTGCAAGATATGGGCCCCAGAATCACTCTTACCTCCGTTAAGAAACATTCTGATGAACTTGGTAAAGTCACCAACAGTCCCAAACACGCCCTGGCCGCCCATGTCGGTATTTGGCCGCAAAGGTGGCTTCACATGAGACAATCCAAGGTCTTTCTTTCCGGGGATACGCTGGTAGACGGCCATCAAGCGCTGCTTTTGCGCTGCGTCGGTAATACAGAATGTACAGCTGTCCATTCCCAAAGGCTGGAAGACGTTCTGGGCGAGGTAATCACCCAAACGCAAGCCACTGATGGACTCCACCACCTTTCCAGCCCAGTCAATACCATTACCGTACGCCCACTTGGATCCCGGCTCACACACAAGCGGAATATCACTGATAACATCATCAATCGGCACCGACTTCAAAGCCTTCATAACGAAGAGGTGTCCGATATCGAAGAAGGGATACGAAAACCCCGCAGTGTGCGAGAGCATCATTCTGACAGTCATCTTTGTGTTTGGCGGTTTCGTGATCGGGTCTCCCTTGCTGTCAAAGTCGACCAAGACTTGGATTTTGCTTATTTCCGCATGGTACTGCTCCGCTGGCGCGTCCAAGTCCAATAGCCCGCGCTCGTAGAGCTGCATGCACGCAACGGAGGTGATGATCTTTGTCGCAGAGTAGAAGCAGAAGATGGTGTCTTCGGCAATGGATTCTTCAGTGGCAATATTGGCATAGCCTTGGGACGTTTCATAGATGACTCCGTCCTTGGTGGTAACGGCAGCGACCACCCCTGGAATCCGGGTTTCGTCCCGTGCGTCCACGTACGACCGGATGATCTTGTCGCAGGCGGTTTTCAACTGTTGTTTGTTTTCGGAGCTGATTCTGATCATTATCTATATATTCTGATTTGAAAGTTATGGTGCTGATATGTGTGGTCAAGATGTATTTTAACGGGGAGCTTTAGGGAGTGTGTAGTCGGAACCTCAGAAGTCGCGTGGGGATGCGGGGAAAACCAGGGGAGGCGTGTGCGGACTACAGGCTGAGCCGAGGCCCGAATCTAGATATGCAATCGCGGTTAGTGGCGGGGACGGTAAGGGATAATGTAAAAATATACAACCATTTTGATAGCACGTTAATTATTAGTTAACTTAATGCTTATAAGTTTGAATGTCTAAGCCTTTTTTTTAAAAAAAGCTCTGACGTAAACTGCGATTTGTCACTGATAATTTTCGATGATATCCTTGCAGTGGATTTTGTGCTCGGGTTTACGGCTACAGATTGGAATACACGTGCTGGTGGAATATGTAAAAATGAGTTAGGTTGAGCGTGGTTCACCGGAATAGGTTTCTAGATATTTTATGGCCTCGTTCTCATCAAATATTAATTCTGTGAGTTCCACTTAGGTCTTGGGCGCACAACCATTGCTTGTTAATGTTTTCAATATCGCCTTTACTATCTATAATTCAAAGGTCCAACTGTGTAAACTTACCAAGTCGATATTTAAGATCACAAACGAAGTATAAGAAACCAAGGTTATGATCCTTTTTTTTTTGCAGTCAGCTAACGTTGTCACTACAAGTCTATTAGTTGTAATATAAATTGTCTATAAATTATATAATAAGCCACCCAAAAATCGCAATAACGAGAGTAAAAATATACAATATGGCACAGGGGAATCAAACATTCGGCAAAGGTTTAAGCTGCAACATGCTTGATAGCCAAGATTTGTTCCTCCAAAATAACCGGAACATCAACAGCTTCGCCACCCAAGATTTCGTCATCCCCGCGAACAGAAACGTTGGCGCTGGTATCTGGAGAAGCGTGCTCGGAAAACTCGTTCCACTCTTGCAACTCCAATTGATGCTCTCTCTCGATAGCGTACTTGACAGCTTCCAAGACGTTTTCACACGTATGCTTTGGAGCGTATTTTGGCACTGTCCCGGCCTCATAGACACCGGTGTTGACCAAAATAGAATGCCACGAAGCATCGTGAGAGTTGGCGAATCTGATGTCAGACTCGGGGGTATCACCGACAAAGTAAACGGTAGAGGCTGGTGGAATGTCCAAGGTAATCTTGGCCAATCTCTGGAAGTCTAAAGGTAACTCATCCTCGGAGTCAGAGTCAGAGTCAGAAAAGACAGGCTTATGAGGGTGGCGAGCAACCTCGCCTTCAGTGAGGTTGCCCAAATCATTTAGTGACACCTGCGACACGTGTTGGTCCAAGATCTCCTGTCTGTGCTGAGTCAAAACCTTGTTGGCATAGGTGAAGGTACCTCTCTGCGGCTTCCCGAATCTGATGACCCCCAATTCTTTGCCGGTGTGCTCACGGAAGATGGCGGCGATGGAGACCTGCAAGGCCCCCATCCCGTATCTGTTCAAGCCGTAATTAGTGGCCCAGACGAAATCGGAGTGAGCAAAGTAAATGCCTGGACCTTCATCAAAGTTTGGAGAGGAAGTACCCATGACACCGTTTCTAGACATCAACAACTCCAAAATTATCTGTTGGTCGGCCGCCCAGTTCCTGGAGTCAGCAAACACCAAGATGGCATCGATCTTGATCTTGGAAAAGTCGTAATCCTGTGCGACGCTCAACTCTTCCTCGGTCAAATTGTGATATGGACTCACAGACGGGTTCCACTTCATGATATCCAACGGAGTAAAGACTCTCTTGAAACCGTATTCAAGGGCAACCTTTTTGCACGCATCGCCGACACCACCAACTACAAGAACATTCTTGTGGACGTCAACTAAGTCCTTCATCGGAGTGTGGCCCTGGATAACTTGGTCCTGGGTGACCTCAGTTTCCAAACGTGTGGATAATTCAAGGGATCTGGCCTTTTCTGATCTGCCACCACCGTTGGTGACAAAAATATACGGCACCTTGATGTTGTATTTGTTCTCACCGTTCAACAAACGCAAGGCTTCTTTGGCTTCTGGAATGGTCTCGGGGCCCTTGACAATGACACCATCGATATCAAAGGCAAAGGCGTAGGAGGCCACACGCACGTGGTCTATCACTTGCTTGCGATTGCGTCTAATGACTGACGCATTTCTGGATAAATTGAGGAGGGAGGAGTTTCTGGTCAAGTCTGTCGCAGACTCCCTGGCGCTGCCTACCTTGGACATGCCACTCTGCCAGTGCGCCATGTCAGAGAGGGACAACGAGGACACGCGGTGTTTTCTGTTGGCTGGTTTCAACTCATCGATACCATCGTTGTTCAAGTAGGATGGGATGGAAGAGGGCGTATGGACACCGGAGGCTAAGGGAGAAGAAATCATATTGGTAGACATGTTTGGAGATATATCAGGATTGTGTAAGATGCGTGTGGTTAGTTAAGAGCATTGGAGGAGAAAAAGAGTGGAGGGTCCAGCGTCTTATTTATACCCTCGTACCGTTTCGGTCAAACGGACTCTCACAAAAAGGAAATGCAGTTTGGTGTCGTTTTGTAAACAGGTTGGTGAGATTATGTCCTAATTAAGCTGCAAAGAGGAGTTTTCAGGATATAGGGCGCACAAACAGGCTCTATCTACAACGGCGTGCATAACAATGATGTCATGTGCTATCAAGGCTCGTAACGCCATCTCACTGTTTGACGTGCAGGTGCATGGAATCAATCCGAAGGTTAGAGAGGAATAACCCGGTGCCGTGATCCGGCCTGGGCCTACTCTAGCTAACTTGGAGAAACATTATATCAGGGGGGTTGCAGTTCCTGCCTCGGAAGAATAAACGGTGTTTAGATATGAAACTGGTACCAATGGACAAGATGAACGACTTTAGTGTGGCGTTGGAGATTTTCCGAGCTATCGGACTTGAACGTTATTTTTTAACGCCAGAGCTCCCGTGCAGCGACAATTCAATCGCCATAACCTAGAATCCTAGACCAATTAATACAAGGGCTGCACTTGAAGGTTTGGAAATTGAAGCTAAGATAGGCATGTGAAGATTTTGTTTTTCAGAAAGCCTAAAGTGGAAGGCATAGTTATAAGATCTATTATTTAATTTGTGCTAGCGGCACACCAGGTATGCTATTTTCCCTGCGTGGCATTGTCTATGGCGCACCGACCGTCCTCGGTATGATTTCCCGTTATCAGCAAATACTACATTCTTTCAGTGCTCACGGCTTGATCTTTAAAGTGAAGCTTTGTCTCACTTATTTAAGCGTTAGCTGTAACGAGGCATAGACACGGCTTACGGGCCAGGCGCCGTTGTTGTGATAAAAGTCAAACCTTATTTAGATTTTCGGCTTAAGACCAACCTACCTGAGGCCTGTGACTCGAGTTAAGCCCGTGGGCCGTGTAAAGTTATTTTGTTGACACCACATGCTGGGTTATCCTGCTTATCTCTAGGAGGGCTATGCATCATGATATAAAAAGCCAAGACATTGAATTTCCTCTCTATCCTGCACCGGCTCGGGCTAGCCTTTTGAGCCTTCTTCCAGGCCCACTGTAGGCTTAAAAGAGGTACAAAACTCATTGGCCATGGTATAATAAATAGGCTGATGGACGCCTAAAATTTGTCGTATGAAGGGCTCTCAGCGACTCCTATCAGCAGTCCAGTATGGGCACCCTGTAGTATTTACAGCCTACGTCATAGTTATTCGTGGGCTTGGTGCAGATTGAGATCGCTTTTTATGACGTCATAGGCTGTAGCCTGCATGTCTGATACACGTCTGGCAATAAGTCTGCGCTAACCTGAAGAAATCCCTCAGAAGTCCCTCCTTTCCGGACCAGCCGTGGAACGGTCTCGTGGATGCAGGACTCTGTATAGTCGCTAGACACCTCCCAGTCCGAAGGCTTCGAATCGTCCTCAAAACACTCACGCACTTTAAACGGGAGAATGGTCTAGCTGAGGTTAGTTTAAACAACGGGGAAGGGATCAGGCCGCCCAGTTTGACGGATAACCCTGTGTCGCGCACGTAGTTCAGCCTGTACCGCCCAATCTGGCTGCTAGGTTCGGACTCGATACGTTTGAATACATGCCACCAAAATGCTTGGGTTGGGGAGAGTGGAAAAGATAGTAATTGTTGACGGCAGCATAGGAAAAAAACGATGATCCAGCCGAGAATCGAACTCGGAGCCTTTTCGGCACATAAAAGCCTCTCTGTGAAGACTGAAAATGTAAACGAAACGTAATAACCGTTATACCACTGGACCGCCAACCTAAGGTGTATGAGAGAATGAGCAGAGTTGCACGTGCCGGGTGATTTCAACATGAATGAGATAGGAGTGGACCGCTGGTACTCACACGAGATGTTGCAGCCCGGGGAGATTGCCTGATTGCGAAGTTAGTCCTTTTTAGAATAGACCTTACAGACTTTTTGTCCTATTTAGAAAATGGCCTTCATTTAGGACTCTAAGTGTACCATTAGAATCCCTCGCAGCTGAAAGTTACTAGCAAATAACGGAAACAATCAGAGAATATTGGTCAGGATGACAAGTCAGGCAGATCCTGGCGGAACGCTGACAAAGTATAGGAGCCAAAAGGCACAATCCACGTAGCCAACGGGTATCCCGAAAAATCCTCTTTGGCGTTATACACTATTGCTAAATTATAGATAGCTACCAAAAGTTTTACCTAGCGGACATATCAGAAGAATATAGCATTCGGCGCATATCTAACTTGAAGCTACATTCGTGTTCAGACTTTTGAACTACAAAGGCCATTCATGACTCGAATTCTTTCTTCTTGAAGCTTAGCAGCCACATCTTCTTAAAAATCATAATATTCCTACTCATAAAAACTCATTGGCTGTCTAATGTTCATGTACACCCTTTAACCCTCAAGCCTCTGTTGCTGAAAACACATCATACACTCCATCGCCCTACGACACCTCCAACTTCTTGCTCTTGTGGTCATCACCAAATCCGTTGATACGGTAGTCCAAGTTGACCAAAAAGTCAATCATAGTCAATTTGAGATCGTCCTCAGGGCCCACCCAGTCCTGGGTATTGCTGATAAAAACCCTCAATGACGAGATCAACATTTCGATATGCACCACCAGTGCAGAGGGGACAGCATCCGCCGTGAACTTCAACTCAGACCCGTACTTTTTGTTGACCAATAACACCAAGGAGAAAAGAGCGGCGAAGCTCATCATATCCAACCCTCCCAGCAACCGTTCCATTACCCCGCTGTCGTCGAGTTCTCCGCTTGAGCCCAAAATGAGTTTGTGCACCCAGGACGCCACGTCAGAAAACTGGCAATTATGCATAAAAATCTGCTCGATGATTGCCAACGCTTTGATGGACAACGGGTACCCGGCGGCCTTCTTTGGCAACTGGCTGTACTGCTTCTGCAAGAGTCTCACAGAGTTTCCCTTCCCCGCAGGTTTTGGGCCGTCAAGCAAGTACTGGCAGATCATAAGCTGCAACTTCAAGCCACCCACGTTGCCGTAATGGATACGGATGAAAGCCATGCTCTTGCGAATATCTTGCTCAATTTTCTGATGTATTTCCACTAACTTGGATCCCTCCAGGGTCTCTTCTTCGTCTTTGAACCCCGTATATCTGTGGAAGTTGTACTGGCTCACACGCGAGACAATCGCCTTCATCTGATTGGTGATAATCAACTTGGTGAAGGCCTGCACCAATTGGGCATCAGAGAAGGTCTTACCGGCGACCCCCTGGTGTAATTCATCCAAAATGCTCCAGTTGCCGATGGCGCCACAGAATAATTCGGCTTCAGACTCAGACGTTTCCTCACGAGAGAGGAACAACTTCTGGGACCTGCACCACAACCAGAGACATTTTCGGTCTACCACAAACTTCTGAGCTAAGACAAACCATCTCTGGAAATGTAACTGAATCAAAATGCCGCTGCCAGCGAGAACAGACGACTGGATTTCTCTCAGCTTGGCGCTGAGGTCCATAGACCGGAAGCGCAACCGCAAAGCCCCGGCCATCAACCCACAGGAATCCCCAGTCGCCGCAGCCACAGAGAGTCCAGTTAAGGAGCTCACTTCCTTCACAAGGCGATCGTAAACCCCAGGTACGACGGCTTCTGACGCAGTTTTCTTTGGCTTTTTAAATATCCCACTGAGCAACCACACAAGGACGTAACCCATAAGGGCAAACTTTACAATAAGCGAAAACTTGGCAAACACCTCTTCACCACCTAGTGGGAAAAGCCCGGCAAATGCCAGGAGCGCGCTCTTATCTCTATTCCCACCCTGTTCAAAGTCTCCCCTAAGCGAGTTACCCACCACGCACGCTAACCCACCCATCAAAAGCTTGTTTTTCAAGCCAGGACTCGCAGGAGAGGCGTTTCTGCGTGTATTTTGGCCGCTGGAGCTGGATTCCGGGACGATACGAAGGATGATATTCTTTAAGCTGTCGTTTTCCGCCGCCAATCGCTGGTTCTTCTCCTCCAAGTGTTTAATGTACTCGATAGATTTGGTCAAAATTGTGGCTTTGTTCAATTTTTTAGCTGGCTTCAAGCCTTCGAGGTTGATATCTGGCTCCACTAGGTATTCGTTCTCGCTACCCATACTGGAGTTCGGTGTAGGAGCGGCAGAGGAGCTGCCAGACAGCGGACTACCGGCGTTGGTGGTGTCAATGGAGGCATTTCGGTGCTGCTGCTGGTACTCCTCTTCTGCTTCCTGTTTGATTACCAAATAACGGAGGGTTGGTACAGAGTCGCGCAAGTAGTTGATCTTGTCGTTGATATTGTTTCTGTAGCGTTTTTCAATCACGTTGTGGGACGACTTTTCCTTCTTGGCCCCACGGAACTTTCCAGAGACGGTAGCATGCGCTGTCACCAAATTCTTCAGGTTGATTTTGGTTTTTAGAATCGATCTAGGGGATAAGTCACTGGAATAATTGGAGTCTGGGATGAGCTGGTCATCGAACATCTGATCAAAGTCCATTTCCTCGGCCTTGATCTTGAATTCGGTTTGCGGATACTCGTCGAAAGATATCCCAGAAAAGGCCTCCTCCCGTGGAATGGCAAACATGGCGTCCTGCGCCACCATTTCGTCGAGGGACGTTGTATCCAAGTACGTAGGCGACGCATTGGTGGACGACTCAGTGGAGTAAGTCATAGAATCAGGATTAGACATTGTTTTTCTCATCTGTGGATCGTATTGGTATAGGCTTGGAGGGGCGTTGTCGTATAAGGTAGATTGTGGAGGGTTCAAGTTGGGGTCTTCGCTTGGGTAGCTAAATGCCACCCCGTCGTAGTTAAATCCCGTCGGGGTTTTCTCCTGGAAATTGAAATTGGGGCCGAAAATTGAGTCGACCGCGTCGTCAAATAAATATGGCATGGACATGGTGAGATTTGTAGTTTAGAAAAGAAAAGGTGATGGCAGCAGTAGGGGAGAAGTATAGGAACCCGTGACTTATATATAAAAGATGCAGACGTAAGCGACTTGCTGCATGTGATTACCCCCTCGGGTTGGCGGTTAGAAAAGAAACCAAAACGATGTCCGAGGCTTTAATTCAGGTGACTAGCGGTCTTTGTGCAGCTGAGACTTTGAACTCTCCTCCGGTCATCCCTCTGCAACTTCGGATCAGCAACGCAAACGAGACCAGATGCAGTCCTAGTGTGCGTTTTCCCGCAGCCTATCCATGTACGTGAAACCGGGTCAAATGCCATCCACGTCTTTAATAGAGGGATGGTCATGCCTTGGTGTGCCTTGGTACCTACGGTCCTAATGAGCTCTAACTGAAAATCAAATAGAGTCCAGTGTTAATACAGAGGAAAAAATAATCTTAACGAACCCTGGCTGGAAGATCGTTCCATATTTGCATGTCTGCCGTGTAGTCTAAGATTCCCTAGTCATATTTAGCCGATCGGGCAATAACCCATACGAACGGTATGCAGCACGGAAAGTGGTGTGATTTTGAACTACAGACATTCCTGCACAGCAAAATACTCGTTGTGCCGGTACACACCCGAAGGGGTCGAAGGATCCAATTGGGAAAAGTAAGATGTTGCACTGTCATTTAGTTGGTAATAGAGGTCAGGGATGCCACTGCCACTCTCAAAATTAGATGATGTCATAAAAATTTCCATGTTTTTGTCTTACAACCTGTGTCAAAATCATCTGACAATTTAACCTTTTCCAGAATCCTGCCTACAGGCCATGCATGTCCCGACGCCCAAGAAATTTGACGTGCCGTAAAATCACGCGATTCTGCAAGGCCCTTGGCTATATAAAAATCCCAATGCAACGATGAGCAGGCCGAGTTGCAGCATACAGATAGAACCTGCGTTGGATGCCGTAAACAAATAGGATCCCGTGTTAAAGTAATAGTTGCCTCTGGCAGTTACGATAATGTAAAATAGGAGTACTACTTCAGCTCGTGTTGAGTATCCGCACTCTCGTTTAGTGATATGGAAGTGGGTCTTTCCAGATACCCTCACTCAGACGGGAGGATTGGTGTTCTCGCGTTCTCATAAGGGTGTTTCAGCTTATCCGGAGGGTTGTTAACCCAGGTCAAATGACTAGATACCCGTCTACGTATGGCTTACCTATGTCATGTAATATCTCAATCCACGCAACATTACCGAAAGTTTCCACAACTTTCATTCGGTCTAAAGAACGATAGTTTCTATGAAATTGTTTCAGATATTTCGTAGACCAAGCCTAATAATCCCGGAACTCTGGTTCTACACTTGTCAGAAGAGTACTGCCAGACCCCAGGTCCGGGTGCACCTTCAACTCCAAGAACGGCTATCACGCATGTAATCTGTTTGCTGCATGGGCTTTGTTGGCATGTATCCAAGTAAAGCTGGGGGGATTGGGCAAGTCTTTGGTGGTGTGATTTTATCCGAATCTTGTTTACAATAGATATATATAGACGGGTGCTGTAGTCTACTTCTCTTCGAGGAACAGATCTTTTACCCGGAAGGCGACACTACTATCCGATGTTGAGGGCCTAGTCCAAGGCTTGATACTCACATTGCACGCCCAAATCCACCCTGTATTTCTCGCCTCCTACAGATACCTCTGTGGATCAAGGAGCTCCCAAAATTTATGAAACGGTGATACCCCTAACACCGCCCCCTCCAGCGCATAAAGGTGCAATCTGGCATAACTATTAGTCCGGTATGATCTTCTGGTTGTTGGTTATATTTTACGTTTACATATTGCTTATTGACATCATTAGTCTCCTCTGGGGTCATATATCATGGCATCGTTATTGATTTGAGCAAGGCACCTGAAGTGTATTCAGTTTAAAAGACGAATGTATAATATCAATAAAGCTAAGCTAGCACTGTAGCCTATAGGGGAAATGTAACTAGAATAAAGAAGCTTCAACTTTTTTTAAAAAACTCTCCGCTTTCATTAGATTTCCACAAGGATATAATGCCAACGACAAAGGTGAACCTCACGATGAGAAATTCACACATAAACATTTGTAGTCATATATATATATATATACGCACTCTACTCATCCACATTTATTTTAACCTGATATCTAATTTATTCAATATACATAATATACATAACGGCATCACTCAAATCGTGCACGCTAGATTCGGTTCATCTCAGCCAACGCGTAGTCCAACACGTAACTTTCTTCGACCAAATCATCCACTCGCGTATAGTGTCTCTCACTGTACGGAATGATCGCCTCAACCAACTTGACCAAGCCGGGAATCTCGCTCAACGTATTGGCCTCGAATCTCGCCAACACAAGATGGATCACCTTCTGCGAGACCTCAAACAATTTGGAGTTGGTGTTCCAGTCGCGCAAACGCTTAAAGAGCACCATTAATTGATCCGCATTCAAGCCCGCAACACACTCGTCCATCTGTTCAGACCCCAAGACTCCGGTACCGCCGCTCGCGATGGACGCCTTCAACACGTTGTACAAACGCATTGGGTGGTCCAAGGTGAGCGCGAGCAAGAACGCGTTCGACCAGTCGCCCTTATTGATGAAATTGGCCAACGATTGTTCCTGCTCCACCTTATGCTTGCGGTCGAGTTGGTCCTGCGCGATGGTCGCGTCGGTGTTGTCGCGCCACATTGCAATGGCACCGTCCGCGTCCGCGGATACAAACGCCGCACCATCGTCGCGCGTTGCGAGCGCCCAGATACGGTTTGCATGGTGATCAAACGTCTTGGCACACTCGCCGCTTGTGCAGTCCCAGATCTTGACCAAGCCGTCCGCTCCGGACGACAAGATTTGCTTGTTCTGGTTGAAGAAGCACACCCGCTGGACGGAGTTGGTGTGGCCCTCCAAGGTCTTGACCACGGAAAAGTCCGTCAACGACCACACCTTGAGAGTCTTGTCACCAGAAGCAGTCACAAGGAGCTTGTCGTACTGGCAGAACTTGACGTCCCACAACCCACGCTTGTGGCCCGTGAGAATCCCCACGGTAGTCCCAGACTCGAGGTCCCAGACCTTTGCAGTCTTGTCAAAGGATGCAGAACAGAAGAACTCGTCGTTTGGCGCAATGTCAATCGCGTTGATGTCCTTGTCATGAGCTCTTCTGGTGTACTCAGAGGAGGCGATAATCTCTGGAGTTTCAGCGGTCATCACACTCTTGGTGATTTTCCACTTCTTGATGGTGTGATCACCAGACCCGGTGATGAGAAATGCAGGGAAGCCCGCTACCGGCGTACGTGGCAATGCGAGCGCAGTCACAGGGTCTGCGTGGCCCTGGAACACCGCGGCGCACGAAAATGCGCCGCGCGCGTCGTCCCAGCGCCACAACCGCGCGTCGTGGTCCTTGGAAGCAGTCGCGATCCAGCGCCCATCCACGGTAACATCGATTGCGTTGAGCAAATCTGTGTGGCCCTCGAGCAACTGCACCTCGTACGGGGTTTTTGGGTCTATAATACGCAACGCTGGTGAGTTTGTGGCCATCGCAAAGAGATCGTACTCCGGCCCAACGTAGCGGATGTCCGCAATCGTACCATGGTTACCCGCAACGCGCCTTTTGACAGGGATAGTGGCCTCATCACCGTCTTCTATGACGTCCTCCACCGCGGAAAAGTCTAATTCCACAAGCGTTTGGTCGGAAATAACCAACATCAAGCTGTGCTCACCCTCATCCTCAAGTGGCAAGATGTTTGTAATCATCAACTCTTCGTTGGTCTCGAGCGGCGCGGCAGAGCGCGCGCGCACCTCACCCGTGGCCACGTCCCACAACGTGAGCACATTGCCGGATCCACCAGTGTACATGTACTCGTGCGCGCCCACGGTGATAAATCCAGCGTTTTCCACTTGCTGGCGGGTCGGGATCGTCTTGGCCACCTTGTACTTCTTGGTGGCGTCATACATCACCAAGACCTGGTCTCTACCACCGGAGATGAACGTCTCACCGGAGGCACTGAAGGCGAGCCCTCTGACGGCAGAGTTGTGTTCGTTGATAGTGTGGAGACACTTTCGCTTAACCAAGTCCCAGATACGGACCTGGCCCATGATGTCACCGGACGCGAGCTTCCACTGTGCGTTGTTGAGTTCACCGTGGAACGCAAGTGAGCACACGGTTGTCCCGTGGCCCTTGAGCGAGTGGGTGATGTATCCGTTCTCAATATCCCACACGGTGACCGCACCGTCAGCCCCACCGAACGCAAAGAGTGTTGACGTGGGATCTGCGGCCGCGACGTACACCGGTGAGGAAAGCTTGAACGTGCGCGTGAGCGTACGCGTCCAACAGTCGAACACGCGCAACTGCTGCGACTGCGATACGACTCCAAGGTAGTGACCATCTGGGGTGAGCTGCACCACAGTGACTGGTTCACCATCACCCTCGAGCGTGTGGACCGTCTGGTTCGCCCTGAGATCCGTGATCACGACGTCTTCAAGCACGGCTGTCGCGAGCGTCACCCCGTCTACGGAGGCCGTCGCGGAGGCACCACTGACGTAGAATGGGAGGATATCGTCACTTGCAAAGGTCACGCGGAGGTTTTCCATGTTTATGAATGCAAGAGTGGGGGTTGGAGAGTGAAGGTAGAGAGTGGGTGGATTTTTCAGCTTACCAAAAAAATTTAATAGGATTTTTTTTCGCAACGGTGCGGCTCGCGATGGGATGTGCGTGCGCGACTCAAATACGGTGCGAAACGTGTACCACACCGCGGGGAGAGCCAAAGTGGTATCGAGAGTTCATATAGTCCCGATGTGCTCATCGCTAGACAGTGTTTCTCATTAGAATCATTGACTGTCAAAACATCCAATATAGGGCTTGGAAAACGGTAACCCTAGGCTGGGGATACATTTTCTATTTAGAAACTAAAAGAATTCGGACACAAGATAGAAGTGCTAGGGGCCTTGGAAGGGAAAAAAGGATTGGTTATAAAACTATGGAAGCTTTTGTCTTTTATTATAACTAAAAGTATTAAGAGAGAGTACAAAGCGCAACGAGTATTGCCATGCGTCAACTAAACAAAATTGTCTAGCCATGATGTAATAGAAGTCTAATGCTGGTATATCATCAAGGCAGAATACCCCCTCTATACAAGTACAATTTCTGTCCATTTATTATTCCTCTTCGTTTTTATCCAACCTAAAAGGTATTGTGGTTGCCCTAGATACCAGCTCAATCAAGGTTATCCCGCAGCTCGATACTGATTCGGCCTTACTTATCACGACCAATTTGAAGCTTTGCTATCTGTGGATTTGTCACTTTAGAGAGAGTTTGGGGCATGCAATTAGTATGGCTCGAATCCACTGTATACCCACGGGTTCCAGACCACGTCGTTGCTTGCTCGCTGAAGGTTTCGAGGTACAGCTAAATCTATTCATCGGAGCTAACTCCGGGACTCCGATACCCCGGTTGGTGCTGAATCAACCCCGGAGAATTCCCTATCCTACATTGCTCCGCATCTACTCCAATGATTATCCCTAGGATGCTGACCTAATCACATATCAGGATCTCTACACCGGGGCTAATCCGATTAAGTCAAAGAGTAAACCGATGCCGGTCGGCCAGGTTTCAAAATGAGTGGAGATTAGAAGTTAGGCCCAAGTGAGCTCTGGACGAAGAGACTTGACCGGAAACAAGGATCAACTTTGCTTAAAACATGAGCAAATTCCTCGGGACCTCTCCTGGAGACAATTTCTGCAGATTCAAAGCGACCAGGCCAAACCGAATGTGCGAATTAACCTCAGTAGGTAAATGAAATTATCATCTGCACCCCTTGGTACGATGTCGTCATGCAAATTGGGTGCTGGGCCAGAAGCTCACGTGTCACGTGAATTTTGTGCAGGAGGCCAACAAAAGAACGCCATGGAAGAAATCGCGAAAGCAAACGAGGTCTCATCAAGCGGCCCGGAGCGTGCCGATAGGGAAGGGGATCATCCCGGAAAGCTTGGAATACCCGTATATTAAATTTTCTTCATCACGTGACTGTTAGTTGGTTTGTTTCACCCCCGACTTTACCGAGGGATCGCCGAGAGACGGCTGCTAAGGGTTAGGTCCGGCCATTTTTTCCCCTTGAAGCGTCCAGAGGGCGTTGGAAAAAACGCTGACGAGCGTATATATTTCTTGCTATTTCTCGCTTTTCTCTTCTTCTCCCTTTAAACCATTATCTCTACATCAATCAAAATGTCTACTGTTTACTTCGACACCTCCATTGACGGTATGTGATCTTTGCCTGTCCAATTGGCCGGAATTTTAGGCTCAATACTAACTCGTCTAGGCCAAAAGTTGGGCCGTATCACTTTCAAGTTGTACAACGACGTCGTTCCAAAGACCGCTGAAAACTTCCGTGCCTTGTGTACCGGTGAAAAGGGTTTCGGTTACGCTGGTTCCGTCTTCCACAGAGTCATCCCACAATTCATGTTGCAGGGTGGTGACTTCACCCGTGGTAACGGTACCGGTGGTAAGTCCATCTACGGTGAAAAGTTCGCTGACGAAAACTTTGCCAAGAAGCACGACAGACCAAACTTGTTGTCCATGGCCAATGCTGGTCCAAACACCAACGGTTCCCAGTTCTTCATCACCACCGTTCCATGCTCTTGGTTGGACGGTAAGCACGTTGTCTTCGGTGAAGTCGTCGAAGGTGCTGACATTGTCAAGAAGATCGAAGGTTTCGGCTCTAACTCTGGTTCCACCAGAGGTAAGATCACCATCGACGCTTCCGGTGAATTGTAAAGTTATCGGTCCGTTTTCCTGACCAAACTTTGAGTAGCCCCTATGCAATAAAAGAATGTTTTAGTTTATGCTGAAAATACCTATGTAGAGCTCGCAAATCCCGAACGTGTTGCTAAACAACGATTGAGGAGATAGGCGCCCTTTGAAGCGTACTACCTGGGTGATCCATTAGAACTGTGTGTGTAGAGTTACCCAAATCCCGCAAAGCAGTATCGATAAACGAAGTGTCACCTTGGAAGGTCGAGGAATACCTATAAAGAGAAGCTATCTTGAATAGATATGACGTACGATAAGTTTTATAGGGCAAAGTACAAGCACCAAAAAATGGTCAGATATCCTAGAAAGCTAAGTAACCGAACCATTCGATCCTTATTCCACAATATTAGCATATTTTGTTGAACCCCGCTTTAAAACCCACCAGCTCCAGTGCGTCATTTATCACTATCGGTAAATTTGGTTGCAAACTGGTACATGCCTACTCCCAGTACTGTTAAGGCTTGTGCCCTGACCGACATTACCTAACAGTGATTTGTCGAAGATATTTTATTCTAATATACAGGTTTACAATGGCTCTGGCCGGATCACCGTGACTTTGGCTGGATTGCCGTTTCTTTGTCCGGCTTGCATTAGCTGCGCTCGCGGATACCAGTGATTGCTTCGCTCGCGTTGCTCATGGCTGATACTCATACTGATTACCAAAACTTGGATTAAACTCGGAAGATCGCGGAACAAACTCCCCCATGTAGCCACTCCCTTCGTAAGAAGATCCACCCGGTCTCTGGCCGCCCCTCCCGCCTCTGCCTCTACCTCTGCCTCTACCCCTGCCTCCTCTATCTCTACCGCCTCTCATATACGCCCCGTTGTCGTACTCACGTGCCGTGTGGCCAATACCCTGCTTCATCTCCACGCTAACCTGACCACCGTTCACACCTCTCCCGTACTGTCTGCCCTCTTCAAATCCGGGATCCAAATCGATCTCCAACTCGCGGTCGTCTAGCTTGGTCCCGTTCAACCACTTGACGGCATTTAACGCGCCCAGTTGCTTGTCAAAGACTACAAAGCAGAACCCGCACGGCGCCAACTTGATACGATCCAACCCCATAATGATTGTCTGGATCTTGCCGCACGTCACAAAGAGCGCATGGATCTGCTGCTCAGTGCTGCTCAGCAGGAGCCCACCGATGTAAACTGTCTTGCTGTACATCGACTTCTGCAATGAGTGGAAGTTGTTCTTGCGCCGCGCCTTGTTGAGCAAATACGTTGACGGGCGGTCGAGACGCACACACGAGTTGGTGTAAGTCGGCGTGATAAAGTCAAAGAGCGGGTTCTCGTCCTGCTCCTTGCGTGACTGCTGGTCGTGGTGGTACTGCTGTCCACGGAAGTCTCTTTCGGACGTGGTCACAGGGATTTCGATTTCCATATTGTAGGTGACGAGCAATGGAGGAATGAGAGAGTGAGAAAGAGCCATGCCAAAAATATAATGGTTGAGTTTTTCTGCAGGTTTTACGAATTCCGCGAAAACAAAAATGCGCCTTGAAGGCTGCAGATTGGGATAAGAGAGTGTCTAAGTGGCTGCTACAACCAGCGGAAGAAATATAAACTATAACGAAACGGTCCAGAGTCTCAGGTCGACTTGAGAGGTCTAGGGTGAAGATAATAAATGTGAGAGTGGCAGGGAGACATCATTGAAACGTGTTCTCAGCCCTTCTGTTATTCGCGAACCCTAGTCTGGTTCCTCCCCTGTACGTCTATTTGAGCGAATGGTAAAACTTACAACTCCAAAAACAGTAAAGAGCTTTGGCAGTAAAAAAAAGCTCCGCGACGGGGAATTGAACCCCGGTCCCCCGCGCGACAAGCGGGGATTCTAGCCACTAAACTATCACGGATATCTCTATGATCGAATTTAGAAATACGGTTTGCCATGTTGAATTGGCTATAAGCAAAATGTTGTAAGTAGCCCAAAAATATGCTATGTGCCAACTCCCTTACATGTTTATATGATAAAGAGAAAAAAATTGATGAATTGCCATTCCTCAGAATAGGAGAATGGCTACACATATAAGACCGATGGCACCCAGTAGGCATTCAGGCCAACTGGACCACCTTTGTGTTTAACGGCCCAGAATCCCGTAAACTAGTACAGAGTCATGAAATTTTAAGAATGTAATCACTTTGGATGTACAGATATAGCTAAATACAGAGAGTGTAACCCGAGATAGGCTTCAGAAAAGGCATTGCTGTTCCCTGAAGCTCAAACGTTCTATCTCCGCACTGGACTGTTTTCGGCTCCAGTTAAAACCTCCAATACAAGCTCTTCAAAGATTTTATATAATGATGCCATAATAACTTGGTCAGTATAAATAAACTCTCATACATATAGAAATCAAACTATTGAACGCGTACTTCCTTCTATGTGTCACCTCCCATGGATCCAGCTCAACCTCTTCGCCAGGCTTGCTCGTGCGGCGCCGCCGCACGGCCAAAATCTTTTCGCCGTTCTTATATCTTTCTACGCTGATAACATTGTTTTACTTCACCGTTCCCGCACCACCATGCTCCACTCTCTGATCCGGGCCCTTCCACTCAGAATTCTGCGAACCCACCTCCAGCGGATGCTCACGTGCCTGCGGGAGCTACGTGAGAAGAAAAGCCTCTTCTCGTCGTCCTTTTCGACCAACGACTTTGACGACCAGTTCTTGATGGATGTCGAAGCCAAGAAAAACGTGGTGAATAAGAACCTAAACCCTGATTCCAATCCAACTGACTCCATTTTAGAATCCATTTTTGCAGAGTTAAACGTGGAACTAGCCGGCGGAAAGGCGCATGTTCCGCAAGAATCAGAGATTTTAGTTTTGGACACACTGAGGCTCCAGAACCGCGCGCGCACCAGGCGCACGCCCCCGAACGTGCCACCTACGGGGTTTAGTGATACATCCTTCACACGCGAGCCCAAGAAGAAGGCTAAGGCGGCGATTCCAGCGTTTGACTTCACCGAAATTGACGAACAGCGACAGCAGTTGTTAGTGTTCAAGGCGGCCGTCTCGGACCATGCGGTGATCGCTTCCGTCGGGGACATGAAGCCTGTGAAGCCAAAGGTATCACAGATGCGGTACGAGCAGCTAGAGATGGACTTAAACGCGGCCTATTCGTTGGTCCAACTCAGAGGATACATGGCTCTCCAGCCCGTGAGTCCGTACGGCTATAAGAAGACATTTTCAAAGACCAAGTTGGTTGAATTTATCATCAAGCGCGTGTGGAATGTGGAAGCCTCGGATGAGATCAGCTATCTCGACGATTTGATCATTGAGAGAACGTTGAAATTCAGTAAGCGCGATTTATTCTTCTTGCTATCAGAGAAGGGGCGTTATATCCATGCAATGTCACACAAGGGCGCGCAGATTGTTGTTTCGGACGACTTGAAATTGATTTTGCGCGGTCCCGAGAACTTGTTGAACTATATTGATATTAACCTTGGGTACTTGTTGAATACAGTGCAGCGGGAGACGTTGGATTTGACGGAGTTGAACAAATTGTGCGAGATGCACGGGAAGAGGCTTGATGTGGGAAGGTTACAGGCTAAGTATGATGTGTACTTTGAACAAGCTCTGGGCGAATCTGTGGAAAAATCTCCGAGAAAGTCTCTGGACAAGCCTCTGTCCATTTCAGTTTCAACGTCCTCTTTAGCTCTGGAATCTCCTCCTACAACTCACCTGGCAGGGCCTTCTCTTTTATACAACGTGTGGTTCCTCAATCGTGACCTCCTCGACCGGATGAAGAGACAAGTGTTGCTCTCGCTCGACTACAACCCTACAGCCGTCAAGCATCTCACGGTACCCGATCTCGCTCCTCTTCGCTTCTACGAGTACAACAACAAATCCGTGCTTCCGCATGTGCACAGGGATATGTGCTGGTACACATTAAAAAGCACGACCAAAAAGAAAACTGTAAGCGCCGATGAATATTTTTCTCAAGAGGCCCTCCGGGAGTTAACCTCCTTCACCGACAAGATCCCCAGTTACAGCGCTTTCTCTGAGGCCTACGAGTCGCAGAATTACACCGAGGATCACACCTCTGAAACTCTTCCGAAGAGCGTAAACAGCCATGACATGGAACTTGCCCTTGACACCGAGGTTGGCCAAGTGGAGGAAAGCGATGGCGTACATACCGATGCAGGTACTTCTGAGAGTATATCGCTTCCTCAGTCAACCAAAAACCGCTTGTACGATACCCTAACATCATTCATTCCAAACCCCGAAACCCGTACCGTGCCTCTTGCCCAATGGGAGGACCCGGTCATGAGTGTGTCCTTCGGGGCCCTCTTGTTCGCTGAAAAGACCCCAAAAGCCCGGTCTGTCTTTTCCACGAAGCCTGCGGACGCCATCGCCGTGGACAACTACATCTTCAACACCACCATCCCCAAAATCTACGCCAAGGTGCACCAGTTGCCACTCGTGTCTGAGAGTTCTGCCGAGTCTGAGGGTGCACGCCTTGCGCTTAAGAGCGCGGCTGCGTTTGCACGTGTCAAGCTCGTACCCGAGGCGTACTCCAACGCCGCCAACTTCCAACAGTACCCGCCATTAGAGGTGTGGTTGCCGATCAGCAACCTCGGCAAGATCTACTGGAAGGGTATCCAAGTCTTGGCGTCCGTCGCTGAGAACGAGCACTACGTGAGTGGTCAGGCCGCCGCAACGAACGTCACGGACATGAAGTTTGGCTGCTACGTCGTCGGAAAACTCGCGGACGGGAAATTCGCAGCCCCTACGGAAGAAGGGGAGGCTGAGGAATCCGAATCTGGCTTGAGCGAAGAGGAACGTACAATCTTGCATGCAATGGGAGTCAAGGACCAAGCAAAGTCAGAGGACGAAATCGGGCTCTTATCGCCCAGATCGCCCTTCTTGGCCTCCCAGAAGGCTCTCAAGGAGTACTTGATTCACTCCTTCAAGAGTCACGAAAAGCAAACCCGCGACCCGGTGTTCAGCTCCGCCCCGATTGCCATCAACTATCCGACAGAGGACCCTACCAAGACGGTCCCAGTACCGTATATCTTTGTGGGGGCCTCTTATGGCCAGACCATGTCGTTTGTGTTTAACGGAAGATACGTTGACTGCAACGTCATTACACGCGACTCATTGGGCGGACGCCATTTCGAGGTTAACATGTTGATGCCGCTCGCCGCGCGCGCGGAGGCGCGCGATGACGGTTGCGTGATCCCAGTGGACCGAGCCGAGTTTGACCGCTTCGTCGACGATGCTGTCGCGCTCGCCACGTTGTAGACCTGTATATATTATGTCTCCGCTTGTATAGTGATTGCAAAGAAATACTTGTGAATGAGATTTATAAAGCGTAGGGTCTCGAGTAGAACCGTGAGCATTAGAGTCACGTAGGTAGTCGATAATACATTACATCTCCTTGAGAATATGGTGTCGTCAACGCTAGGTTTATATTTCAGAGTGTAAAGCTAATATAGTAAGGGGAAACGGATGGAGCTCTGGATAAAACCCCCCAAGGAACCCCGAGGTAAAAATGATACTGTATATGCAAGTTTCACCCCGACATTCGTTTGCCTTTACCGGTTTCTCAACAATTCATTCAAAAATCTGATGTCTGGTATTTATAGTGTGTTTTTATGGTCTAAGTAGTTGTATCTGATTATCTCGACAGTGTTCCTAGGTTCTTGAGAACGTATTTTTGCTGTTATGCATTTAGATAGCGGTTTCTTATAACTACACACAGATTCAAAAATGATAAAGCATGGCCCCTTTGATTCAATGCAATAATGGACTATTACATATATGTTTTCAGATATAAATAGGGTTTTTTGTTATTTTTTTCAGTTAAATTGATATTGGGTTATCACCTTTGTGGCTGCAAGACGCAAGGTTCGCTTCCGTAAGAATGTTCCTAGATTAATTAACCTCGTACTTTAACTACATACCTGGCCACGGTTGAAAATAATGCTGGTTAGCTAGGCAGCACCACCCAAGCCTCGAATCGCTAAAAATCTCTATTACACTGACGATTATAGTTGTTATCTGGCACGGCTGGCGCCCGGCCCATTTTGGGATGTTATAGGGCTCGCTAATTTCCATGTGATGCATATTGCAAAAGCAAAACGCGCCGGATCAAATTAACGCTTCGATGCCCACTCCTTTTACCCTTTAACCCTCTTTTTGCTAAACCTCTGTTACACTACAATTTTACACCTTACTACTGGTCCGACATATACCATGATAATTTTCTTCTTGGCGGCTGCCAACATCGTCCGAGAGGTCATGCTCTATGGGACTGCGTGGAGTTTGTATAACAGTGCTTAAGAATTAACGCTCACTAGTTGACTAATCTTTAGCCATTTTTGTAACCTCGGCCTGCGCCATGGTCATGTTCTTGCCCTTATCTGTCGCGGGGTCGTTTTTTGCGCTAGTGTTAGGAAGATGGTACCGGATGGACGTTTTACCGAATTTACACCCTCAGAGTGACTCCATGAGTTCTGGTGTTGAGGAATTAAGGATTGACAAACCGGGAATGGCGGATATCAGCAACCTTGCTTTGGATGGCGACGTTGTCTTGCGCGTTACATCCCCCGCGCCAGAGAACAGTTAATTCACCATATCAGTTATTTTTAAAATTCAAAGTTTTTTTTTTTATCTCTGGTTTTAATTCATAAATTGGCTATTGGCCCCACTTTCGCAAATTCAAATTTGGCAAGCTCCGTCTGCCAGATTCCGCTAACTGTTCTCAACCTTTATTTATCCTGTACGCTAATTTTGCTATGAGTCTTGTATGAAAAATGAAAAGTCTTGCCTACGTGAATGTAGAAGATCTCCCAGCCTATATCTCCAAGCAGTCTAATGTTTGCCGGGCGAATACTTTCCAGGACGTGTCTCGGATACCCCTTACGGACTCCCCTGCCATGGGGCTCTATCTTGAACGTCAGACCGCTTTCCATCACATCTACCACCCCGCTTGTTTCACTTTCGGTTCATGCTAGAGGCTCCCCCTATTTGATCCCCTCTTTGGTTGGCATCGTCACTAGAGGCTTCGCCTCCAGGGACTTTTCTTTGATTGGCACCATCTCCAGAGGCTATGCCACGGTTGCCAAACTCACTCGAGACCAGGACCTCGCGGAAGACCCGTACATACCACCTCCACCAACACCGAAAAGAGGCAAACTCCGCCGTCTCCTCCACCGTTGGGGGTTCACTATCCGGACTTTTGTCTACAAGATGGCGCCGATGTTCATCATCGGGTATCTCTCGCTTGCGGCAATCATCTTGTCGTACTGGTTTTTCACCGTGAAGCCGAAACAGGAATTGTTCCAGCCGTATGCGACCGAGTGGCCGTTCCGTGTCAAGATCAGAGTTATCAGGGGCACGCAGTACGATGTGGAGGACTACAACTCCACCGGTGCGTTAAAGTGCTGGCTCGAGGCGTTGTCGTTGTTGTACCAGTTCGAGGGTTTGGGTAAGGTTAACATCCAGGCGCGTTTCTGGGACTCAGTGCCAGTCATCCCCGACGAGCTTTTAAGAGCCAAGTCTGATGAATATATTGATTGCTATGTGGACTTATTAGTGCGTTCTGGGATGGGTTTGATCATGGATGGTGACTCTGAGGAAGGTGAACGCCTCCTCGGTCGTGCCATGGAGTACGATGGGTTTGGAAACGCTGATATCAAAGCGTATGTAAAGGCCCGTGAATTCAAGAAGCGCTTGAACGCCGGTCCTGCGGACCTTCAGGCGTTGAAGAGAGAGATTGTTGCCAGCATCAACACCTTGACCGCCGCGTTTGACTACCTTCCGCAGCAGCCGTTAGTCGCGGAGCAATTGGAAACGACTAATTTCTCGGCATACTTGCCGGAATCTTCGGCCCAGGTTACCTCACTCAACTATCACCTCCAGGAGCTCGGCCGCATCTTCACCATGGAGCGTAACTACACCAAGGCACTCGAGGTGTACTTGACGCTCTACCGCAACCTCAATCACAAGTTCACGTTGCTCTTCAACCCCGTGCACGTATCTGACGGGAAGCTCACCTTGGACTATGGCTCCATGAAAAAGTTCAACTTCTGCTTGAGCGATTTCCACAACTTGCGTGTCAGTGAGGAGGAGCTCGCCATATTGGAAACCTCCATCGCCGAGCTTCTCTGGAAGCTTCATGACGAACGCGCGATTGTCTGGGCCGACGATGCCGTGCGCAACATCCGTCTTAAGCGCCACGAAGGCAGTAGGGGCTACGAGGTGGCCCAGGTTGCGTTCCAGAACGCATCCGCCATGTACGAGGCGTTGGGTGTCACTGCCAGGGCCAAGCAATTGGACGAAGAGAGGAAGGCTATGCCCTTGATGACCGATTTGGACGGCTGTTCTGTCTTGTATAACAAGAATCTCGGAAACTTGAAGACCTTCATGAGAATGAGAAAGTACTGGGGCAGATCCTCCAACACCACCGTGGCCTACATGCACGATTAGATCCGGTAACCTGTATATATTTGATATCAATGTCATGAAACGTAGCAGAGAGTAAGGTGGAGATATGTGTTTCCAGATTTGTATCCCTGAGCACGACCCTCATACCATGATCCTGTATATCTTTCACTTGAGTCTCAGGTTCTTGTCCCTGCGGTGCATTCAGTTGCGTGGTATTAGGACGCGAATCAATTCCACTTCCGGTTAGACGTCTTATATCTGTTTCAGGCACACATTGGAGAGGAATGTATCGAATAGTTATCGTACGATATTCGTACACCAATTTAATACGTCAGTTAGATATGGTACTATAGACATTTACATCATATTTTGAATTATTGTCGCATTGAGTGCTAATTTTTGACCTAAAAACACTCATGGAAAATAATGTACGAAAGTTTAAATATTGTATGGTTCACCACCACACGGAGCAACTATGTATTCCCCGATAGATGTAGCTCCATCACACTACGCGCTCGTAGTACTGAACCAAATTTACGCCATCCGGTAAATCCATATAACAATGCATAACACGTACAAGCATTATGCAACGCGCCACAATTCAAAAAGGCTTGAGTTGAAAATAACAGAATTCTGTTATCTTTTTGATTCGTGCTGCCACTGCCAAGCAATATTGGTCATGCCGATTATTCACGGCGCCGACTGATTATCCATTCCGTACATTGGGATGTTTGCTAAATTTAGATGCACCCCCTCGTCTGCACACTTACTAAATCGGGAGGTCAGCGCCCCAGGTATCATTCGTACCCTCCGTCTCATCGTTTATCAGCTCTTTGTTTGAGGGGCCTGAGGATCGGCCCTATTTATCTTCAAATGTGTGTTTCATCTTTTCCTCTCCCCTCCTTTGTCTATCCTTAACTTTGCAGGGCGTCAGTTATGTGCAAACCCTGTTCGCGTGCCTAACGCAGCACCCTTATTTTGGAAAGGGTGCATTACTTGTGGGTGGATCTGCAATGGAGCTTGAAACATTGCTTAGCAACATTGACGATACAAAGCCTAAGGCTTGTACTAGGGTGTGACTAAAGGTTGTACTAAATTCAGCCGGGGCCAGGGAGTGCGCATGATAAGCTTATCTAAAAGCCCGATCATTTTCTTCCGGAGCCGTGCACCCACGCGGTGTGGCTAGCTCGTAAAAGCTGAACACCCCCCACAGATTGGTTAAAATCTATGCCTTTTAGCTCTATCTTCTCCTGAGTTGCACCTGCAAGCCTCCTGTTGCAATTCCATTTTACAATATTATGCTAGTGTACAGGATTGTGAAAGAGAACCAATTGATAGCTTTCCTCCTCCCACCAATGACAGTGATGCGATCTGCCGTACCTGCCATTTTACGAAGCGTTCTGGGCACCAAAATAGCAAATTAACACGTCTATGTTTTAAATTCTTGCGTTAGAACATAAGATTTACGATAAATAAGCAAATTGTGGGTTGCTCTGTGTATTACACAGCTTTAGGTCATGGTGCAAACAGCACGGCCCCCCGCCCCCAACAGGACTTTCATTCTCATTGCACACGAAATCCGACCGTATGAGGTTTCCCAGGTTGCTGAATTAAATCGGATCAAAGTCTATAAATACGTGTATATCTCCCGTCCGATTACTTCTTTTCTTGTAAAACACAAGTCGAAATCAACAATCAACTTTCCACTATGCTTCTCTCTAAAACCCTCTTTACGATCTTTGCGGTCTTGATTCAATCTGAATCCATGCTCGCCGAGGCTGCCGGCCTCACTGATGGAGTTTTCCTGGTGGACTTCAGCGTCCACAAAGGGGAAACGGCTGAAAACGCCATCTACGGGGGTAACACCCCACGGCTTGTTCCAAGAGCTGTGAGTGGGGTCGATACTTTGAACCTCATCAATGAGAACACCTTTTACTTGGCCAATGTTTCCCTTGGCTCCAACCAACAGAAGGTTGGTGTTCTTCTTGACACTGGCTCTTCCGACTTATGGGTTCAGGGAAATACCAACCCATATTGTAAGGCAGGGACTGCTGGGAAGTCTCGCGCTCCTGGAGCCAAGTACCGGGCGTTCGACGCTGGTGGCTTGGTTCAAAAGAGTGGAGCCGTCTCCAAGGCTGTGTCTGCGGCTGACCAGTTTGATTGCAGCGTGTACGGTACTTTCAACACGGCCACTTCCACCACCTATCATAACAATGGTACTGCCTTCAGTATCACTTATGGTGACGGAACCTTCGCAAAGGGGACGTGGGGACAGGACACGGTCAATGTGGCTGGGTTGCTGGTTAGTGGTGTTAACCTTGCTGTTGCTAACAACGCTGACTCCTCGGTGGGTGTTTTTGGAATTGGGTTGGCTGGTAATGAAGCCTCTAACTCTGGCAACACTCCGTTCATTTACGACAACTTCCCGGTGCAGTTGAAGAAGAAGGGCTTGATCAAGAAGACCCTCTATTCGTTGTATTTGAACAGTGCTACTTCTGCTCTGGGTAACGTCTTGTTTGGAGGGGTCGACCACGCCAAGCATTACGGTAATTTGGTTCCTTTGCCGCTTGTCAACGTTTATCCTCAGTACTATTCCTCAGCGGTGTCCTTTTTTGTCACGTTGGCTGGTGTCGGCTACAACAACCAGGCTGTATCCACCGGTCTGATTTCTGCTTTATTGGACAGTGGGACTACCTTGACTTATTTGCCAAAGGCGGTCGTATCTAACGTTGCTTCCAAGTTAGGTTACACTTACTCATCGAGCGCTCAAGCCTACTCAGGCCCTTGCACGGGTGCCTTCACCTCGAAGAGTCTCTCTTTCCTGTTTGCTGGTGTCACTATCAACTCCCCAATTACCAACTTCCTTGAGCAAGCATACTACTCCGATGGCAGCGTGGCGCCAAACGTCTGCTTCTTGGGCCTTATCCCTTCTACGGACACTTACATTTTGGGTGACAGCTTCTTGAGAGCTGCCTACGTTGTTTATGACTTGGAAGCACTCCAAGTTTACTTGGCCCAGGCCATTCCAAATGCCACGGCCCAGGATATTGTGGCTGTCACTTCGACTATTCCACCAGGAACTTTGGTCCAACAAACTGCCACCACGTTCTAGGTGACTATTTTTTTTTTCCATTGTCTCCAACCTGATTTTCTCGGTCGCCGGTCATCTACTGGTAGATTTTCATTTCCTTTCTGTCAAGGACGTCGGGGAAATAATTCAGGGCAGTATATCGCTGGCGGTTGCGTCCTAAAATTTATTTTATTCCCTATTATCCCTTATCTAGTTTATTTAGAGATGGGTTTCTACCTTTAAACGACTATACACGTTTGGGAATCTTTATACTCTTTTTTTCTATATTTCTGAGACGGTGCTGGTTCTAACTTCAAAAGTGTTTTCCTGTTTGACATGCATATGTAACAAGCCCTTCGAGTCTTTTATATACAAGACTGGATATTCATAGTGCTATTCCTATATACCCTATACTAAATTATAGGGTAAATGGAAAAAGCCCCAGAGTAGCATCGGTGTTATAGCATGCATCTGCGATCAGAAGGCGCTTCAGTATCTACTGATTCTACCGTGTTTATCTCTTCTCTATTGGTTGAGTTCGGCTTAAAAAGGACTGGAATATATGACTCAAAATCTGTTACTAAATGGGAAGCGAGTGAGAAATATCCCCCAATTTTACCCGTCAAAACCATCTACATATTCCTCTTTATCATAATTGGCTTTCTGGCCGAGTTGGTCTAAGGCGCCAGGGTAAGGTCCTGGTCTCTCCGGAGGCACGAGTTCGAATCTCGTGGAAGTCATTATTTTTGCATTTTTAATTCTACCCATTGAATTTGGTACGCTGAAAAAAGAAGGGATTTGTATTTTTACCATAATGGGCTTGGATAAACTCCCGAGATCGCTATTAGATGAAGTCTATCTCTGTAAAAATCAATAGCACTTTACGAGTTTGTGAGCATTCCCGGTGCGTCTATTCATTCAGCTTCATCCCGTTTCAACCCCTTGAGTACCATAAACGGTAAGGTAGAGTTGGTGAGCCACTCTTAGATCTCCATCCTTACATCTAATTTTTGCTATTAGTAACCCTAGTCTGCTTACATATATAATGTATGTACAGAAAGAAAATCACGTGCCCAGAGGGTTGAACGGGTTCCAAAGTAGCCGGGTTATCGACCCAAGCCGGTCGACCCATCAACCTCCTTAATAATTCACCAATTACTTCTCTTATATTTTCCATTTATCGACTCATTATCTAACCACGATCTCTGTAAATGATGGCTCAGTTCTGTACCCTCCAGTCAAAAGAAAAGCATCTCCTGCGTTTAACGTCAGATAGATTTTCGAAAAAAAAAATATGGCAAAAGACTCGCTTACAGAACCAGCGGTCATTTCTTTCTCATTTCCAAAAGACAACCGATCATGGCCAAGACCCCTGCCCCTATTGTGTGCTGCAGCCCTAAATGTGGCAAGGAGACCGACTCCACCCTCAAGTGTCCTATCTGCGCCAAGGACGACGTTTCCAACATCTTCTGCTCGCAAACTTGTTTCCGTACCGCGTGGGACGAGCACAAGGCGATCCACAAGGCTGAGAATGGCGCTGATTCGTACGATCCATTCCCTAACTACGAATACAGTGGGAAGTTGCGCGCGGTGTACCCGCTCACCGCTAGAAGAGCCATTCCTAAGCATATCAAAAGACCAGACTACGCCGACCACGGGAAGCCACTCTCGGAGATCAAGAACGACCGAACCAACAAGATCCCAGTGCTCACCGCTAAGGAAATTGCTGGTATCAGAAAGACCGCCAAGGTTGCGAGAGAAGTGCTCGATGTCGCCGCCGCCGCTATCAAACCGGGTATCACCACCGACGAGTTGGACGCCATTGTGCACAAGGCAACCATCAACAGAAACGGGTACCCATCGCCGCTCAACTACTACAACTTTCCAAAGTCTGTATGCACGTCTGTCAACGAAATTATCTGCCACGGTATTCCGGATGCCAGACCGTTGGAGGATGGCGACATCATCAATTTGGATGTGACCGTGTTCTACTTGGGCTTTCACGCGGACATGAACGAGACGTACTATGTCGGTGACAAAGCTAAGGCAAACCAGGAGGTCGTCAACTTGGTCGAAACCACCAGAGAGTGTTTAGACCTTGCGATCGCCACTGTCAAGCCGGGCCTCTTGTTCCGTAACTTGGGTGAGGTCATCGAGGAGCACGCCACCAAGAACGGCTGTTCCGTTGTGCGGACCTACGTCGGCCACGGTGTCAATCAGTTTTTCCACTGTCAGCCAAACATCCCACACTACGCGAAGAACAAGGCCATTGGTATTGCCAAGCCGGGCATGGTCTTCACCATCGAGCCAATGGTCTGTGCGGGATCCTACAGAGACATCAGATGGCCTGACAACTGGACGGCTGCGACTGTTGACGGCCTGTGGTCCGCACAGTTCGAGCACATGTTGCTTGTAACCGAGGACGGTGTCGAGGTGTTGAGTGCAAGAAACGAAAAGTCTCCGGGTGGTGCTATCCCACGAATTGCATAATCAACGAGTGGAGTGTGTCTCTCAACAATGTATCAATACCGTTTTTTGAGGGATAAAATTGATTTCAACCCAATGAGGAGCGTCACCAGTTCTATTCGAGTGTATATGTTGTACAGGATAAGGAATAAACGAATCTCAGTCCCACTGAGGGGTGTATGTCAATTATAAATATCGTATCATTTAGGGGATAGGGTAAGATCCACTGAGTGTAGCAAGTTTCTTGGTTGTGTATTGCTTTATTATTGATCAGGTGCTGATTACCATAGGAATTTCATCAGCCAAGCAAAAGAGGTGTCTGAAGACCAGAATTATGGAGCTATCTTTGGATATCAGCTAAGTGAATGAGACAGGCTTTATTGATAGATTGATGTAGCTGAGTTTTCAAAGATAAATATGAATTAATCCTGGTTGCCATGGGAGAATACCTACTCTGGGACGAATAAGATTAGGTAAATCATGCAAAAAGCCGAGGCATCCATCAGGTAAGCTCGGTTATATAGATATATGATACAAGGTTTATGAAATAACAGCATGTCCAACTGAACTCTATACATGGCAATAATGCCCACCCTCGTGGTTATACAATACTGCTTGATTCTTACACATAAGGTTCTTAAAACCACGTTAGCTACAATAGCAACTGAGTTATTAAGCATAAATTCATAAAACGGGCCGAGCTCAAACACTAACCGAAACAATACCTGAATTACGATTTATCGAACAGACCTCAGCCATTACAATAGAAGCCGACTTCAAAAATAAATCTGTATACACCAGATTCTGGACTAAACCCCACAGGAGCCAGTTATGAGTTCATAGGATGGGCCATTATTGAGCCATAGCTGACTTATCACATGGGTTTTCCTTCGGCCAACTTGTCCCAACGGCGGTCACCGTGGACGTATGGATCTCTGACGCGGAGGGCGCTGGGGCCGCGCACACGAAGCCATACATGCGCAGCATTTCGAAGTGCGCCTTTTACGTCGCTCCCCTCGGAGTACTGCCAGAACGTCTGTTCGCCCACAGGCTTGTGAATGTTCCCGAGAAACTCACGGGTGGTCTGGGCGGTGACGTTAAGATAAAGATGGAACCCGAAAAGAATCGTGGGGTAGATCATGACCAAGCTGCTATAGATAGCAAGCATAAAGGACATGGGGGAAGTTCGGATCGCATGGCGGAACGAATCCAGCTTGGCTAGCCGGTACACGGTGAACCCCAAAATGTATAGACAGCATAATATACTGCCGGCTAGGAACTCCATGAAGTACATGTAGTTTCGCAGTCCCACACAGTTGTTGAGCCATACGCAGTGGTGGTCATGCACTGTCACACAGGCATCACACGTCAGACAGTGGCTGGTGCGCGCAGGGCGCCAGATGCGGCATGTGGCACAATACTTTACCGCCACCGAGCCTGTCTGAAACGCGGGAATAGTGATAGTGTTGAAGTACTCCTCTGGGAGTTGGGCCACATTTTCAGTGAGATGCACGTTACGGGGCAAAACACCAGGATCGCCACCCGCGGCTTTGACGAAGCTCGCCGCACACACCAGCCACACGTACACAAAGAGAAGCGGTACCGCGGGACTGACGTGGTGCCATGTCCATTTGGCCTCAAACACAAGAAAGACTACCAACGGGAGAATAATGGCCATGAACATAAAGATGTTGAGGTATATGGAGTGCTTGGCGGTGCGAAAACGTCCGCCGAAGCAGAAATAGTGGTTAAGTGTGGCATGGTGGTAGCCTCTATCATGGGGGTTGGTCTCTGAGGACGGGTCAGTGACTACCCAGGCAATTATTCGTTTCCATGGGGGTACTACTAAATTATGGGGCATCGAAACCGGCACCACTGGGGCTTCCTGGTCCACTGGGAATTCTTGCAAGGATCTCGTCGCCCTGGTTCGACTCATCGAAACATATGGGGTGGAGTTGACGAGACGTAGGATATAGGAGATGAAAAGAATAGACTACCTAATGACGTAGAAAGTCGTAGGATAACAAATTGCGAACCAGTGGATGCAATGGAAAGCAGTAGAACAAAGTATTTGTAACTGGCCTAGCCTTCCTCTGTTGATTTTTCTGGTCTCTTGATGCCCCACATCAGCATTCACGTGATCAGCATGCTTGTTGCCAATAATGGACATCAGTACTGCCATGGTCTCGAATATAAATCTATTCATCAACATAGTCGAACATAATATAGTAGTGGCTTAAATGTTATTGGCTTTGGAAGCAAATTGTTAAAATTACAGTCAGTCTACCAAAGCTAGTGGCTTCCACGATTTGACCGCTCCCTTGGTGTATATCGCTTGGAAAGCCAGGAATCACCAAGGTGGATCCCGCCTATTTTTGTCTTTGCCCCCTCTTAGAATCTATACTTCGCGCATATCGGCTTGATCAAGTCATCCACGGTAAATACCATCTGGATCGGTACATGCCCGTCCATAACACCAAGAAACATGGCTTGTCTCCCATAGTTCCATCCATTTACACCCTCTCCTGGTTCCCGTTCAACAAAGCCTCGGTGTCTGCTACCAAGCCACTTGTCTTCAGCACGTTCACACTACTCCAGTTGTCTAAAATCAGCGCCAAGTCTTCCAACCTGGCCACAGAATTCTTTTCCGCGTCAACTATCCGCAACGATTGCTGAGGAAGAATCACGTCTCTGCCCGCAAAAGCGCGAATTTGGACGTGCTGTTCCGCACTGTATAGCTCGGCATCAATATGTTGATTCTGTATTGCCGTTATTATGATACTCTCGGCTTCGGCTACCGTGTCCACGTGAAGTAGCGATGTCAATTCGTCATATGAGATTTGTGTTTTAGAGACACACGCCGAGAGAAGCGTGAGGACGCGAAGCTTCACGACCTGCGGCACCAGTAACTCGATGAGCAGCTCGCGGTGTTCCATATAGTCGTCAAAAACCCCAAATGTGAACACTTCCAAGGTGTTGCAGTACTTTGAGTCTTCGGAGTTGGGCTCTGACTCGAGGAGATCGTGCAACAATGGACTGCTGAAAAGCTCCTGGAACCCCACCACTCTAGGATCGCTGATCGCCGCGGAAACCAACTGGTGTGCCTGTGTTTTGGTGGTGGCCTGGGTTAATTGTTGTAGTATAGAGTCCATGATGGCGAAATAAAGGCAGATGTGGTTGTAAGGTGAAACGGAAGCCGCTCCTAAATTAGCTTTCATATTATCTGTGTAGATGACAGGTGCAGGATACATCTATCTACAACTTGATGGGTGATGACTTATGTGGCAACAGACAAAAACACTGACTTGTCCTTAATTGTATAAATTACATTTCCAGGTCTTTCGGGTGAGAGCCATAGAGAATGATAGAATACTTCCCAGGAACCCTCTGCCAAGTCAAAAGGGGAGTCAGTGTCCTGGACCCTCGGTAACTGCGTATTAGACACGGCAAGGATAGAAGGACCAGCATGGGAGATTGGCTCGGATCTGTGCATTTTCGGGATGAACCGAATTTCGATCTCGATTCTAAGCTTGTTGTAGGTCAAGTGGCAAACCGGGCGTCCAGGTAAGGCGAGCCAGCTAGGAGAGCTTAGCACCGGCAGCTGAATTTCTAAAGCCCAATCGCTAGAGGAGATTGATTAACTTAATATCCATATAATAGGTATCATGTAGCATATTTGCAATTAATTTCTTTAATAAAAAAAAACCTAGACGTTTTAGAATGGCATAGGCTGATCTCACCCCTCATTTCATCGTGTGGCACTACATGCAGGAAAGAAATATTTCACCCTACCATGATCTGATTCTAAGCTTAGCATAGCTTCTTCCCTGCCAAATGACATCAACCCCAAAGCCTGAATATGAATCCCCCACACAAAAGCTTTTTTTCCCAGCACGAAAGCTCTTGATCAGCCAACAAAACGAACGGGAGGCTATCATCCGCTTGAGCCGCGACGTCACCTCCTTCTCCAAGAAGGTCATCTTCTCTGCCCACAGAACCCTGCCCTCATTGCCCCAGAGCATCAGCAACCAGCTCGTTGTTGAACTCATTGCAAACTTCAAGGTGCTTGCTAAAGCACTTTCATTGATCCACTTCCAGTACTCGCACAAACCAAACTTTGTCAACTACAAGCCCACCATCTCCAATGCGCTAGAAGAATTCATAGAAGCGGTCACATTTGGCCACTATTTGTCCTACCGTAAAATTATGCGCTTCCTGGAGCTTCTTGAGGTCCTCCGGCTCTTAGTTGTAAGCTACGATGACCTCACACAAGAGATTAACGACGCACGTCTCCACTACGCGATCCAGAAAGTGTTTATAGGGTTCAATGCGGAAGGGGTATTGCCGTCAGTCGCCCCAGAAACTCTGCTGGTCGACGTTTTTTGGTGTTCAATGGGCGATTACATTATGGGTTTGTTGGACCTTTCAGGCGAAATGATGCGATACGCCACGGTGCACGTTAAGCCAGCGAACGACGAAGCAGAAGTCTCGTCCACGAGTTTGCAAATCTTTCGCGATCTCCAGGAGCTCAAGGCTGCGTTTGACGTCCTTGCTCTTAACAACAAGACATTGAACGGAATCAAGAGTGGGCAGTTTATGTTCAGTTCAAAGGCATACGTAAATAGCAGCTGGGGCAAGAAGATCCAAGTGTTGGCTCAGAACTATCTGAAGGTTGAGGACTTGATCTGCGGGGTGTGTATCCGCGGGAATGAGAACTACGTAGAGGAGGAATTTTAAGCATGATGGCAATCGCAAAAATTTGGCTGAATACTTTCGACCTGGTGGACAGAGCGTGAAAGGTTTTATTATAATACCCCAAAGAGCAAGGTTTTATCCCAAACACGGACCAGGGGGCTGTGAACGTACTCAGACCACTTTTGGCTTGCCGCTATAAAGTAAGATCTCCCTGTAACTTTAACATAGAAATGTACCAAGCTTTAAGCAGCATTCCATCCAAGTATGAGTATTATCTTACTATGCAGCAGGAAACGTGTATCTTGCCATTTTCGGCTCGACGTTACGCCTCGCCCTTCAATTATTCACGCATATCCAGCCTTTGCAATCTCAACCCCCAAGCACAGCCCTCTCTAAGTATTGACTAGTCATCTATAAATCTCGATATGTTATCAAATGTTGGCCAATCCCCCCGAAAGATGTCAGTAGGCCAAGTGCAAAAACCGGGCAAGGGAATCTTTCAAAAAGTTATCTGATAAGGACTGATGGCACTGCAATTCCTGAAACCACAGATTGGCCAGATTGGTTATTTTAAAGTGCGGTTGTACGTCTAAATGTTAGCGCACAGTACCCCATGCTTCCATGTCACCTAGCAGGCTGTATAGTTTCGAACCCGACTCCCGTATCTGACCATTAGCAATTACTACTGGTTAATAAACAAGTTTCCCCACTAGTTTCCTCCGAAAAGGTTAAGTAAACGGGCTCTTCCAGTTGAACAAAAATGACTGCATCGATCGATGTTTACACCCCTGCGTCTTACTCTCAGTCGTGCACACACCATTCCCCACTCAGACCACGCCCACCGCCAAGCATATCAAAACACCTCCAGAAGCATTCGCCACGGTATACCAGGATACCAACATAGCATGAACTTTTCCATCTACGACCTCGACGACAAGACGCGGAAGCTCTTGGATCTCGATAACTTCCTTGGGGATCTCACGGTCAACGAGTTTGTGGAGCGGCTCTCAAAGGATCACCAGATGAAGCAGGACAACGTGCAGAGTTTGTCATACTTGGACCCGAAACCGTACATCCGGACATTTGAGTCGACGTTGCGAGAGCTCAAGCTAAAGAATGCTGAGATCGTGGCGCGGCAGGAGGCATGCGCCGCTGAGGCCGCGCGGCACGACATCGCGCACAGCAAGAACGTAGTGGCACTCGCGGCTACATCGCGCGCGATCTCCGCCAACTTTGGCGGCTTGGACCGCCAGGTTTCAAATATTATCGGAAAAATTGGGCCCTTGGGCGACCAGCTCACACGCCTCACGCAGCAGCGCAACCGCGCGTTGGACACGCAGTTTTTGCTCCGCTGCTACCAAGCATTCCATACGCGCGGTGCGTGTGCGGAGTTGGCCGAATTGCAGACGAGCACGGACCATACGCTGAAGATGACGTGCGCAAAGACCGTGCGCCAGCTCTTGGTGTTGGCACACAAGATCGACGGCGACACGGCGTACAACAGCATTGCGGAATTTGGCCTCCGCATGGAGGAGGAGTTCATCGGTTTATTCCAAGAGCTTTCCGTCAACGACCACTTTGACATCATGGCGGACATTGCAGATATCTTGATCGAGTTCAACGGCGGAGAGAGCGTTATCAACACATTTGTCGACGACAACGACATCTTCCGCGAGCGCGAAGAACCCGACTTGGCCGCCAGCCCGCTCTGGGACGAGCTATCGGACGTAAAGCACGGCTCAGAGATAGTGAACGCGGAACTCGCGCGCTTGGTTGGTGACTTGCTCAGCCGTGTCAAGATGTCCGTCAAGATGAATGCGCGCATCGCCAAGAAGGTGTTTGCGCGCCACACTGTGCAAGTTATCGCACTCTTCCTTCGCAAAATCAACCAGGAGGTGCTCCAGGCGAAAATAGCCAAGTTGCTAAAGACCGCATCGTCGATTAGCCATTTGGCGTATGTCAAGTTGGTGCACGCGCTATATGTGTTGATTGGGGACTATATTCGCGACTTGAAGGAGTTTTTCGTGGATAATGATTTTGAAGACAGACCTGTGCGGCCGCGCGCGGCGACAATGTCTAATGTGCTCACGCAGGAGCCTCTGGTCGCGGAGTCTTCTCTTTCCAGCACGCTCGACGCGTGCTACCACGAGCTCTTCCACGAGTACCTCCGCGACGACAAGTTCTTCGCGATGGAGCGCAAGAACTTGGACGAACTTATCTACGCCGCGACCCACCGCTTCGCGACGTATAACGAGAGTGTGTTGCAGGCGTACCTCAAGACCAGCGGCGCAACCACGCTCCTCGCCCGCATCCAGCGTCACTCCGATGACGATGAGTTCAACTATGATGAGTTTAACAGAAGCTTGGATGCTGATACTAAGTCGTTCTCGTACCTGTTTGAGACCAAAAAGTTGACCCACTTGAAGGAGGTTATGAAGTCGCACTTGGAGCGCGGCAATACTACCAGAGCTAGCGCGACGCGCGAGTGGAGTGTGCCCGCGGAGGTGGCCGAGGAAGACCGCCACATCAGCATCCAGAAGGTAGATTTGATTCTAAAGTGCTGCATTGAGGCGATGGCGCGCTTGTTAGAGTTGTCGCCGTCTCCTGCAAAGACCAGCGAGTACTCGCTCCAGCTCTTGGAGATATTGCTTTCCGGCATGGGGCACTCATACATAGACTTGGGCTTGGAGGTGTCCTATAGCCGGTTAAAGTCCCAGGAGTCCGTGATGGTCGCGGACGAGAGTTTCTACGTCGATATGGGTTTCTTGGAGATAGTTAACCAGTCGAACGAGAGCCTCTACCTCTTCTCCACGTGCGTGTCACAGGTCATTCTCCCAATGTCGATCAACGCGCCCGCGATCAAGGAACGCATTAGTGCCATGGTGAACGGCTACATCGCGAAGTGCGAGGTGTCGATCAGCATCTTATTGAAGGATACGCTCCGCTTGGTCAGCAACAAGATCGCGTATATCTTGGCGAACAAGCAGCGGAAAAAGGACTTTACAGGAGACAAGATCATGAACGATGATACCGAGGCGTGCGAAATCTTGGATGACTTTTTGACCAACGTTCATGATAGTGTGGCAAGATATTTAACCGGCGAGGGAGAGACCAACAACAACCTCATCAGCTTCCTCACCCACGTGGGAACCAACTTCCTTAAGCAGTTGTTGCACCACTTCACCAAATTCCAGGTCAACGAGACCGGCGCTTTGATTCTCACCAAGGACATCGTACAGTATCAGAACTTGATCGGCGGATGGAAAATTGACGCGTTGACCAGCCAGTTTGCGATTTTAAAGGAGGTGGCGAGTTTATTCAGCGTAAACGTCGAGTTGCTCGAGAGTTTAATCCAGGAGGGTAAGTTGAAGGGGTTGTCGAGGAACATGATTGACTCGTATATGCAGAAGCGCACGGATTTGACGAAGAATGGGGTGATGGGGAGGTTGAAGAGTTTAAGAGCTTAGCGAGCGATTGGACTGAGAAAAGTGTTCTATGCGTGTGGGCAAAACACGCACATCCCATTTGCGTTAAAGGAACCCCTTGCAGGTGTTGAGATATACATCCCCTTTCCGTATAATGAGGTGAGAAATGTTTCCATTGCAGGAGGACGCACCCTGCAGGTAAGAAGGCTTAATGATTCTTATGGTATATGATGAGAGATAAAAGATATAGCTAAGAGCCCTCGTGAGGCAGCTCTATAGATTCTTATCAGCTATCCCAGATAGCACTTGAATTATCGCCTATAAGCGTCCATCGGACGTATATATATTAGATATATTTGCTTTAACGGCATTTGAACTATTGCCAAAGATTTCCATCGAGTCACGTAAGCCTATTTTTATGTATTACGAATCCTAAGATAATTAGAGACGCTATATGACACTCGCTTAGCGCCAATACTACCAAACGCTGACGTTTTTTTGTTGTTTTTTTTCAGTATTTTGATTCGATAAAAATTACCCTAAAGATGTCTGGTACCTAACCTAGATCATCCTCCGATGCGTCTGGTACTTCCATTGTCGCTTGACCGTTGGTGAGCGACTCAATTTTATGGCAGAAGGTAGAACAGATTCTTGAGCAAACCTCAATCAGTCTCAAATCGGCGTTTAGCTCACTCTCATATAGGTCCAACGGGTGTGATTTGACCGCTTTAGGAGCGACAGCCATATCTTTATCTATCTTCGCCAGGAAAGACATAAGCTTCTCCGTCGAGAGAGAGTACGAGTTGATCAAGTATTCCCTAAACCCAATCATCACAAGGAGTATTTGGGACGACAAGGCGAGCTTTGTATAGGGCTCCAACCGTTTCTCTCCTTGGTCGCCCATAAGTTCGCTAATCGAAAAGCCTAGATCTACCCCACCACTAGAAATAAAGCTATCGATACCTTTCACCAAAATGTAAACCTCCTCCAACATGACGAATTCGGCATGGACAATGTTGAACACCAAGTAAGTTACGTAAGATTTGTGGAATACGAGAAGCTCGAGGGGTAGCCTGGTCGGTTCGAATACAAACGACTTGACAAGGGAAGTCACAAATTTCCGTCTGGCAGCTTTGTTGGTACCTACCACTGAGTAAAAGGTTGATAAAAATCTGTGCTCATTGATGATAAGCGAGCCTGCGGCTCGAAGTCTGAACCGAACTGCTAGCTTAATACCTTCAATGTAACTCGTCTCGATTAAAGACTCATATTTCTCATGCAACTCTTTGTGTATGTCGACAGCCACGTTACGGGTCAGGTCTGCCGTGGATGCCTCTAAAGCAATGATCGTTGGGGTGCAAATCTTCGGGTTCGCAAAGCCCAAACGGACCACCAATTGCAAATACTTGACAGGCATGAACGAGAATACCCCCTTTTCCTGAAGACAACACTCCAAGATCTCGGTTAAGTATCTCTGGACTATAGTGGAACAGATCCCGTCGGTCACGTAAGAACTGGTTTCGCCATGGAAAACGGCAACGTCGAGCTTCATATCGTGTGACACTTTAGCATCTAATCCATTTCGTTTGATCGAGTCCTCTTCCTCCTTGCTCAAAAAGTCGTACAAGCTCTGAATGATAACCTCCTTGATATCGGTATCCTGGCCCGCAAATCCGCTGTCCATAATCTGGAGAACAGCGTCGATCATAAAGAGCTTTGGGTGGGTAGAGCAGACGTGGAGTAGGTTTTTGATGGCAATTCTGCGGATATCAGGCTCCACCGTCAGCTTGGAGAAGATGAGCAAGATTTTGGTAACAAGGCTGACGACCGAGTCCTTTGACTTCAAACCTACCCGAGCCTCTAAAACAATAGCACGGTTAGGCTCAAAGTCACAATATTTGCCGAAATTACCGATGAGATAGAGCAATCGCTTCAATTTGATACTAGACTTAAAAGGCTTTTGGGAGTTGGCCTCTTCAACGAACGGAGCCACCAACTTCAAGCAGGAAACAAAAGCATTGGTAATGGTTAGCGTGTCTTTCTTCAACTGCGAAAGCGTCCATACGCAGGGCATCGCTTCGTTCAATTCTTTAACGTTGAACTTGGTGAGACGGCGTAGCAAGGACTTGTGGGCCTCGTCAATAAAGGCAGGTCTGAAATTGCGGGTTTCGGGGAGAGCATACCGGAAGATCTGAAGCGCGTAGTAGCAGATCGTATCGCCCGTGGATTCTTCGTTGGTCAAGTACGGTTGGAGGGAGATAAGCTGGTCCTGGGTGATTAGCCTCCCGTCACATTTGGCAAACAAAGCGATCAACCCAGTTGATTTTTCCACCTGACCGTGAAATTCGGTTTCAACCCCATCGATAATGAAATCAACCGCCTTATCAAGAATCAACCTGACCGCTGTCATTATCACGGCATGATACTTTGAGTTCAACTCGGTCTTATGCAACACCTGATCCTTCACAAACCTCTCAAAGTACCCCAAGTATTTGTCTTGCTGGCTAAGAATGTCAATCATGACCTCGATTCTCCGGAAAACGGGATGGGAGATTTGGGTATTATCGGACAAGTTTTGGATCTCCAGAATGGTGGAGAAAAACCATAAATCGAGGAGGTTGGTGGTGACAAGCTCGGAGATGGACTCTTCTTCGTCATCCAATCTGAGGAGTAAGCGCTGGGCAATCAACACCTTCACAGGTCTGTTCGTGGTTGCAACGTACATCTCCTTTGACAATTTGACCACTCTCTTTCTGACGGCAACACTCGTGTCGTCCATTCTGTCGCATATGTACATGTAGAAATCTTCAATAACCTCTGGCTTGGACACAATAAAGTGAGAAAGAAGCTCGATGACGGAGTCTCTGACCAAAGCAGAGCTGTCGTTAAAGCGCTTGGAGACAGAGTTTGTAATTTGAGGAAGTGACAAGAGGCTTGGTTCTTTGGACATCAAAAGGGAAATGTTCTTGATGGCCTTGGTCCGGGACTTCACCTTGGGGCTGTCTAACGATCTTATCACGATACTCAAAAATGCATCAAACAAATGAAGCAAATCACTGGAAAGCAAAACCTCAGAATAGCCCTGAACAAGCACGTCACCGGTGTAGTGCTCTGCTACCTCGGGAGCCTTGAACTTGGGATTATCGGCCGTAGCTAGCAACTTGGAATAATGCTCCTTCATGGCTTTCAACAACGGGAGTTTTGTCTTATCCGCGTTGCTCGCAGCGACCTCCGGCAGCGGTTCTTTGGGCTCTATATCCTCCACGCAGGAGCTCACCGACACAAGAAACTTTAAAAATTGGTAGTTGAAGGGGGCAGTATAGGTAGCGTCCTTGGTAGATAGCCCGTGGAGGTGAGAGAGCACTGTTTCATACACGCCGAAATAACTCTCAAAATCTTGCACGCTCATAGCAGAGGAAAACACCCCAAACGACGGCTTTGAGTTATTTTTAAGGGACAACATCTTGACCCCCACGAGGCCCGCCATTTCTAGCGCAAACGTTTCAAATAATGACGGATATTTTCCCGAATCAATAACGTTCATCAATGTTCTCATGATCGACACGAGAAGCGTCTCTGCTGCCGGCCATTCGGGGAACTGCAAGACGTTGAGCAAGTCCTCGAGAAAGGTCTCAAACCCGTGCTTGTGTGCATGGTCGGGGTGGCTGGCAATATTGTTGATCAACCCCGAGATGATTGTGTTTGACGTGGCCAACGATTCCTCGTAAATGGCCCGACTGGCGGCCTGGAACAGGGCCACCTCGGCGGCCAAAGCCGTCCTCTCATTGGAGGACATTTCCGGCTTGGTGGTTAGCTTCCAGAACACCTTTTTCAAGGGGTAGCTTTGGTAGTTGTACGTCTGCAAAAGTTGCATGAGCAAGGCGGTCGCTAGCTGGATGCTGACACCGCGGGTGAGCTTGAACTGGCGACTGTTGACCTTGTGGGAAGGCAACTTCTCAAAGTTGGACAAAATCTCATCGACAATGAACTGCTGTTGATCTTTCTTGGACTGGAAGATGTTGCAGATAATGTCACAGTGGCAGAGTCGCAAGCTTTCAAACGTGCTCACCCCCAAAACGTTTGTCCGGTCCTTGATATTGGCCTCAGCAAATACGACAGTGATGGACATGTATTCCAAGCGGGTGATAAGGGTGTCATTGATTTCATTTTCCTTGGCAAACCGTGACAAGCGGGCCAACGCCTTGTTCATTACAAGGGCCACGTTGCCATAGAGCGGCCTGAGGCTAGAGGAGTCCTTGGACACGAGGCTGGCGAGAGGAATGATCGCATCCTGGGTAAAGGAATAGAGAAAGGTGATCATACACTCGAGGTGGTGCTCGAGAAAGAGCTGCTTTTCAGACCTTCCGCACTGGAAGACGGTGAGGATGAGCGAGACCGCCTTCAAGCCGTTTATGGCCCACCCCACCAACGCGGCTACTTGGTCGTGGTCAGCAGACTCGGTCAAGGCAGACCATGTTAGGCTCTGGCAGCCTTCAATAGACTTGGCACAAATGCTCTGGATGCGGGCGAGATACTCTACGTCAATCAGTCGTATTGACTGTTTCGCCGGGTCGCTCTGAGTGCTGTCGCCTGTAATTATGACGTGGAGGAAGTATGCAAAAGTGTCTAAAATCGCCGTATCAACTACCGTGTGCAGTTCATCGATCCTGAGCCACCCCCTGCCTTGGTCACTGTCATTCAAGCCAACCTGTTGGACCAATTCCACCAACTGCTGCACCATCCCCGTGGATACCTCCTGCAGATTGACCGAAATAGTCTTGGGAAGTTTTTTCGGAACCGCTGGTTCAGCCTCTAGGGACCGCTTTGGGACCACTGGCGGGGGTAGCGGACTGGCCTGCAGACCGATACTGAGACTCGGGTCTTCCACAATCCGCAAGGATTTAGACTGGACACAGAGCTGTGATGGCACGGCATTTTCAAGGCAAACAGGTTCTACCATCTCAAATAATACTCGCTCAAATGCAGACATTCCAAAGATGTTCTGTGATTCTTGTGCTGCAGCGGGCGGGGCCAGATCGTGGTCCGGTGCAATGGGGAGCTTAAATTGGCTAAATGGTTAGTAATTATTAGGGCGGTTGGAAAAATAATACTTGCATTTCTTCCAATTCTTCGTCCGAGCAGTAGAAGTCCTCGGCGTAGTGCGATATCACCTCACCAAAGTACGCGGGGTCGTGGTTCAAGGCATCGCGCATTTGAGTCAAATGCGAAGCCGGTTGTTCTTCATAGAGGGACTCGTCTCCTGTCTCAATCTGGGCAAGGCTCACCAATGGCGCAACTAAAGGTTAGTGACTGGGATTACAGCGTTTGAGGCAAACATACCTTGTTGCGTTGGCACCAAGTAAGAGAGCGGTCTTAGGACCAAACAGTCTTTGATGGTGTGGGGCTCGATCTCATTAAGGGGAGTCGGCACGTAGATCTCACCGTCTAATGACATGAAGGTAGTTTCAGCCAAGTTTGAGAGATGTACCACTGGAGATGAGGTTGATTCATTTTACATGCCGCCATCAAAATTGTCCTGCGTTTAGTCTGCGTGGGGACAGATCTATAACAGGGTTATCATTAGAGCCTACAAACTTTTCAGCAACTGGAAATATATCTAAGTGATAATTAATTGAGTCGGTTTGCCATGTAAAGATAATAAGATGACTTTTTTGGTGAGAATCTTGTTGCCCGGAAGACCGTTTAGATATTTGGTTATGAGCTGAAGGGTAGCTAAGTACATGTACAAAAACAGTGAATACTGTGATTCATCATTCCAGTGTCAAAGTTTTTTTTCTGGCATTAAGCGAAGAATTATACGCAGTGTAATTCTGCTGATTTAAATCTAATTATCGCTAGAGTCTATCGGGGGTTTGTATATGGCCCGGATCACACCTACAGGCGAGCCTGTGGAAAAGCAGTGCATCTCTCAACTGCCCTACCATCAATTCTAAAGTAGATAAGCAGAAACAACTTATATCCTATAGGCTAAATATAATAGTTTTGCTATCGTAAACACAGGGAAGTTTTTCTCCTCAAGTTACTTTCAACTCTTTACGAGTCTGATTTTAATATGAGCCATCTGAGTAAATCCAGTTTACTTCTGTCTGTGCCACAGGCCACCCCTCTGCTTTCAAGTACTGACTCATCAAGCCTTGAGCTATATACAATAATTAATGAGAAGCCACCAAATCAGTTCCTTATTGTTTTTGTTAATCCCTTTTTAGACATGATAATCAGTAAGGCGCTGGTCCATATTAAATACCGCTTGGGTCTCCACGCACTATGGTGCTTACTTGTTAGGAGCCCTCTCCGTCATCGAGTCGTCACGTGCTGATATCGCGGCTATTTCTACATGGTCCTTCTGAGATATCAACAGCCCTAATCTACTCTTATTCTCAGTCACACCCTCTACTTCATGTCCATTCCTCTTTACAAAACGCTAATAGCCGGTCTATCCGTCTGGTGGCTTCTCTTTGTACATTATCACGAGCGGGTGTACATCCAGAGCACGCTTCGCAAGTGCTCGTGGCCTGGCAAAGCCGACGGAAACCGCATTGCCTTGCTCGCGGACCCCCAGGTGGTGGACGAAAACACGTATCCGCACAATCTAACGGCGTTTAATTGGATTGTACGCCAGCTCAGTGATAACTACTTGGCGAAACACTTCAAGTACATGACCCGGACGCTCGACCCCAGCACAACCTTCTTCCTTGGGGACCTCTTTGACGGTGGGCGCGAATGGAACAACACAGCCGTATGGTTTGACGAGTACAAGCGATTCAACCGGATCTTTGACCCGCGTTTCAGCATCGACCGCATGGTGATCCGGTCTTTGCCTGGCAATCACGACATCGGATTTGGGAACGAGGTTGTATCCGAGATCCGAGACCGCTTCCGCGTCTTCTTCGGCGACTCCAACGGATACTACTTCTTTAACAATAACCAGCACGTGGTGGTGATGTTAGACACGATATCGCTTTCCTCATCGAACGGCGCAATCAGTCTCGAGACATGGGAGTTCGTAAACCGGCTCTCTGCTCGGATGAGTGACCCAACAGACGCCGAGTTCCGGAGCGTGAAAACGGTTGTGCTCTTGACCCACGTGCCCTTCTATAGAGACAGCGCAACCCAGCAGTGTTTGGGGCCCCACCGCGAGTCGCCCAATCCGTTTCCCGTGTCCAAGGGCTACCAGTACCAAACCGTGCTCGACTATGCTTTATCCCGCGAATTGATCAGCAAATTGCGGCCCAACATCATTTTCTCCGGCGATGACCATGATTATTGCCACGTGAAGCACTCGGAAGAGGTGGAGGAGATCACCGTCAAAACCATGTCTATGACAAACGGCATAAGGTACCCAGCAATCCAACTTTTGACGTTGGATCTGGACGGATACAGTACTGATATCTGCTACCTTGCAGACCCGTATTATATCATCAAGGCGTACGTCCTCAACTGTATCTTCTCGCTTTCCGTGCTTCTAGTCAAGGTCTACTTCAGCGCTGCATACGAGGTCCGCGCGCATCAAGTAGACCGGTTTCTTCGCCAAAAGGTGTTGCTTGAAAAGGCCGAGGCGCTCTTACCAACCGGAGAGGCTGAATACAGCCGGTACTGGAAACCCGCGCGCGAGGGTCTTCGGCTGAAACGTCAGCGGGCGCTCGTGGTGGCTGCCAATTCCTCTATAGTACTTGTCATTGTCTGGCTGCTTTTTGGTGTGTACTATCTGAGCGCATGACTTATTTTTTCTGCGACAAGTTTTATTGATTAAGCCGGAATAGCGTTACACCCTGTGTGGTTATAAAGGCTAAGGGACGTACAGGGTATCTGGCTGTAAACTTTTGAGTAAGTTATGTGCTAACTGATATTCAAGCTGTTTTTTTTTGTGGGACCTATAGTTTCACTTTTAGTATTCAAGTGATACTTAGCATTTAAACAGATGCGTGGGACATTTAAAGAGTGATTTATCCGTAGCTCTTGTGTACCCTGGTATGTTCTGTGAGAAGATGGATGTATCCGCGGGGCATGAACCACCAAGAATAAACGTAGATATCTCTCTTTTAGCGAATCATAAGTCGTTAAGGCCCAATGTCTAAGAGACTCCTTATCGATTTCCTACAATCAGTGTGTGCTCCTTTTCCCGCAGGACGGCGCTTGTTCAGCCCTGATCAAAGCTTAAATTAGGCTTAATATGCCGGTTGGACGCCTGTTCTCATCCACGGTTACATATTAATGATTGACGTTTAAAAGGTTGAATTTTATTCCCCAGGTCGTTTTGGAAAGTTTCTGCTTTCCCCGTTCTAGCGTCTCCCACGCTCAAATATATACCTTGACAGCCTAATATTCCGTGCCTGTCTCGGCTGGTGGTAGCCTTCTTTAGCCTTGCCACTTAGGAGCTGTGGCCTCCCTTACCACCAACATCGAAGTTTATTGAATAGCCAAGTTATTTATTATTCCTGGAAATTAGACCGTTTTATTATATTTCAAGAATACAGTGATTCACAGTTGTACAAAAATTTCCCACCGTTGTCACCTCATGTACGCTGTGTTTACGTTTTCCGCCTGCATCTTGCCCCGGAACCGAAAAATTTGTACTCAACGACTCCACACTGATCCGAGACCAGATCCCTGACACAAAAGACAATGGTGGACGCACAGGACGGTGCCAAGCCCGAACGGAAGTTAAGATCGAAGATTGACGAGGCAGCTGGCTGCACCAAAAATCTCTTCCGGTTCAATCCCGATGTGTTGCTGGCGTCACGCAAGCTCCGCGTGAAGAATGATTGCCGGCCCATCTCGAGCCCCGAGGCCTTTCTGGCGGGGCCAAAGTTCACGATCAACTTGGTGAAGCACGAGCCACCGCCACTGGTGCGGAAGCGGCGGCGCACAGACCCCGGAGATGACCGCGTGCCCGACGAGTTGTATCTGCTATACCACACGCGAATGCTGCGGCGCGAGAAGCAGTTCAGCAACTTGGATAAGGACAAAATGTTGAATGAGTTGGATAATTACCAGCAACAACTCGAGAAGTTGTGCCAGGCAGATTGGTTCAAGCACCTCCCGTACATCACCCACGTTGACAACCCCAACGACTACACCGAGTTGGCCACCAAGCGCCGCCTCACGATCCGCGAGATCGAGAGCCTCATTACCAAGTATCAAGCGTGGAAACAGACCAGTGATCAGCTCCTGGCACGGCTCAAACGGCTCCCCATAGACGACCCAGATGCGACGGATGAGGACGAGAACACGTTACCGCTACTGGAACTCCAGAAACGCTGGATTGCGCGGCGAACACGGCTGAAGGGGCCGGTGATCAACTTAAAAGTGGATTACTGCACGCGCTTGGTTATTGATCCGGTATACCCACCCACGTTCGTCTACTCGAAATACAAGGCGTGTACGTACAACGAGCCAGCGTCCTTGCAGTATAAGCGGTTCATGGATGCGGAGGAGGAGCAGGCAGTGAACGAGAGGGTGTACAGGTTCGATCAGAGCCGTGAAGTGGCGAAGGATAGCCAGTTCAGTAATGTCGGATTTGGCTGCGAGTTACCTAGGTGTATCCACCAGCCCGAGGAATTCGAACTACCGTTTGAGGGGGGTTCTGCTGCGGGAGGGCAAAACTCTGATTCTGGGTCAGAATAATGCATTTTTTCACGGTTAGTTGATCGTATATCTATAATCGGAGGGCAGTGTGGTGAGGTTGTTCTGCAAAAGGTCTTGGAATGGTTCGGAAACCAATTATGATCGGCCTCTTGATGAGGGAGATAAAGAAATAAAACGCACTATTGTACTTAATACAGTTGGAAGATCAGACGAGAGCTTCTGATGGAAAGAATCTGAAAGAGGTGCTTTTATAATTCCGATATAAATCTATGTAAATACACAGGCTACAACAAGAAAATGAATTTAAAAGATATAGTTCATCCATTCTATATAACAATGCACTGGTGATTTAGATACAATTTAGTGGTATCTGGGGAGCTATTGTCGAAGCCTCCCAGAAACAGAGATGAGCCCTACGCTATTTCCCACAGGCAGTTTGACTCAAACCTGAGGTAGCCCGGATCACTGAGTGCATGCGAGTGACGATAAAGCCTTTAATACCAAATCCTGGTCGGGAAAATAAAGTATCAACTCTTGAAACAGTTCAAATACAACCCTGTGTCCGCTCAGATAAAACTGACAAGGGGCAGATCCGTTAGAGATCGAGGTCGCTCTCATCCTCATCATCAAGTCTATTACGGATGGTCTTGCCGGTAGTTTGCACCCCGGTAGGCTTGATCTCCAGGCCGTGGTCGTCGATGCGATAGTTAATCATGCGGTGGCTCAACAACTGGTGCTCAAGCTCGCTCACGCTGAAGTTATCGTGCTCACGCTGGTTCGGCAAAAGCAACAGATCAAACCCCACGATACGGTTCACCTCAAGACCCCGGTCGTTGTAGAAGAGCACCACTGGTAGGACCTTGATGCCCAACTTTGTCACCAAAAACGGCGCGTGGAGAACGTTGATCTTATAGAAGTTGAGCGACAAGTACCGGGCCGCAAGCCCGTCGAGCTTTGTAAGCATCACCCCGCACTTGGTAAAGTCCGGCAAGTAGAAGCACACGACATTATTCTGCTGCTTGTTGTTACCATGGGCCGAGATCAACTCCATCAACCGCTTCTCCGTGTCGAGCTCGACGACCGTCCCCACCTCCAGCTTGAGACTGGCCGTTGCTTTCACCTTTGAAAACTCAGTAGACAACTGGCTGATCCGCTCCTCTCGGTACTTTTGCATGTACGCATCGTCGTCGTCGTCTAGCAACTCGAGAAGCTCGTCCTCATCGAACTCCTGGTCGCTCACGTCTTCCTGTTGGTTCTGCTTGTATACATCGGCACCAGAATGACTTTCTGCTACGACCTGGCTCTGGTATTTGGATATAAGCCCAGATTCTTTGGACATCGGGGTATAATTGCAGTAAAAGGTATATCGGCGTGTTATGGTCAAATGTGCTTAATATTATTGTCTAAAATATTCACACAGAAAAGGACATTATACGTCTTGCAAGAGCTTCTGGAGCGCTGCAATGTTTTGGGTTAGTTTCGTGTGGTATTTGGTTCCTTTGGCGGGGTCTATACAGTTGATGGTTTCGACCAAGTTTTGGTTGATCTGGTTGATTGTGTACAACGTCTTTTGGAGCTCCATGAGGTATTCCTGCTGGAGGGTGCTCATTCCATGGCTACTCGTGCTCATGTTTGGATAAAAGATGGGCGGAGAGGTTATTTATGGCAGAAGACTGCCGTTTATATAGCTGGCAGTGTACACAAAGCTATCCTCGCTGGCGCTGAACTGTTCGATAGCTGCGCCTACGGTCGCTACACGACTAGATTGACAACTACAAAGAATTAAATAAGAATCGTTTATTAAGGTGCAGACCTGTTAGCGGATACCGAGCTAACTGAATAGCTTGACTGTCCCAGGAACGCAGTTAAGAAATTTATTCCAACTTGAAGGTGGTGTGACACTTACCACAGTATTGTCTACCCTTGTGGTTAGCCATGAAGACACCGGCACCGCAGGTGACAGATGGACACTCTCTTCTCAATCTCTCCACCTTACCGTCCTTGTCGACCTTGTAGTAGGTCAAGACAGCCAACTTGTTCTTTCTGTGCTTGTGGCTGATCTTCTTTGGAGTGGTGTAGACCTTCTTCTTTCTCTTCTTACCACCACCTCTCAATCTCAAGACCAAGTGCAAGGTAGATTCCTTCTGGATGTTGTAGTCGGACAAAGTGCGGCCGTCTTCCAACTGCTTACCGGCAAAGATCAATCTCTGCTGGTCAGGTGGAATACCTTCCTTGTCTTGGATCTTAGCCTTGACATTGTCGATGGTGTCGGAGGACTCGACTTCCAAGGTAATGGTCTTACCAGTTAAAGTCTTGACGAAAATTTGCATCTTTAATTGGATTGTCTGCAGAGGAGAAATATAATTGCTTCTTTCGCACCAAAAATCGCTAGGGTTTTAAAACCTAAGATCGTAGGGACAGTGAGGTAAGGCTGGGTAAAGAAAAAAGAGGTTGGCCTGCTGCCTCCCACTGGAGTGAAAATTTCCACTACGGTTACGCGGCCCTGAACCCACGACTCCAAAAAAAAGAAATTCTGAGGCGGGTAAGCGCGTCTGCCAGCAAGCCCTAATGCCAAACCGCACTTTTTCTAAAGTTCGTGACTGTTTTTCGTGACACAAATCGCTGAACCCTGTCATCACGTGACTTTAAAAATGAGGCATAGGCCCTTCTCTAGTGTCCGTGTAAACATATCAAGATGCTCCGGGCATCGTATGTAGAGGGATGTATCAGACATCATCAAGGATGGAGATGAAGTTGCCCAGCCATTATGAGAGTGTTGTGCCAGCCAGTGCGAAGTGAGTAACGTTGAATGCTGTAATTATTAAGCTATAATATCCTCCATATTTAAAGTTCATGCGTGCTATGTTTAGGGTGGAAGCCCAACGTGACAGATCAAGTATATGTTTGAACTTGCCTGTGTACTGAAACTTCATGCTTGGTGGAGCTAGTTAGTCACCGATCCCAATAAGGCTGACTTATCGGTAATCGAGTATTCACTACCCATCTCTTCACTGGTTGCAGTGACTTGTGTGAGGGAAGAGGTCATCAAAGGTTGGTTCAAGATCAACGGTTCGATATCAGGGATTTGGAGCCTCTTCTTTGGAATTTTAGATCCGTTCCGTGGTGGCTTGGTGGACTTCTTGGGACGCGAAGGAATAGCTGCGTTGAGGATACAGTCCATGTGCTTCACCTTGAGCTTGTCGACGACCAACTGCTCAGGTAGTGGCTTCTCGGGAAAATACTGCACTGGGACACCATTCCTTGGCAGTCTTTCGTCAAGCAACTCCTTCAACAAGATTCGCAATTCCTTGTTCTCCTGAATAAGCATGATCTTGGCTTTTTCGTTCTTGTTGAATTTCTCCAAGAGGTAATTGAATTCCTTGCACAATTTTAGGTACGTGGATTGAAGTAATGTCATTGTAGAGATCAACTTGTGGGTAGAGAGCATTTTTTGTTTCAACCTGGCAATCACACTCTGAGAGCTTGGAGCTTGGACGTGTGGGCTCCCGAGGGACGACTCCGCCTCTTTCAACGGGAAGTCGTCGTCAGAAAGACAAGTATTGTTCGTAAATGGGCTTGTAGCATTGGCACTGGGGCATTCGAAGGAAGATACCGAGTCAGGGGTGTTGGTTAGCTGTGTATCTCTGGATGACTCCTGAATCAAGGCATCAAACGCGTTGTCGTCCATCGGCATGCCACCATTCGCATTACTAGACGATCCTAGTAGAGAATCCAAGTCCAAGGATGTGAGATTGTTGGTAAATGGCTTGGAAGCCCTATCGTTCGGTGCGGAAATGCACTCGTCGGTCAAACGGTCAAAATCACCCGAATCTAAACTTTCGAACGCTAGTTTAAAAGCCATATCGACCTCTTCGTCGGTTTGTCCGATCTTTGGTTGGATAGCTGTAGTTGACCGGTCCGGCTCAGAGTCGTCTCTGAAGAGCATCTCAATATCGAGATCAACATCTTGGTTTGGGGGAGAAGTCTGTACGGGAAAGTGTAGTTCTCCCACTTTGGGCTTTTTGGGGTATTGGATATCACCAAACGAAGTATAAGAGTGAGAAAGCGCCCTTTTTCGATCATAGGTGGTATGGGAAAGAGTTGGAGATTCCATTATAGACGTGGTTGTGTAATAAGAGGCTATGGAAAACTAGGGGTATGCCATTGACGGGTAGATAGATTGGAGTTGAACTTTTAGACAATTCTTCAGCCGATATATATGGCAAATATCTTGGTGGTGGTGCGAAAACCTTTGGGCCAAAAAAGGAATGTGTCGTACTACAGAGACTAGAAATGGTTACTCGCGTCTTGTACTGGCGGTTTAAAGATCTGTACAAAAAATTTTACCGAAAAATCCTGTATGCATTATTTTTTTTCACCTGGGTCTGCAGGTCGCGCAGCGCGTCATCGGAAGGAACGACGGTGAAGTTGCTGCGACAGATGCCAACGAAAATACTTTGGGACCGGATCCTACTTAACATCTAAAAGTATTATATTTACAAATTTCGAGTGCAGGAATAGCAATTGGAAAGTCACGATGTGATCTCAACAATAAATTGGAGGAAAAAGACACTATATACATGAAAATTCGAGGGCAAAAAGGTACACATAATCATAACAGTCATAAAAACATCTATCTATGGTTTCAAAAAGAGAGGATCTCCACAGGGAGAATCTCTATAGGAGATCTAACGTGTGGAAGAATGCAATGGCAATAAACGCATATAGAAGAGAAATCAACGTCAGAGCTGGTATGGTCTAGTCGTTGGATCCCCTGAAAATACCCCCCTTGACTAATCTGGTAACTTGATACAACACACTGTTGGTTTTGGAAGTGATATCGGTGACTTCGCTCAACACGCTTGAAGTTTTCTCTGACACTTCCTGAATGGCACCGGAGGTCTTACCAGCAACTTCGCTGATAACTTCCGACGTCAATTCGTTAACCTCGCTCAAAATGACACTGGTCTTCTTAGTAACGTCACTCACAATCTCGGTGGCTTCCTGAGTAACAACGTTCAACTCCTTTCTAACGTGCTTCAAGTAGCGGTTTTCAATCCACTCACTGTCTAAATAGTGCAAAACTCCCTCAAACCCAATCTTCCCCTTCAAGGCGTTCTGGCCGAACCTCTCAACGGAAAAATCTTCGATCTTATCACATAATCGTCTGAAGGATGCATACGCAGTGATCTCGGCTTCTTGTTTGAAGATGGTTCGGTTCGGATCTTCCGGGTCTGGTCTGTATACAACTACCTCGTAGACAGAGAGCAAATGGTTCATGGTCATGTTGTTGGATCTCAAGGTTAAAGTGCGGTTGACCAAGTCAACCTCGGAAACCTCTCTCACATATGAAATGTTATCACCGCCTGTCAACATCGACAACCACTTTGGAACAGGCTGTTTGCATGTGATGAGTCTTTCGGTCCTGAGAATCTTTGTTTCGGGGTACACTTCACGTCTTAGCACGTCAACGCCGATGACATGACTGGACATTTCATTGGGGTACTTCTGCCAGTTGGCGGCGGTAATTGTGGTCCATGGGTAATCAAAATGGTGTTCCGATGAGTATAGTTTCATTTGGGTAGTGTTTAAGAGGAGAAGCTATTGAATGTGCTGGAACAAGAAAATTCGTAGGGTGCTTTATATACTCTTTGCGGCTTTGGCGGAAAGGTTTGTGATTTATAGCGATAAATGTGGATGTGCGTCTCTCGAAAGTTCTTTCGCCCCCATGCTCTCTGGTTTCTTTTTCTTCCTCCAGTTGTACTGTATAGTGTCCCGTGCCTCCTAATCTCGAGGTGCGTCGGCTATACACATACGTAGGTTTACGGAGCTCGGTTTCGATAGCTGCAGGATGATTATAAGTGTTGATGTATGAAGGGCGACAATGGGAGGGCCATGATATCATTTGGTGGTATTTTGAATGACTCGTTTTCACTATTAGAGAGCCAGTCTACTTCATATCATGGTTGTAGAATTGACAGATACCTTTTTTGTTACAGAAAACCAGTAATAAGTTCAATCGTTCCATTACGTAGAACCTGTATATATCAATACTTTTTACATGGCACCAGTCTTGTGCGTTGGTGGATATCTAACGGCAGTAAACTTAAATTAAACGGGGCCGGCGCGGTCTTGATGTTGCGGCGCAGCCAATACGCATTTGTCAGTTTACATACTATACATCAGGTCTTACAATACTCGGAATAGTGATATTTTTACATTTCTAAGGGCATTAAAATACTGGGATATATATTATCTAATGCTTTATTAATTATATAAACTTACAATAATACCATTCTTATCCACCTATATGATATACTTGTATGTAGATATATTTCAAATCAGTTAACAGTGTATAACTACAGAAATGGCTACGCATAATACTCATGTATATAATAGGTAATAGTAGATACTTTTATTTATGTAAAAGAAAATACCTCTCTATTTGTGATATACCCAGATAGAAAAGGAGTCGGGTCCTTATATAATAGTATTCGACAACACCAGTATCGATGCTGTCCCCCCTTTTAAACATATCAGGTCTTATATGTGCAGGAACGTTATACGTGCGGCTCGAATGTACCCTGTCGTGTGCTGCCCAGTATTGTGCCACTCGCATCCGCTACATTTATGCCCTTACTGTAAGCCGTTGAATGAAAAAGTCAAGACGATGATTTTTTTAACGAGTCTCCAACATAGGTGAGTTTCACGATTGACGCTTCGATTCAAGCACAAAGCTATTCATAACCTGTTAGGAGACTACCCAAACTCTCTCTTTCAGAAACTATATACCTCAAACTTCAACATGCTTAGATTATCCAAGCCGATCATCGGGACTGCCAAGCCTAGCCAGGCCATCCGTTTCCGCACCCGTACTTCCAAGGTCCCAGTCACCGATCCAGGCAGACACAACCCTTACTTGCGTAAGTTGCAAGAAGCTAGGGCACAGCCTATAGTTGTTAAGAAGCCGGAAATTGACACCAGCGCTCTTTGGCACAACCCGAGCCAGTGGTTAAGTCAGAAGTGTACCGCTGAGCAAATCTTGAACTTCACCCAACAGAGACGTACCTTGTTGGGTAAGGACTTTAAGCACAACAAGGCTGAATTTGAAGCCTTGTTAACCACCTCTGATTACACTGGTTTGACCAAAGATCACATCAGAATTCAATACTACCAAGGTGACAAGGCCCTCCAAAGACTTCTCGGTGCTCCAAAGGCCATCAAGAATGCCAGAGACTTCGAAGCCCACGTTTACAACCCTGTGACTATCAGAAGAGACTATGATTCTCATGAGAAGCGTAAGATCTTTGACCACCGTGATGTTAGACACTTGAACCGTGCCGCAGCCTACGAATTGCCAAAGTTGGCGTTGTATAGGCAAGAATTCCAACCTCCAAACCCAGTCGAGAAGCCATTGAAGTTCAAGTTTATCTCCATGATGGCCAGGCCACAGGATGCACACAACCGTAAGGTTGTCTTGACCTGTAAAGTCGAAAACTTGAAACTCTCTGCTGAGTCTTCTCACAAGCTTAAGTTGTTGGCCGGCGTCAGATACGATCGTCGTACCGATGAACTCAAGATGAGCTGCACTAACCACGAAGAACCAGCCCAGAATGTTAGATACTTGGTTCAAATCTTCGACAACTTGTTGGCGGAGGCTAAAGATTTGAGCAAGGACTCCTTCAGTGATATTCCATTGGATGACAGACACATCAGAGCTAAGGAGTCCAAGCAGAAGAAGCGTCTCTGCGACTTTGTTTTCCCAGAAGAATGGAAGAGACCCCAGGACGCCCCCGTCCAAATGGAGTGTGAATTCGTTCCAAAGAGATTGTTGGAGTTGATCCACTAGGCTCTCCCAGTTCTCGGATGACTATAAATATAACGGCCCAGCCATTCTCTGTAGAGGAGATATGGGTGATGGCATACACGTACAGAGTGCATGTCAGTGATACGGGTGTTATTGACTTGCATAACCAAAACAAACCCCCCCCGGTTCCTATTTTCAGGCTCGTATGAATCGAAGCTTGCTAATTCATTCTTGTACAGTTACCATATAGAGAACCATATGTATATATTTGAACAAACTAACGGATTAATTTAAACCCTTTAAGGTTTTTGCTTTACTATGGTTCTAAGTATAAATAATGAATGAAACAGATCTTGTATATCTAGAGTTTCCTCACGAATTTTACAAGAGTAAAGATCTGCTTGTCTGATGGAACTCAATGGCCAAGCTCTCTTCACTATTAACCGAAAAAAAGGCTTCATATATTCTTTGCTTATATTTATTTCTTAATCCAAAGACCCCTTGGGCTTCCCTTGAATTTTAGGTAAGGCTAGCACTCCGGTGGGGTTGGGATATGGTATCACAAAATGTAAGTACGACGCGTCATAAACCTATCCCCGGAAAGATAAACTGGGGCTCACGCCAACACACTGTATGTTTCTCTATATCGCTTACGGGTGTACTCTACCTGTCATGCGGCCGGCTGGCCATCACGATAGCATCCTCATTATCAGCTGCACCGGCGCGTCTGAGCATAGGTGACATGTGGAAACAGCGAGCATGACATAGCCTTCCACGCCTGCAGCCCACTAGAATTTTACTTTTTCGAGCTTCCACGCGCACCATGTGGCCGAAAAACTGCACAATCCCGCCAGTTACCCGCGTAACGCCCGCTTCTTTTGTTTTTCTCTCCCCTGCTTGCTCCCCCGACCACTCTCAACCTCCTTCCCCAGTGCTGAAGATTCAAAACACAAGAACGCCCAAATTTTAGCTGCGCAAGTAAAGGCGTCTTCTTCCTCCTCTTTCCGTGATAACCCCCCTATCTCATCTAAACAATTTCAGACAATGTCTCAAGAATTTAAGCTCGCTAAGGACTCCGTATGTGGAATTATATTATCCTACCTCGCGGTATAAGCTATATCAAGCGTGTTTTCCACAACATTGGGAAATGCGTGCAGGTATCCGACGTCTCGTGTTTTCTTTTTCATGGGACTGAGCCGCGTCCTCACCACGTATCCTCGGTTATAGCTCTACCACCCGGTGGCCCTTCCAACCCTTTTACATTGATTACTAATGCATATCTGTTCAGTTAGTCGCCTCGTTATTCGAATTATCCAAGACAGCCCAGGAAGTCTCCGCTGCCACCATCAACTTCTACAATTACGTTAGCAACAATGCTTCTCCAGAAGAGGCTGATGAAGCCAAGGAATTATTAGCCACCGCTACTGAGTCTCTCAAGCCTACGAGAAAGAGAGCTTCCAAAAAGACAGATTCTTCTCAGGGCAACGAAGAGCAAACCCAGCCAGGTTCGGAGGAAATCGAAGAGCCAACGAAGAAGAGAGCTAAGCGCGCCAAAGCCGAAAAGGATCCGAACGCTCCAAAGAAGCCATTGACCACTTTCTTTGTGTTTTCTGCCGAAGTTCGCCAAAAGATTCAAGATGAACGTAAGAAGAACGGCGAACCTTTATACACTTCCGTGGAATTGGCACAGGAGGTTGCCAAGAGATGGAACGAATTGACTGACGGAGAAAAAGAAAAGTACAAGAACAAGTATACCACTGACATGGACCTTTGGAGAAAGGAGAAGGAACTTTATGATGAGACCAAGAACGCTGGTGACGCGGTTGCCAAGGAAGCCTCTAAGGAGGAAGCCAAGGGCCCTAAGACCACCAAAGCTACCAAGGAGTCTAAGGCCCCTAAGGAAGTCAAAGAGTCCAGCGAAGTCAAGGAAACTGAAGTCGTTGTTCCTAAGACCGAATCCAAGAAGAAGGCCAAGAAGCCTGAAGCCAAGGAAGAAGAGCCTGCAGACAGTGAATCCGCTTCCAAGGAAAAGAAGGCTAAGAAGTCCAAGAAATCCAAGAAAGTTACCACTTAAACAAAACCTTGGAATCTAGCCACATTGCTCTATACCTGTTATTTTCTTTCAATTCCTCAACTGACCTCACAGCCGTGTATTATTTCTCAATCCTTTTATTATCTGCTTCTACTATCCTCATTGATTGATTATTCTGTTTAATTACTTTATATTCCTGTATAACTACGTTCATATTTACTTTTGTCGTGTTTACTTTATGCTAGACCGTATTTTCATACTGATTTGTATACAAGCGTGAAGGCAGGAAGAGGCTTACAAACGAATACAGTTATGCATCACCATAAGCTGTAGTTATAAAGGGTTTCATTTTAACGCTTAGTATCATGAAATTTTTGAAGCCTCAAAACTAGACAGTCATTCAGTAATCCCAGATCCATGTTAAAGCTTTTGGTTTTGAATCTGGTTTGAATCCTTCCAGTTTTTTGGAGCTCTTGTTCATTTAAACCCACCCGAAAATTCCTCAATGCCAACATCACTTAAACACGAAGCATTGTCCAGGTCTGTAGGAAATCCCCAGCACTCCCCATCACCAATATCCTCACCCATCCTAGTGAGCACACCATGGCCCGAATGATACACGCAGCCGACAGCCTCATAACTGTCCAGCTCGTGGTATTGAAAGAAACCAGAGTGGTCAGAGTCTGGCACGTTATCATGTGATCCTACCTCACCGGTACCTTCTTCATCGCACAAACCATAAGTACGTTGGATCCTATCCCTTATTCTCAATTTGGCTAACACCATTCTCCAATTGTTCAAAATTTCAGCCTCTTGTTTCTGTTTCTTTAATCTCCTCAAGTTGGATATCTTGTTGAACCAGATACGTTTAACAGTATTGGAATCTCTTGCGTGCACCAATACACCATCCAATACAGGCGTCGCTTTGTTGTACGAGAAGTTGAACCCAGAAACCACGGGTGCAAAATCAACCCGATCCTCAGCTTCAACTTTTTTGTTATATGTCGATAAAATTCCGGAGAGACCCTGGAACTTCAATATTATGCATTCCTCGGGTATCATCCACGATTTAAATATCTCGATATTACCGTAATCATTTTTGGGTATCTGGGTATCGGTGATATGAATTGGAGGGCAAAATTGAGTCTGGTAAAAGGCATACAAATTTTGGGTCATCGTCAAGTCATTTTTCTTATTGTATTCCAATTGTCGTCTGTTTGGGAGTGTTTGAGGGTTCCACTTGGTAACTACGGATGGCAGATTCAATTCATCAAGTTTGACATCTCTACCAAGAATTTTCCAATGCTGAAGTGATTTACAGTTGAGAATTGAAGATCTTAGGTACACTGCCTCAACAATCGTCGCGCCTGGTTGCCCTTCCTTGGCGTTTCTTTTGAACTGGCCAACGGGGACTGCAAGTGGATCAACTATCTGGTTTTTGTAAAGCAAAGATGAAATGATCACATTGGGATTCTTGCGGAACCCTGCCACAGAACTTGGAATATCAAAATTTGCAAGGCTGACTTGTTTTAGAAATGCAACTTCCATTTCAATTGTGTGGTTCTCAACTGGTTGGGGTTTCCTTTTGTTAAACACAGAAAGGAAACCTTTAAACATCAAAAAGCTTCGAACGGCATCCGGTCGAAATCCTAACACATCAAAGTTTCGATAACTGATATTGGGCATGTAGCGTCCACTGACATCAATAATCGAACCACCCCCCTCGTATGCCACCACATACTGCATCGTCATCTGGTTCAATGGACCCCGGGGGTAATACTCTTTCGTGAAACCCTTTGCAACTAACAGATTACGAGTACCATACTCCCCCTTTTGGTATCGCTTAAGCTTCAATAGTCCTTTCCACTCGTTATGAAAAACCAACGAATCGATAATGTACACCTCGGAATCATCGATCGGGCTAATTAGTTCAGTCCAAAATGTAGGAAACAACAAGTCATAATCAAAATTATTTGAGGATGTAGGATCAAGGGGCAATAAATGGTTTGCGTCTTTTGTCACAGACAACAATGGGATCGAGAAAACTAGCCTAGCATAAAACCCGAGTGAGCGAAGTAATGCAGTGAATAACTGGGAACCGATATCCCTATTACCCCCGCTCATCTTTGAGGCAATCCGTCTGAAACCCGCAATATCACACATGTCCGGTGGCCCACTCCTGTAGTAATTTTCAACATTCTGGAGGAGTTTCTTCTGTTTAAAAACTTTGGGAGACATAAGATACCCTAGATTTCTTATCGAGTTGCAAGAGAGTGAGAAATTCTTCCTGAACCATTTTATCAAGTATTTAAGAACATAAACCAACTCTCTCTCCGAGATGGGGCAAATATTGTTTGTTTTTTCGGCAATTGGGGGATTAGAGGTCGACATTTTAGCCAACTTCACTATATGCTTAGCTTGCTTCGCGATCTTCTCTGGTAGATGTCTCTTTAGTCTCTTTTGAGTCTTGCTATCATTAATCCACTTATTTCTTAACTTTCCGAGGGCCAAATAAGATAGCATCTGCAAGTTATGAGTTCTGAATCTATGGGCTTTCAATTCATGGGAGTCCACAGATTTTAGTCTCTTGCTAGTCCGTAACTTCTCCATGGGTTCCTCTATGGGTTCGAGAGCGTGCTTATTGATTGAGAGGTGAACAGTACTATGTGCATGTGTAGAAGGAGTGACATCAACCACATCCTCCCACTCCAGGAATTCATCTTCCGATTCTGAATGTTGGACGTCTAGGAGACCAATGATAGATCTCGAACCCACTACCGGATCGGTGCCATCAGACAGGGATAAGTCCTCTCCATCGGAGCTATCAAGAGCAGCATTCACCAATATATCAATTGCCTGCTTATTCCTCGATATTCTATCCAGAGACATGGCATGAAGACTCACCTTTAGACATCGAATAGTAGTTACTTTATCGCCACTTCAATAATACCCACACCGGTTAGTGCGTCTATAAGAACCATGCTCATAACCATATATCCCCATCTTTGATCCGCCATATAAATGCTGCGTGCCGGATTTGATCCCTGCTAGTAGCACGCATACATGTATGCAGCTGCTTTTCTAAGTTTTTCTGTGGGAAAATGAATATAGTTGCACGTGCTTGGTAATTTCAGAGAGATTGAGATAAGGGTTTGGTCCACCACCACGCCGTGCACACATACAGGGTGTTGCAAATCAGGGAGATTGCCCGATTGCAAATTTGGTCCTTTTTTGTTATATAAGAGTAGATTATTATCCTATACAATTTTTTTCTAGCTAAAAGATGACCTATATTTCGAAGACTCCAAGTGGACTGTAAGAATCCCTCGAAGCTGACAGTTATTATTAAATAACGGAAACAATCGAAGAATATTGTCCAGGATAACAGTTCAGGAAAGTTGAGCGAATCTCGGCGGAACGCTGACATTTGGTAGTGTTGCAGGTTCTATGGAGAACTTAGCAAGACTGGGGAAGCCATTGAGGATTGCTTCTTACAGGGGTCAAAGAAATGATGATCATTGACGGATTCTTGAGTTTGGTTGAAACTACCCTTCTAAAATCCAATGGTGACACCCTATGAAAATCCCAGTATTTAGTCATCCGTTTGGAAGGGGATTATGCTACTTGGATGGCCACATACTTCAAAAGGATTGGCGGAGCTCTGAACTTGAGATACGAAACAGTCATAAGAGACCTCGTTGAGCAGTTCTACCCACCAGATTATTAATACCTGTGTTGGGCGGAATATTTAAACCTTCGTCAGACCGGTACAGTATGAGCCTACGCCGAAAGGTTCAGCTATCTCCTTAGCCAGCTTCCAGTTGGGTACATGGAGACGTGTTATGATCACTTGTGAATGGACTCAGAAACTAATTGAAGGACCATGCCCGCGTATCTGATAAAGAGAGTCGTCTTCAGCTCGTCCCGTATTTTATTACGGTGGATGAAGTGAATTGGAAGAACCAGGCGACGCCAAGAGGAACGAAGACGACGGTTAGCGGTGGATATCAAGCAAAGTCGTATAAGGGGCCGATAACAGTGGATAGTTCTGGAATGAACGTATGGACTCATTCTGACCAGAATTTCGGTAACGTGCAACGTCGGAATAACCAGAACTTGCGCTACATATCACAGATTACCTGTTTCTCTTGTGGACAATACGGGCATATGGCTATCGTGTCCGAAAAGAAGCACAAAAAATAGGAAAGTCTCAGATTGACGATGGGGACGTTAAACTACTGAAAGAGCAAGCAGGCCTCCATGAAGAAAAGTATAAACTACCCAAAATGCTGAAGTACTCCAAAAAGCCAAAAACACATGAAAAATATAAAACCATAAAGAAAAGTGATAACCCGAGAGCGTTAAATGCTAATATTTCAAAGCATGTAATGAAAGCTTTGGGGGTTGATATCTTGTTCGAAGAGCGCAATGAGCCAATCCTGATTCTCATGAATACTAAAGCAGACACTAATCTCATCAGAAGATACTTGGCTCATAACGACGAGCTGAGAGATCGCCATCCCTTATATGTGAAATGGCGTATTTCAAGGATGCCAGAACTAGTCTTAATTTTTGTATATAAATACATAAGACCGATAATTCTAAGGGTACCCTTTATTGAGAGACACATAAACCTTATTTATATCAAAGGCATAAGGCTTAAGGTGCTTGAAAATGTGCCCCAGGTTGAGCTTGTCGAAGTCAATCAGATGAGTAAAACGCAATCACATACAGATGGGTTTCCGTCATAGAACGCACCCCAGGTTCCAGTGAGACAGCTGACACCGAAATATGGCTGTGGTTAGCGGGATTAAAGCGACATTTTCTCAGACTTTATCCCTGAAGCCTCCCCAGAAAGAATCACGACCCCAAGGTCTTCTACATTGGATTGAAATAGTTCTGAATGCTAGACCGCCAGGGAAAGCACCTTACGGGCTCAATGTTAGGGAGAAATAAGAGCTGGAGGAATAATTGCTAGATACTTTAAAAAAAGGTTTCGTTCAGCCGATCCCGAGCCCATATAGTTTTCATATCTTATTCGTGGAGAAAAAGATAGAACTCGCAGACTATGTGTAAATTACAAGACGCTTAGGGCCGCAAAAGTGACATATTGGTTTCCTTTGCCGATCATTGAAGATATATTGAATAAATCCGGAGCACGAAAGTTTTACTCAAAGCTTGACTTGGTACAAGGTTATCACCAGGTACCGACCAGAAAATAAGATTAATACAAGTCCGTGTTTTTAGCATGCAATGAACTTTATGAGTGGAGTATGATATTGCTTGGGTTGTATAATACCCCTGTGACTTTTTAACTAATTATGAACTTTTTGGCTCCTTTCTTAGATTTGTGTGTTGTCATCTACCTTAACGATATTCTCATCTACAACCCTCGAGAGAGTTACTAGAAAGATGCTTGTAAAGTCATTGAGCTATTGAGCTCTAAGGGATTGGTGAAGGGGTTAAGGTGTGAGTTCATCTACCAAGAAATTAATTTCTTGGGTAATGTGATTTCCCAAGAAGATATAAAATCAAACTCGTCTAAGTTTGAATACATCAAGAAGTGGCCAGGATTACAAACATTTATGAATTCCCAGCGGTTTTTGGGAACTGCAACCTACTACAGTCATTACATTGAGGATTTCTACTCGGTCGCTAAGTCTCTTAGCAAGTTCACCAGCCGGAAGGGTAACTGGAACAAACTACTGAAAGAAACGTTCAAGAAGTTGAAACTGAGGTCAGTGAATGTCCCAATATTACGAGCACCGCTAAGATAGCGCCAGTTTATGATTATGACTGATACTCCCAATGTTGGTATGTAAACTGTGACTGAAAAAATGGATCATAAGTCAAAGAAGTTAGGGGTTATTACCTATATTAGCAAGAGCTACCTATCCGCTTAAAACAACGACGTAAGAAAAAGAGATGTCTTGCCATCATTGAGACCTTGAAAAAGTACAAACATCTCTTACTAGGCAAACGCATTTGGATCCATACAGAAGATACATTGCTCAAGTACTAGTTGACACATAAGGAGGTGCTTACAGGAAGGATAGCGAGATTATTCGACTTCTTTGCGGGCTATAACTTTGGAATTCTCCATTCATTAGGAGGAAAGACTAAAGATAGTGCCCTCGCACCCCGTTTTTCATCGAATAAACCGCCAATGTCTCCTTTTGGGGGCTAGTTGTTGCTCTTGCCATTTTAAACCGTCCCTATCGGCTATCTAAGTCCCGTGCAATGGCCTTTCAAACTCCCCCTTTCTTCCCTTCCCTTTCACCCCTCTGAGAAACACCCT